GAAGGAAGGAAGGAAGGAAGGAAGGAAGGAAGGAAGGAAGGAAGGAAAAGGGAAGAAAAGAAAGGAAGGACGAAAGAGACAGAATGAAAGAAAGAAGGCACTAGCAAGTGTTTTTAAACTAATGTTTCTAAACCAGACTTGTTGATAACACCTTGACCCCAAGCTCTGTGTACATTCTAACGTGAGCTCAGCCAGGAGCGAGTTTTTCAGGAGACTTTTTCTTATGTCTGTTTTCCCCCTCACTGTTTCCTTGTAGTTACCAGCAGCAATTTCTGAGAAAACCTTGACCTTGCTTATGATAGAGTAGGCCTGTTAACTAGAGAAGACCAATGTTAACCTTCCAACTAAAGCCACCTTAAATCAACACACTTTTAAAAAACAAATGAACAAGGCCGGGCACGGTGGCTCACGCCTGTAATCCCAGCACTTTGGGAGGCCGAGGCAGGCAGACCACCTGAAGTTAGGAGTTGAAGACCAGCCTGGCCAACATGGTGAAATCCTATCTCTACTGAAAAAAAAAAAAAAAAATTAGCCGGTTGTGGTGGCGCATGCCTGTAATCCCAGCTACTTGGGAGGCTAAGGCAGGAGAATCGCTTGAACCCGGGAGGGAGAGGTTACAGTGAGCCGAGATCACGCCATTGCACTGCAGCCTGGGCAACAAGAGAGAAACTCTGTCTCAAAAACTAAACAAACAAACAAATAAATATTTAAAAACAAACATAGTAAAACTTTTTTTAACCGAAAGAGCTGACTGCAGTCTTTGCTGCATTTACACGTCATGCGCCGGCCCCTTTAGAGACCTTCTCATTAGCACTGTGGGGGCTGCAAATGCCAAAAGCAGCTCTAACCATCCTCGCGGTACTGAGCAGTTAGTGCACGGTGCAACACGAGCAGGGCTCAAAAGCAGCTTCTCTATTTGTTTATTATGCACAGTATTCAGGAGGTGGACGCAGCCCAAGTGTCCATGGACAGATGAATGGATGCAGAACGTGGTCTGTCCATACAATGGAATATTATTCAGCCATGAAAAGGAAGGACATTCTGACACATGCTACAACATGGATGAATCCTAAGGACATTTTGCTACGTGAAATAAATGAGTCACAAAAGGACAAATGTTGTATGAATCCAGCTATATGAGGGACAAAGAGTACCTAAATTCATAGAAATAGAAAGGGAATGGTGGTTACCAGGGGCTCTGAGGAGACAGGAAGGGAGAGTTATTTCATGAGAGTAAATTTTCACTTTTGCAAGATGAAAAAGTTCTGGAGATCTGTTTCACAGCAGTTACAATATACTTAAAAATACTAAACTGTACGCCTAAAATGGTTAAGGTCGAGAATTTTGTTATGTGTTTTTTTACAGTTAAAAAACAAAAACAGGCTGTGTGTCAGGGCTCATGTGTGTAATCCTAGCACTTTGGGAGGCTAAGGCAGGAGGATCACTTCAGCCCAGGAGTTTGTGACTGGTCTGTGCAACATGGTGAAATCCCATCTCTACAAAAAATACAAAAATTAGCTGGGCCTTGTGGCCTGCACCCGTAGTCCAAGGTATTTGGAAGGCTGAGGCAGGAGGATCACCTAAGCCCTGAAGGTTCGGCCGCAGTGAGCTGTGATCATGCCACTGCACTCCAGCCTGGATGACAGAGTGAGACCTTGTTTTGAAAAAAAAGGAGAAAAGAAACTCAGCTTCCCTCTCTCAACGTCTGGGCTGCACTCCTTGGTGCTGCCTACATTCTCAAGTCCCTAGGTCTCCATGGCTAGAGATCCTGGTGTCCAGTCTAGTCTCCTTGGCTCTGATTGGATCACATGCCCCACCCCTGGCCAATCACTATGGCCAGTGAATGTGGTTTGTTGCTTAGCCACACCCACAACAATGAGCTGAGAGAAGGAGGGAGATTACCCACAGTCTCCAAAAGATGCTGAGGGGTTCTGGCCTGGCCACTGCAGAACTGTTGCCCTTGAGGCATGAGACACAGCCACTCCCCTTAGCACCTGTGCAGTTAGTTGGCATGAGGCACCCTTACCTTAGAGCCTGGCCCACCGAATGTCCCAGCATGAAAGTGGATTCATCCACCACAACCAATAATCTCAACATTTGTGTTCTAGAAGGCTGGGGTAAATTGCATTGGAGTTTACCTGCTGTCACCTTCAGCCCAGTCACTCAGTGAATACTTACTAAACCCGCAGGAAAGGGTAATGGGAATGAGTGAAGCAAGACAGCCCTGAGGATGGGGAGGCACAGGATGGATGGCGAAGTCAGCCCTGGACAGAAGCACAGTGCCTCAGCTTCTGAAACCAAAGAATGGAAGAGAGGGTAGGTGGAGAGGCTGAGATGTTGACAGTGGAGAGAAATGGGAAACTATACATAAGATAACAGAGTTCTAGAACTCTCCCCAGACCCACTCTTGAATACAGATTTCAGGTGGGCTGGTGTCATTATGAATGCCTGGCCGGGTATCTCCAGATGTATTAGTCCGTTCTCACACGGCTATAAGGACATACCGGAAACTGTGCAATTTATAAAGGAAAGATGTTTAATTGGCTTACAGTTCCCCAGGGCTCGGGAGGCCTCAGGAAACTTACAATGATGGCAGAAGGGAAGCAAACATGTGCTTCCTTACATGCCAGCAGCAAGGAGAAGTGCAGAGTGAGGGGATGGGGAAAGCCTCTTATAAAACCATCAGATCTCATGAGAAGTCACTCACTATCACAAGAACAGAATGGAGGTAACTACACCCATGATTCATTTACCTCCCACCAGGTCCCTCCCAAGCCCTCCTAAGGGGATTGTTGGAACTACAGTTCAAGATGGGATTTGGGCAAGAACACAGCCAAACCATGTATCACCAGCTGATCGGAGTTTGATGCCATTATTTCCCAGAACACTCCTCACTGACTCCAAGAAAGAGCCTTGTGGGGAAATGCATGGAATCCCTGAGCAGCTGTAGACACACTGCAGCTTGGAGATTAGAATCCTGAGTGAATGGAGGGGCCTCCTCTTGAATAAAACCCAGCTGAAGTTCTAGGAAGTGCTGTCCGCCGGAGCTCTGATTTTGGAAGCATTCTGTCCTGTTCCTCGTTGCGTGTGTCTGAGCTCCTATTCTCTCTGGGCTACAGAAGGAGAACCCTGAGCCCTGGGAAAATAGGGATGAGACCCTGCCTAGGAAACAAACTCTTTGAATTTAGCTCTTACCTGGAAAGTGTTATTTCTGCCGAAAGAATTGGGAGACAGAGGAGGGGGGAGAGAGAAAGAGAGAGAGGAGGAAGAGGCCGTCCGATCTTGATCGCAGTTCTCTGTCCACCACTTCCTGCACCGGGTAAATTCCTTAACCTCTCCAAGCCTCACTTCTAACACAGGAATAAGGAGAACCCTCACACAAAGGGTCATGGTGAGGAATCAATAGCTTGGTGCAATAAGTGGTATTGCTCATCAATGGCATCATTCAACCACTAGGCACCGTGGAGAAACCACCACTAAAGCAAAAGCCAGGCGTCAGCACCACTCCAGGTTTGCTGGCCCACCGTTAGGTGGATTTTGACGTGCTCTCCGCTGAAAGTAGTTGCAACATCTTCCCCAGGGCTTCTGCCAGAGTCGGGTGTACTGGTGTGGAAAAGCAAAGGCGAATTAGACAATCAGCATCCCTGCAACCCCAGAGCTCTGAATTTTGAGGGATAGACAGACCCACAGTGTGGACAGAAAGAGAAAAGGCTGTGGAGTCCCAGGGAGCTGGGCTGGAATCTCAGTGACTGCCTTGTTCTGTTATTTTGACCAACATTTGAGGACCTACTAGGTATGAGCCAATCCATTTATTCTAGGGGCTGTGGATACAGCGGTAAGAAAGATAGATGCAAAGTCCCTAATCCCTTAGAGGGGCATTCTCCTGGCTCAGAGGCTCAATACCACATCTGTGTTGTTGGGGGTCACTTGGCCTTGCCCAGCCTGTGTCCTCTGAGTGTTGACATCACAGAGTGTTGAATGTATTAAATGAGTTAACGCAGGTGACTCTTTCAGCAGGGTGCCTGGGTAAAGGATGCACTCACTAAATGGTGGTGTTGATATGCGCTGTGTGGCCCAGGCAAGGACCCCCATCCCAAACTTGAAGAGAGTCCAGGAAGACTTCCTGGAGGAAGTGACTCATTGTTTTTTTGTTTGTTTGGTTTTGGGACAGGTTCTCATTCTGTCACCCAGGATGGAGTGCAGTGGTGCTATCACTGCTCACTGCAGCCTCAACTTCCTGGGCTCAGGTGAGCCTCCCACCTCAGGCTCTCGAGTAGCTGGGACTACAGATGCAGGCCACAAGGCCCAGCTAATTTTTCGTATTTTTTGTTGAGGCAGGGTTTTGCCATGTTGCCCAGGCTGGCCTCAAACTCCTGAGCTTAAACTAGCTAACCTCCCACTTTGGCCTCCCAAAGTATTGGGATTACAGGTATGCACCTCCATGTCTGACCGGAAATGACTCATAAACCAAGACCTCAGGCAGCAATTCCGTGGCTGGGACAAAGGAATGGAGACCCTCCCAGGTGGTCATAACCTCCCCTGACCCTTGTCTGCCCCTGCAGGTCTCCTACCCATGGATGAGGGGCCCAGTACCATGGCCAGGGCCACACCCACCTCATGCCACACAGCGGCCGAACCAGGGCACCCCGCCACATATCCCCTTCCACCAGGGCATCCAGCCAGCACCAGTGCAAAGGAGCTGGTCCCAGGGCTTCCCCAGACCCACCACGGTCCCCCCAGCCTCCCACCGGCGGCCTGTGAGCGCCAGAGAGGAGATGTTCTCATTCGTGGTGGATGGTGCCCGCAAGCCCTCCATCATCAAGCAAGGTAAGCATCAGGGCTGCCCTTGGTGGCTTGGGGGTGGATTCACAGCCATATGGATGGGTCTTGGTTTTGCCTTACTTTTTGATTCTAAAAGTAGAACATGTTCAATGGTAAAAAATAACAATAAATTCAGGAGAAGCAGAAAGTAAGAAACCGTTAAAAATCAGCCGTAATCCTTATCCCCAGGGTCTACCTGTTGACTCTCTGGTCCCTCCAGCCTCCATGCTGTGTCAGTACACACACACCAGTACGCCTGCAGTGGGTGCGCACCTCTGTGCCTGTGTACACGTGAGTGTGTCCCGGGATCTGCATCACACTTTGACTCAGACGTGCAAGTATATTAGTGATTGTAAACCCCTTTGCCCCCAACAGCCCCAGGAGGTTTTCAAATATTTTGTCACCATGTCACAGGTGAGGGGAGACTGAAGCCTATCAAGGAAAAGATTCCCCGGAGGAAATATATTCAGTCCCAGCTAATCTCTTGTTTTTCAGTCGCATTTAAGGCTGGTGAGCTCAGTGACGGCCCGGTCACAGCCTGGTCACTTTGGAACACACACCGCCTTCAGGGTTTCCTTCCTTCCCCACTGACCCCCTTGAAAGCCTCATGGTACTTGGGAAGGAAACTTCTCATCTGTCACTGTCCTCTTGGCCTCAGCAACCTCACTGGCAGAAGAGCTGGTCAGTTTAGTCCCAGGCACGGTTCCCAGAGCTCCCCCATGGCCTCTGGCACCAAGGTCCATTCTCTGTCCTCTTTGTCCCAGCTCCAGACCCCTCTGAGTCCCCAAGTATCCCTCAGCGGCTTCCACATCTTCCCCCGGTCTTGCTCAAGACCGTTCACCTAGTCAGCTTCCTCAGTCACTAAAATAATAGTTATTATTGTGACATATGCAAACGGAAGAGCAAATGCACTGCGTCTCCACAGTGCACGTCGTCGTCATCATCAAATGCGCCGCCGCACACCTACCACCTGCAGTGAAAGTGGCCTCAGCCATTTCCCACCCACATTTTAGTACGAACAGTTTTTTTTTTTTTTTTTTTTTTTTGAGATGGAGTTTCACTCACGTTACCCAGGCTGGAGTGCAATGGCGCGATCTCGGCTCACCGCAACCTCCGCCTCCTGGGTTCAGGCAATTCTCCTGCCTCGGCCTCCTGAGTAGCTGGGATTACAGGCACGTGCCACCATGCCCAGCTAATTTTTTGTAGTTTTAGTAGAGACGGGGTTTCACCATGTTGACCAGGATGGTCTTGATCTCTTGACCACGTGATCCACCCGCCTCGGCCTCCCAAAGTGCTGGGATTACAGGCGTGAGCCACCGTGCCCGGCCAGTACGAACAGTTTTTAAACATACAGCAAGGTAAAAAGAATGTCACAGTGCCCCCACCCCACCTAAATCTACCGTACTATACTCTTTTTTCTTTTCTGAGACAGAGCCTTGCTGTGTTGCCCAGGCTGGAGTGCAGTGGCACCATCTCCATCTCCTGGGTTCAAGTGATTTTCTTGCGTCAGCCTCTCAAATAGCTGCGATTACAGGCACGTACCATCATGCCTGGCTAATTTGTGTATTTTTAGTAGAGATGAGGTTTTGTCATGTTGGCCAGGTTGGTCTCAAACTCCTGACCTCAACTGACCCACCCATCTGGATCTCCCAAAGTGCTGGGATTACAGGCATCAGCCAACCGCACCTGACCCATTTTGCTATACTCTTATTATATATATCTGTCTGTCTATCAAACATTCTGTTAATTCATTAATCCACCTTAATTTTGAATACATTTTAAAATAAGTTACCTACAGCTGTAGACTTCCTCCTAAACATTTAGCAGGTATAGCATCAACTAGAGTTCAACAGTTTTTGTCTTTTTGTGTAAAATTAACATACAGTGTGTACTAGTTACCAATTTATAACCAACTACCCTAAAATGTAGCAGGCTAAACAAACAGAAACCCTGTGCCTTATCTTATGCCATTTCTGTGGGTCAGGCATTTGGGTGGAGCTTGGCAGGATGGCTGTGGCTCAGGGACTCTCAGGAGGTTTGCATTAAGCTTTCGACCAGAGCTGTGGTCCTCTGAAGGCCTGCCTGGGGTTGGGGACACATCTCCTGGGAAGTTGATGCACATGCGTGTGGGAGGAGGCCTCAGTTCCTCACTAGCTGAGAGCAGGAAGTCTCAGTTCGTCACCACTGCCACCTCTCCTAGGCTGCTTGAGTCTCCTCATAAAATGGCCACCAGCTTCCTCCAAAAGAGCGGTCCTAGAGAGAAAAGCAGCAGCCAAAATGTCTCTTAAGATCCAGCCTGAGGAGTCAAATCCATCATTTCTGCAGTAGCCTTGGTTACATAGAAGCTCTGTTATGGCTGAATTGTGCCCTCTCAAAATGTCTATGTTGAAGCCCTAATCCCCAGTACCACAGAACCTAACTGTATTTAGAGAATGCCCGCCTTTCTTCTGCCTTTCTTTTTCCCTCCCCTCCCCTCCCTTCCCCTCCCCTCCCCTTCTCTTCCCTCCTCTCCCCTCCCCTCCCCTCCCCTCCCCTTCTCTTCCCTCCTCTCCCCTCCTCTCCCCTCCCCTCCCCTTCCCTTCTCTTCCCTCCTCTCCCCTGCCCTCCCCTCCTCTCCTCTTCCTTCCCGTCCTCTTCCCTTCCCTCCTCATCTCTCTTTCTGTCTCTCTTTCTGTCTTTCTTTCATTTTGAAACCAATTCTCACTCTGTCACCCAGGCTGGAGTGCAGTGGAACAGTCCCGGCTCACGGCAGCCTCCGCCTCCCAGGTTCAAGTGATTCTCCTGCCTTAGCCTCCCGAGTAGCTGGGATTACAGGCACCCACCGTCACGCCTGGCTAATTTTTGTATTTTTAGTAGAGATGGGGTTTCTCCATGTTGGGCAGGCTGGTCTCGAACTCCTAACCTCAAGTGACCTACCCGCCTCAGCCTCCCAAAGTGCTGGGATTGCAGGCATGAGTCAATGTGCCCCGCTGAGAATGCCTTTAAAGAGGTAACTAAGGTAAAATGAGGTCGTTAGGTGGGGCCTAATCCAATCTGTTGTCCTTGCGAGAAAAGGCGATTAGGACACAAGCAACACCAGAGGAAACACCATGTGAGGACATAGTGAGAAGGCAGCCATCTGCAGGCCAAGGAGAGGCCTCAGGAGAAACCACCCGGCTAACACCTTGGTCTTGCAACCTCTAAAACTTGAGAAAATCAATTTCAGCCAGGTGTAGTGGCTCACCCCTGTAATCCCAGCAGTTTGAGAGGCTGAGGCAGGAATATCCCTTGAGGCCAGGAGTTCAAGACCAGCTGGGGAAACATAGCAAAACCCCATCTCTATTTTAAAAAGAAAGAATTAAAAATTTAATAAAGGAAAATTAATTTCTGTTATTAAGCCCCCCAGTCTGTGGTATTTTGTTGTGGCCACTTGAGCATATTAATGCAAGCTTAATCCAGCATTGGAGAAGACTATAGAGCCATGAATACAGGGACCAGGGCCATCTTGGAAACTGGCTGCCACTCAATGAAACGCACAGATCTTGAGTGAACACTCACTGCATTTTGACAATGGTATACACCTATGTAACCCAAACCCCTCTCAAGAACATCACCATCACCCCAGGAAGCTCCCTCAGGTCGCTTCCAAGTCACTTCCCAACCCCTAACCCCAGAGGTAACCACTCTTCCAAATTCTTTTTCCGCCATGGATTACAGATTCCTGTTCTAGATTCTCAAATAAGTGGAATCATGTGGTGTGTGTTTTTCATGTGAGGCTTTTTTCACTCAGCATATTTCTGAGATTCATCCATTTGGCTGTATGTCTTACACGTTGCTCCTTGTTACCGTTCAGTCACATTCCATGAACCCGTATCACAGATTCTCTTTATCCATTCTTCCACTGGTGGACATGGGTGCTGTTTCTTTTTTCACTCGGTCGTTGACGAGTGGATGTCTCCCCCGTTTCTCTAGGGCCATGTTGAACTTGGGAAGTGAATAAGCCACGAACTGTCCTGTCTATGGCTTTGAGGCCCCCAGATCTCCCTGGGCTCCACCACTACAGCCTCCCACTGGGGTACCACCTGGGTTGAGAAGGCACCGTGATGTCCACTCCCAAACTTCCACCACATTCCCCTGATTTGGAGAGGGGCTTTCACCTTCCTGTAGTGAGGAGTTCCCTTGTGTGAGACCCGGGCCTCTCTGCTCCAGGCTTAGGAGAAAACTCCCAGCTCCAGTCCTCCAGGTTGGCTCTTCATTGAAGGCACCCATTTTTGAGGAATCTGGGGAAACCCTTTCCTCTCTTAACAGAGCTGGACTCTTCAAACAAAATTGTTTTGTTTCTAGACCATTGCCTTGCTTTAGCTTTGAAAAATTCTACGTGGAAACACAAAGCAAGGAACTTAATTGTTCTGGGTCAGGGTTTCTCAGTCTTGGCTTGCTGACATGTGGGGCCAGGTAATCGTTTGTCATGGGGCTGTCCGGAGCATTGTTTTTGAGACAGAGGCTCGCTCTGTCGCCCAGGCTGGAGTGCAGCGGCGTACTCTTGGCTCACTGCAACCTCTATCTCCCAGGTTCTAGCAATTCTTCTGCCTCAGCCTCCCAAGTAGCTGGAATTCAGGTGCCCACCACCATGCCTGGCAAATTTTTGTATTTTTAGTAGAGATGGATTTTTGCCATGTTGGCCAGGCCGGTCTTGAACTCCTGTCCTCAAGTGACCAGCCCGCCTCAGCCTCCCAAAGTGCTGGGATTACAGGTGTGAACCACCAGGCCTGGCCCAGCCTGTGCATTGCTGAGTGTTTAGCAACATTCCTGGCTTCTACCCACAAGATGCTTCTAGCAGTTCTCCCCCCACTCAAGCTGTGATACTCGAAATTGTCCCCAGACATACGAAATGTCCCCAGAGGGGACAGACTTGCCCTGGTCAAGGCCCCCTGTCTTGGTGGTGCTCGCCCTTCTCCAGCAGGCAGTGAGGCCACAGCTCCAAGGCCAAATCTTAATGGCAAAGCTCATACAGGTGAGGGAGAAAGAATTAGAATAGAGAGCAGAAATGCATGAGGTGATTTTTATTTTTTTTATTTTTTTTTATTTTTTATTTATTTATTTATTTTTTTTTTGAGACGGAGTTTCACTCTTGTTACCCAGGCTGGAGTGCAATGGCCCAATCTCGGCTCACCGCAACCTCCACCTCCTGGGTTCAGGCAATTCTCCTGCCTCAGCCTCCTGAGTAGCTGGGATTACATTACAGGCACGTGCCACCATGCCCAGCTAATGTTTTGTATTTTTAGTAGAGACGGGGTTTCACCATGTTGACCAGGATGGTCTCGATCTCTTGACCTCGTGATCCACCCGCCTCGGCCTCCCAAAGTGCTGGGATTACAGGCGTGAGCCACCGCGCCCGGCATGAGGTGATTTTTAAAGATCTCATCCTGATTTATATATACTGTCAATAATGGAATAATAGTGGGATTGTTTGACCCTAACACTGGTATCCTACTTTTTAAAATTTAACACTGTATGATGAAGGTCAATACATTGACTGCATAAGGGTTGAGAGTACAGGCTCTGAGTCAGACAAACCTGGGTTCAGATCTTCACTCCACACTTACCAGCTGCGGGACCTTGGCCAAGTTCTTGACATCCCGGTGCCTCAGAGCCCTCACTTACATAATACGATATGAATGCCATGTCTCTAGTTGTTATGCTGAATTTTTATTGTTGTATTGTTATTTTTTATTGGGTTTAAAAAATATATTTTTGGCCGGGTATGGTGGCTCCCACCTGTAATCGCAGCGCTGTGGGAGGCTGAGACAGGAGGCTCACTTAAGCTTAGAGGTTTGAGACAGCCTGGATAACATAGCAAAATCCCATCTCTACAAAAAATTAAATTAGCCAAACATGGTAGCATGCACCTGTAGTCCCAGCTACTTGGGAGCCTGAGGTGGGAGGATCAGTCGAGCCCAGAAGGTCGAGGTCGCAGTGACCCATGATCGTGCTACTGCACCCTAGCCTGGGTGACAGAGCAAGACCTTCTCTGTCTGTCTGTCTCTCTTTCTCTAAATATATATGTGTGTGTGTTTGTGTGTGTGTGTGCACGTGTGTGTATGGAAAATATATATATGTAGAAAATACATATATATATTTAGAATATATATATATATGTAGAAAATACATATATATATTTAGAATATATATATATATATTTTTTTTCTAATCCACAGTTGGTTGACTCCACAAATGTGGAGCCCACACATATGGAGGCCCAGCTGTATCTATTTCTTGTTATAAATCCCAATATCACAGAACCAGATATAAATAAGACTTTGTGGGCCATACAGCCTGTGTTGCAGCTACTCAGCTCTGTGTTTGTGGCACAAAAGCAGCCGTAGATGACATACATGAGTAATGTGGCCGCGTTCCAGGAAACTGCCCCTTCCGTCACAGGCGCTGGGCTGGATTCAGCCCCAGCCAGGGCTGTAGTTTGCCGACCCCGGCTCCACCTCACATTTCACTCACTTCTCCCAGTAGCCCTTTATGATAGAGACTCTTCATACCCCTGAATGGTATGTGAGGAAACTCAGGTTAAAAGAGATTAAATGACCTGCCCGAAGTCACCAGCTCTTCTGTGGCACAGGAAAAAGGTCTGGAAAGAAACACAGCACGGTGGGTGACAGCACAGTTAGTGCAGGAGGAGGGAATGAGGTGGCCCTTTCTCTTTCTAGTCCTTCTGTGATGCTTTCACTGCTTTTCAGTGAGCTCACACACAGCAGTTTGTCATTTTTAAATTACATAAAATGTCAGTCTCTGGGGAGAAACAAACAGGAAGGCTAATGTGAACGTATTCTTCAGGCCTCGGTGAAACTCATGATGTCTTTTGTGCTCTCTGCTGATCTCACGCCTTAGTGTGGACCAATGCCAGGAAACCGTCAGAACAGTCAGTGGCCGAGGGGATTCCTGGGGTTCCCAGCGCGGAGATTTATATGGAGCAGGACCTGGCCCAGCAGGAAAAGGTGAGGGAGGGGCCTGGGGAGGGGCGGAGCTGCAGCAGCAATCGCACTGCAGAGGAACTCCCCATACCTGTTCCCTTCTGTGACCCAGAAGTGCCCTTATCCTGCTTCCAGGAAACCACGTCTTATTCCCAGAACATTCAACCAAATGTTTTCTTCTAAATTACAACCTCCGCAACCACTGTTTATTAAGCACCTACTGGGAGCTAGGCTGCGTCCTGTGTACTTGACATTCATTCATTCATTTAATCTTTGCTGTCTTCAAAATAGATTTTTTTAATCACCCTCACTTAACAATGAGGAAACTGGAGCTCAGAGAGGTTAAGTAATTTGCCGAAGGTTGCATAGTACAAGGGGCAGAATTGGGATTCCAACCCAGGTCTGGTTAACTTCTAAACTGGTGATGGAATCCACCACTCTTCCATCACCAGCTTTGAAGTTAAACAGACCTGAGTTAACCTCCCTAGCAGGAGGAGGTGAGAGCTGAGGTCAGAGATGGCCGAGCAAATGAGAAAGACTTGTTAAAGAACCAGAGAGGTGTAGACAGGAAGAGACAGAGGCCAGAACAGATGAATGTCAGCAAACCTGGGGAGGCTGGATCCAGGTTGATTTCACCTCCGTTAGCCACAACCTGAAAATTGTATTGTAATTGACTACTTTTGCACCAACCTAATACTAAAAGCAATAGTCCAACCATGCCTTGATTCCCCTAAAGATCAGGGCCTGAGCCTGCAGCAATTCTTAGAGTTCATAAGGAGCAGAACCACCTGGAGCTCCAGGAATCTGCAGCAATGTTGAGTAAGGTGAGAAGCCAGGTTTGGATGCTCTGTCAGTTAACCAGCTGGCCCGAAACTTAGTGGCTTAAAACAGCAATTTAGTCCGGGCGCAGTGGCTCACACCTGTAATCCCAGCACTTTGGGAGGCTGAAGCGGGTGGATCACAAGGTCAGGAGTTTGAGACCAGCCTGGCCAATAAGGTGAAACCCCGTCTCTACTAAAAAAAATACCAAAAAAATTAGCTGGGTGTGGTGGCACGTGCCTGTCATCCCAGCTACTCGGGAGGCTGAGGCAGGAGAATTGCTTGAACCCAGGAGGCAGAGATTGCAGCGAGCCGAGATCACGCCACTGCACTCCAGCCTGGGCAACAAAGCAAGACTCTCTCTAAAAAAAAAAAAAAAAAAAAAAAAACCAGCAATTTATTTCCCACAATTCTATGGGTTGCCTTGGAAGATTCTCCTGCTAGTGTCTTCTGGCCTCACTCAGGTAACTGCATCAGCCAGTGGCATGGCAGGGGCCGATGGTCTCAGAAGGCCTCATTCCCATGTCAGAGACCTCGATTAGGACACCTGGAATTGGTTTGTTTTTGTTTTTGTTTTTTCAATTTCTTCCCGTAGACAGATTTATTTATCTTATTTTTTTGAAGTTTTTATAGAGTTTTTATTAGTTTTCTTTTTTAAAATTTTTCCATAAGTTATTGGGGTACAGGTGGTATTTGGTTACATGAGTAAACTAACACAGCCACTGTGGAAAACAGCATGGAGATTCCTTAAAGAACTAAAAGTAGAACTACCATGGGATCCGGCAATCCCACTACTGGGTATCTACCCAGAGGAAAAGAAGTCATTATTCGAAAAAGACACTTGCACACACATGTTTATAGCGGCACAGTTCACAATTGCAAAATCACGGAACTAACCCAAATGCCCATCTATCAATGAGTGGATAAAGAAACTGTGGTATATATATTCAATGGAATACTACACAGCCATAAAAAGGAATGAATTAACAGCATTTGCAGTGACCTGGATGAGATTGGAGACTATTATTCTAAGTGAATTAACTCAGAAATGGAAAACCAAGCATCATATGTTCTCACTGATATGTGGGAGCTAAGCTATAAGAACACAAAGGCATAAGAATGATAATGGACTTTGGGCAGTTGCGGGGAAGAGTGGGAAGGGGATGAGGGATAAAAGACTACTAATATGGTGCAGCGTACACTGCTTGGGTGATGGCGCACCAAAATCTCACCACTAAAAATCACCGCTAAAGGACACCTGGAATTGTGAGACCTCTCTGCACATGGTTCTTCATCCCGGGCTTCCTCATAATATAGTGGTCTCTGGGTTTCCAGAGGGCCAGGACAGAAGCTGTACAGCCTCCTGAGAACTTGCTTGGAGACCACTCAGCATCACGTCCGTCACTTCCTGTTGGTCAAAGCAGATCACGGGGCCAGCCTAGATTTAGGGGCTGGGAAAATAGACTCCACTGCTTGATGGCAGGAGCTGCAGAGCGTTTGTAGCCATTTTTAACCCACCACGGTTGTTAAGCTGGAACTAAGATGTAACCACATTTCTAAATTTTTACTATTTATGAACTATTTATGCCCGGACTTACCAGGACTTCTTCAAGTGCAAGTGATAACAAACAAATTGGTTTAAGAAAAAATAGGCTGGGCAGTGGCTCACGCCTGTAATCCCAGCACTTTGGGAGGCCAAGCAGGAGGATCACTTGAGCCCAGGATTTCAAGATCAGCCTGGGCAACATAGCAAGACTCCATCTCTGCAAAACAAAAACAAAAACAAAAAAAACCCAAAAAATAAAAACTTAGCCATGCGTAGTGGACCTTGCCTATAGTCCCAACTACTAGGGAGGCTGAGGTGGGAGAATCACTTGAGCCCAGGAGATCAAGGCTGCAGTGAGCTGTAATTGCATAACTATGCTCCAGTCTGGGTAACAGAGCAAGACCCTGTCTCAAAAAAAAAAAAAAAAAAAAAAAAGAATAAAAGCATTTACTGGCTTATTTATTGGAAAATGTAAAGGCCAACCAGCTTCAGGCACGACTGGATCCAGGAGCTTCAATGATCAGACTGCTCCTCGCTGTCAGTTTCTCTACTATTTCCCTAATAGTTCTGCTTTCTGCAGCAGGCTGGCTTCTTATGTTGGAAAACAAGACTGTAGACAAAGTGAAGTTCATGTTTAAAGCCTATGATCCAAAAGGAAGCAAGAGCTTCTTCCTCTTGTAAGTAATACATGAAATCTCTGAGAAAATGCCAGTTGACCAGCCTGGGTCACGTGCACATGGTAGGTGGGACAGGAAGGATTATTGCACATCACTGACCCTTCTACCAAGACCATGTGAGGGGTGCTCCCTCAAGGAAGTCACAGGGTCCTCACCAGAAAGGCAGGAACCATAGCTGTGCACCAAGAGCTGGAACCTTCTCCATACTTCAGCGCCCAGCATGAGCGTGGCACACAGTAGATGCTCAATACACGTTTGTTGTGTGGATGCTGAACAAGCACCTGGCTGGAAATGGAGCCGTTGGGTAACTCATTGGATGAAGGAAGGGGCTGCCCAGAGCATGGAATCTGTTTGAGGCTGACCTTCGAAATATTTCCACAAGTACGCACAGGGACCCAGAAACAGACCCCGGGCAGCAGTGGGCTCCATCATGACCAAAACCTAGAAGGTCAAGCTCCCCAGGGTAGGTCTAGAAACTGCCCACCTGCTTCCTTTCAACCAGCAGAAAATTGCACGGAGAGCAGGGTTTCCTCTCAAAGTAACTGATCAGGAACTAGCTGCCTATGGAACACATCAGAGAATTTTGGTTTTCAGTCCTCCTGATATCTTATTAAAGGGTTCTGGTGAGAAGTTTGAGGGATTTTTCCCCCTTTTTTGGGAAACCTAACAAATTCTTCGGCTACAGTGCTTTTTCTTTTGGAGAGATGGAGGACTGGGTTAATGACACCTGTGGGTATAGGCTGCCAAGCTCAAAGCTTTTTCCAGCCTGGAATTTACAAGAGCCTAGACACATAAATCACCATTCCTCTCTCATTTATTTTTCATGACTCGGTTACCTGGAATAAATTTTTATGTGAATAACCAAAAGAGGCAGGGAATTACAGAAGAAGGGAAAGAGGAAAAGCGATATCAGAATGTATTAAATGTGTAAAGTTAAATAGCCCCGTTATGGTCAGAATGTGGTTGAATAGAGTCATTTCCTTAATTACCTTTCCTTCGTCCACAGATGCTGGACTGAGGCCTGGTAAGTTAATTCCTAAAAATATTATAAATAAACTTTCTGGCAACAAAAATTCCCAAGCGGGTTGGTGGCTCTTAATGTGAAAGTGTAATTTTAGGGGAAAGGAAAGTTTCTGTCCCTCTAAGGTATGCACATGCATTATAGGAGTCTATATGCAAGTAGGCATTTTAACCAAACTCTGGTCTCTGAGTTTCCAAGTGACAAAGAGAGCCCCAAAGTCTGCCTTTTCCCTGCCTGCCTGCTCTCACTTTCCCAAAAGAATCACACTATAATTTTCCTACCTTTTTTTATTTTTTTGAGACAGAGTTGCACTCTTGTCACCCAGGCTGGAGTGCAATGGCATGGTCTTGGCTCACTGCAACCTCTGCTTCCCAGGTTCAAGCGATTCTCCTGTCTCAGTCTCCCAATTAGCTGGGATTACAGGCGCCCACCACCATGCCCAGCTAATTATTTTTAGTAGAGACAGGGTTTCACCTCAGGGGATCCACCTGCCTCAGCCTCCTAAATTGCTGGGATTACAGGTGTGAGCCACTGTGCCCATCCCCTACCTTTTTTTAATGAGCTCAGCCTTATACCTAGTACCACACCTAGTGTGCTTCCCATCTGATTTCCACCCAGGATGAAATAATTCTCCTGCTGGGAAAAGAGATCAGCCGTCTCTCAGATTATGAAATCGAATCCAAATATAAAGACGTCATAATAGCAAACCTGCAGAACGAAGTGGTGGAGCTGAGTCAGAAGCTGTCGGAGACCTCTACCTCCAGGCAGACTGAGAGGGAGATCACGCAGAAGTGTCAGGTTCTGGATGAAGACATCGACAAACAGAAAGAGATCCAGAGCTTGAAAAGCCAGGTGGGTGGATTCCGAGAGGTACAGCACGGCCCTCAGGCCAAGGCCCGGGAGGCCCCAGGAGCACCAACCCAGGTGACCCACCCAGAATTAGGGAACGGGCGGTCAGTGGAGCATGGTGGTTAAGAACACAAATCCACAAGGCTGAGAGACTTGGGCAGTTTCCTAGCATGGTAAGAACAAGATCAGCATTTGTTCAGCACCGGCCACGTGCACGAACTAGTGCAAAGCACTTTAACTTATTTATTTACTATAATTATTATTATTGTTTTGAGATGGAGTTTCGCTCTTGTTTCCCAGGCTGGAGTACAATGGCGCGATCTTGGCTCACTGCAACCTCTGCCTACCAGATTCAAGCGATTCTCCTGCCTCAGCCTCCCAAGTAGCTGGGATTACAGACATGTGCCACCATGCCTGGCTAATTTTGTATTTTTAGTAGAGACAGGGTTTCTCCATGTTGATCAGGGTGGTCTTGAACTCCCTACCTCAGGTGATCCACCCACCTCGGCCTCCCAAAGTGTTGGAATTACAGGCATGAGCCACCATGCCCAGCCCTTTGACTTATTTAAACTTCACAATCCTCTGACACATCCATTCTACAGATGAAAAATCTAAGGCAGGCCCAGGCTGGCGTGGCGGCTCATGCCTGTAATCCAGCACTTTGGGAGACTGAGGCTGGTAGATCCCTTGAGGTCAGGAGTTCAAGACCAGCCTGGCCAATATGGCGAAACCCCGTCTCTATTAAAAAGACAAAAATTTGTGGCGATTCCTCAAGGACCTAGAAATAGAAATTGCATTTGACCCAGCAATCCCATTACTGGGTATATATCCAAAGGATTACAAATCGTTCTACTATAAGGACATGTGCACACGAATGTTCATTGCAGCACTGTTTACAATAGCAAAGACCTGGAACCAACCCAAATGCCCATCGACGATAGACTGGATAGGGAAAATGTGGCACATATACACCATGGAATATTATGCAGCCATCAAAAACGATGAGTTTGGGTCCTTTGTAGGGACATGGATGAACCTGGAAACCATCATTCTCAGCAAACTGACAGGAGAGCAGAAGATCAAACACCGCATGTTCTCACTCATAGGCGGGTGTTGAACAATGAGAACACATGGGCACAGGGAGGGGAGCACTACACACTGGGGCCAGTTGCGGGGAAATAGGGGAGGGACGGTGGGGGGTGAGGAGATGGGGAGAGATAGCAAGGGGAGAAATGCCAGATGTAGGTGATGGGGAGGAAGGCAGCAAATCACACTGCCACGTGTGTACCTATGCAACAATTTTGCATGTTCTTCACATGTACCCCAAAACCTAAAATGCAATAAAATAAATAAATGGGGGAAAAAAAATGTGCCAGGCGTGGTGGTGCACACCTATAATTAGCCCAACTACTTCGGAAGCTGAGGCTGAACCCGGGAGGCGGAGGTTGCAGTGAGCTGAGATCATGCCACTGCACTCCAGCCTGGGTGACAGAGTGAGACCCTGTCTCAAAAGAAAAAAACAAAAGTCTCAAGTCAGGCCCAGAGACACCCGGGAACTGCTTACAGCTTGCACAGCATGAGAGAGGTGGCAGTACGATTTGAACTCAGATCTGCTTTCTTACAGACCCCATGTTCTCACCCCGATTTCCTATTCCCCCACAATGCTGTCACTTCAGTGATTGCTTCTCACCCCAATCCAGCCCCGGCCAGGGAGAGCTGTGGGCAGTTAGCTAAGTGGGGAGAAGGAACCCCGCAGTGTTCCAAACACAGAGGCCTTTACCAAACCCCGAAGGCAGTTAGTTTCTGGTTCACTTACAGGGAATTGCATCAAACAAAAATTCTTCCCCTGGAACTTCTGAATTTACCAGTCATGTTCCTTTCTCTTGAAACTTGATTCATATTCTTTTTTTTTTTAACTTTAAAATTGACCAGTGATATTGTATATCAATTGTATCTCAACAAAGTTGTTAAAAGAGAAACAGGCCACTGGTGAATTTCACCCTCCATGCATCATGCTGCTTAAACAGTGGCTGTCCCTTGAGCCTCTGTTCGCTGATTCACTGCTTTGGCCTCTCCCTTCTGTGCGCAATTCAGGGTGCATAGTTTAAGCCCTGGAAAAAGCCCTCGGGTAGACATGGTGAACCTAGGAGAGTCTTTCAGGGTCTATAAGCTCCGCAAGGGCAAGGGCTAGGCGTAGTTACCTTCCAGAATAGGACAGTATCTGTTCATTTGTTCATTCATTCATCTATCCACTCATCTGTTCATTCAAATACTTGTTGAGTGACGACCCGGTGCCAGGCCCTCCTCTGGGCTCTGGGAATTCGGCAGAGAACAAGGCTGACCTGATCCTTGTCTTCCTACAGTCGTGTTCCGATGAGGGAGACAGAGTAGACAAGAAGAGAGACAAACATATGCCCTAATATTGAAGCAGTGACCCTCCTTCAGACCTGTTTTTGAAAGAACAATGAAAGTAGCTGGTCCTGGCCAGGCGAGGTGGCTCATGCCTGTAATCCCAGCACTTTGGGAGGCCGAGGCGGGTGGATCACGAGGTCAAGAGATCGAGACCATCCTGGTCAACATGGTGAAACCCCGTCTCTACTAAAACTACAAAAAATTAGCTGGGCATGGTGGCGCGTGCCTATAGTCCCAGCTACTCAGGAGGCCGAGGCAGGAGAATTGCCTGAACCCAGGAGGCGGAGGTTGCGGTGAGCCGAGATCGCGCCATTGCACTCCAGCCTGGGTAACATGAGTGAAACTCCGTCTCAAAAAAAAAAAAGAAAATACAAAAAATTAGCTGGGCATGGTGGCAGATGCCTGTACCTAGCTACTCAGGAGGCTGAGGCAGGAGAATTGCTTGAACCTGGAGAGTGGAGGTTGCAGTGAACTGAGATCGCACCACTGCATAATAGCCTGGGCAATAGACTCTGTCAAGAAAAAAAAAAAAAAAAAAAGAACATAGCTGGGGAGCTGTTCCTATAGGAAGGACTGCTGCAGACAGCTGCCTGGACGTGTCTCTTACTCACTGCGGAGCCTCTTTCTCTTGACCTGAACCCAGTTTTGGAACCAGATCTCCATGTTTCTCAGTAACTCTCCCATTTCAGAGCTTTCCTGCACTAAGTGAAGTGTCTTGTCCAAGTACAAGGTTAAGGATGAGTCATTGTCACATATCTTTGAGTCTGTTCACAAGTCACATATTGGGCATTGTTTAAAGTGCCCACGTTATCTGGAATCTTGTCTTTTCACCAAGAAATTATCTAGAAATAATTACTCTGTGGCTGGGCACGGTGGCTCACACCTGTAATCCCAGCACTTTGGGAGGCTGAGGCAGGCAGATCACCTGAGGTCAGGCGTTCAAGACCAGCCTGGCCAACATGGTGAAACCCCATCTCTACTAAAAAATACAAAAATTAGCCAGGCGTGTTGGTGTGTGTCTGTAATCCCAGCCACTTGGGAGGCTGAGGCAGGAGAATCGCTTGAACCTGGAAGGTAGAGGTTGTAGTAAGCAAAGATCGTGCCACTGCACTCCAGCCTGGGCAACAGAGTGAGAGTCTATCTCAAAAAAAAAAAAAGAGAGAAAGAAAGAATTACTCTGACTCATTAATATTCCTTCCTCCACCTTGATCCTGGCTCATAATTGAAAGATGACATTTTATAACAAAGCATCTCTGACGTAAAGGATGCATTTGGTTTGAATCCAAATCAAGTTTCATCTGCTCACATTTTAGTCTCTTAAATATTCTATTGCCAACAGAACATTCAAGCAGACGTATAAGCCACATGGCAGGTTGATTTATTGTTCTGATTACTTGTTCTCCCGGGTCTCCTGAAAGTGCGTGCCTATCAATTTGCTGCTCTCAGAGAGCCCTTCGATCCAATGCAATACCCCAAGACAATGTGCCATGCGGTCTGTGCTGCCTGTGCTAATTAGCAGCTGAATTCGTATCTTGAAGCAATCAGTCTTCCTAGCACTATTAACTTTCTTATGACCCAGTGCCCATTTTATTACACAGTATAACAGGCACTAAATACCGGGGGATTTATGCCAATTATAGACAATAGGGATATTTATTTTGGTCATGAAATTGATGAAGATGTTTGAAGACTACGTGGAGTTTTCCCACAGTCTGAAATCCTACAGCTCTGATACTTAGATTGAAACATTTCCTATCTGTCAGACAGCACTGGAGTCTTTGGGGGATGGGTTTTCCCATCCCTTCTGGAAGTTTCTCTCTGTGTTGTGCCTCGGGTATACAAACAAAAGCATCAAGCTGAGAAGAGCTGTAACTTTTTTTTTTAAGTTCCAAATACCTTTTTTATGGGGAGTAGCACGTCCCCACAGAGAACAGAAGAGGTGAAATAATTTTTTTTACTCCAAATTTCCAAAGTCAGACCTGCAAAAGTATAGCCTTGGAGAGGGTGGGGACATTGTAGTCCGTGTCCCTCCATCTTCTAGTGAGCACTCCTTCTCCAATACTAGATGCCCCAGGGAAAATGTGAGTCGTGCACGAAATGGGCTGTATAAATTGTGAGACCTTAATCCTTCTGTTAATTCTACCACGGAGTCCTAGCCACAAGGTTTTCGGAGACAGACACTAAACACAGACTATGAGCGCCACCTGGTGGCCAGGTGCAGGGTGCACGGCACACCGTGTCTGCATTGTTGGGGTCCCCCCCACTCCCACCCTGTCATATCTTATGATATGCCTGCAACATGATGTGAGGATTATCAGGGATTCTTGCATCTCCTCTTAATGACAGCCACACTGGCATTTTAAGTGAGCCTAGGCAAGGCTTACAAACGCACACAAAAATATTATCAATCTGCCTTCCTGGAGACGGGCAAGAAAAGCAGACACTAAGACCCACCATGGAATAATCACAGTGAGTATCTATGTGGTGAGCCAGGCATGGTCCGAGTACTATTCCATCTACTCACTCACTAAATACTTTCAACAACCCTGAAATTACAACCATCACCGTACCCACTTACAGAATTTAAAAAATGGGCAGAATTGGTGTCCTCCCTATTTTCACACAGACAGATTTTGCAGATGGCAGCCTGGTTCTTGAGTCCCTACAAGCTCTATGGCCTCCGGTTCTTAATGCTGGTTCCTAGAGCGATGTGATAAGATGGAAAGAACTGGTAGCAGGCAACCAAAGCCTGGATTTGGATGGTGACTCTACCACCGACTGATCCGTGCAATCCCAAGCAAGTGAGCTCACCCCTCTGAGTCTTGATTTACTCACTTGCAAAATGGGAGCTGATATGGTTTGGCTGTGTGCCCACCAAATCTCAACTTGAGGTGTATCTCCCAGAAATCCCACGTGTTGTGGGAGAGACCCAGGGGGAAGTAATTGAATCGTGGGGGCCGGTCTTTCCCGTGCTGTTCTCGTGATAGTGAATAAGTCTCACGAGATCCGATGGGTTGATGAGGGGTTTCCACTTTTGCTTCTTCCTCATTTTCTCTTACCACCATGAAAGAAGTGCCTTTCACCTCCCGCCATGATTCGAGGCCTCCCCAGCCATGTGGAACTGTAAGTCCAATTAAACCTCTTTTTCTTCCCAGCCTCGGGTATGTCTTCATCAGCAGCGTGAAAACAGACTCATGCAGGAGCATTCCCAGGAGCCTCCTGTGAGGAGGCCATGAGGCTCTGTTGAAGTAGTGTCTGTGAGTGGGCTTTGTAAGCTCTAGAGTGTTCTGTGAGATATAAACTATTGCTGTCATTTGAGGGAATTAATTTTATAACCTGCTTCCCTCTCTTGAACTTTGCTCCATATTCAGTCAGTACTGGGCGATCTGGAACCAACAGGTGGTCTGTTTATGGCTGAGAGTCCAAAGGTCATTGGAAGGCACAGTAAGGAACCAGGTATCCCAGTGACACGAAGATAAGGTTCATGTTTCGATGACATAGGAAGGGGTGGTCCTTGAAGGAACAGGCCCTCCCCTGTCCCTTCCACTAGTTAAAACTAAAAGGCTTGGTTTCCTCAACACCCCAACCAAAAATCAATCTGAATCTTTCCGTCCAGCTTGTGAGAAGTACCTGTGTGTCTCCCAGACGTGGGCCAGCCCGCCTCTGACTGTGCCGCCTCCTCCCACAGATCAGTGCCCTACAGAAAGGCTACAGCCAGGTGCTGTGCCAGACCCTGTCCGGGCGGAACTCAGAAATCGCATCCCTGAAGAATGAGGGGGAAAATTTAAAGAGGGACCACGCTATCGCATCAGGTGAGCCCTTGCTGTAGCTGGGCCTGGGAGCCGCCACTCCCGCCCCCCATGTTCTTGACCACACCAGACATCACCAATCAACCACATACTTCTTGTTACTGAACTTGGCTGCAGCCTCAGAGTTCTTCTCAGCAGCCCTTTAGGCAGCCCCTGTCCGTGAATTTGAGTTCGTCCTCAGGAAAGGTTTATGTGCCATCCAGTTCCTAGCCTGTGGCCTTGTTTGGAGTCAGCCCTTGATAAATATTTGAGCAAATGTTATCTCTTAGCTAAGAGGCCTGCTGAGCATGGACCTCACCAGGGAACACACAGGACTGGCTGTGACTCAGGCAGTCCCATGAGCCAGTTTGCTGTGAATGCAAACTAGAATGTGGCTAAGCACCCAGCCTCTTACCCATCTCACACTGGTGGACTGGGGCTGGAGCCAAAGCATTTTGCTGAGAGGTAGCTGGATACTCAAGGACTCAATTGGGGAATGGGGCAGCCAATTCATGGCACACCCTTGCCAGGCATACCTGTTTCTTAGCCTGGATTCATTCATTCATTCGTTCATTCATAACACCTTTTTTTTTTTTTTTTTTTTTTTTTGAGACAGTATCTCACTCTGTCGCCAGGCTGGAATGTAGTGACACGATCTCGGCTCACTGCAATCTCTGCCTCCTGGGTTCAAGTGATTCTCCTGCCCCAGCCTCCCAAGTAGCTGGGATTACAGGCGCCTGCCACCATGCCTAGCTAATTTTTGTATTTTTAGTAGAGATGGGGTTTCACCATGTTGGCCAGGATGGTCTTGATCTCTTGACCTTGTGATCTGCCCACCTCAGCCTCCCAAAGTGCTGGGATTACAGGTGTGAGCCACCGTGCCTGGCTATCATTCAACACATTTGTGGAGCACCTGCTAGACCCCAGGCACTGTTTTAGGCACTGGGAAGAGAGAGCCTGGAGCAAACAGTCAAGATCCCTCTGCTCATAGGGCTCACACTTGGGAGAGGGTGACAGATAATAAGAAGTAAACAGATAAATGAACAAGCCCATACCAGCCAGAGATCAGTGCTCCAGAGGAAATAAAGCTGAGCACCATGGTGGGGAAGCACTTCGGTGGAGGGGTGAAGTGAAGCAGAATGGCTTAGTGCAAGCTTGTCCAGCCCACGACCTGTGGGCCACATACAGCCCAGGACAGCTTTGAATGGGGCCTGACACAAATTCATAAACTTTCCTAAAACGTCATGAGATTTGTGTGTGTGTGATTTTTTTTTTTTAGCTCATCAGCTGTTGTTAGAATGAGTGTATTTTATGCGTGACCCAAGACCATTCTGAGGGACGCCAAAAGATTGGACACCTCCCCCCCGGCTTAGTGTCTGGGTAGGGATATCTCTGAGGAGGTGGAGGGGCTTTCGGGAGGCCCCGGGAAGTGTGCCAGGCACAGAGCACAGTGCAAAGGCCCTGAGACCGGACCGAGCTGCAGTGTCAGAGCAGCTGCCGGCAAGTGTGGGCAAGTGTGGCTGGGTCAGGGAACCAGGGCTGTGGGGCCCAGTGGGGTCAGGGCAGAGCCGGGGCCGCATCACAGGGGAGGGGTTCAGGTTTTCTTCTAAGTGTGATGGGGTGCATTTGGTTTTTAAGGCAGAAAATGACATGTCCAGAGACCTGCAGATGGTGAGGCCATTGACAGAGAAAGGGGGAAGAGAGGAAAGCAGATGGGTGGGCAGGGAATGAGTCTGGGCTGGGCGTATTGCTCTGAAAGTCCCTGCACAACAGGAAACGTGCCTGCGGCTGTGAAGGCTGAGCTAGCAGTGAGCCGAGCACAATCGCCGTCTCTGCAGGACCCGGCCCCTGATCCTGGCTTTCCCTCTGCCTCACTCTGTAGTCTCCTCTCCACTACAGGCTTCTACTTCTGCTCTTTCCTAACCTGCAGTGTTCTCGGATACTTGTGAGCGCCTCCTATGGGCAGGGCTGCTCTGGGCACCAGGCATGTAAGGGGCATCTCGCTGGGCCCTGCCTTCCTCCCCGGCATCTGCCCATCACACCCCACCCATGCTGCAAGCCTGTCTCAGACCCCGCTTCCCTAATCAGGGAGGCGGACAGACCTGGGCTTGGGCGGGGCCTGGGATGCACTACACTGTCACGACTCCAGGTGTGGTCCAAAGACCAGCAGCATCAGCATCACCTGGACCCTTGTAAGAAACTCAGAATTTCAGGCCCTGCTCCTGACCTTCCGACCAGAATCTTTATTTAACAAGCCCCTGGCTGCTGCACGTGCACACTCCAGCTTGAGAAGCACTAGGCCGGGCTATGCTGCAGTGACAAACAGTCCCCCAAGTCTCAGTAGCTCACAGTACAGTAGACAGGTTCATTTCCTGCTTCCGCCTCAGGCCCACTGGGTCAGTAGGGGCTTTGGTCACTGTATCCACTCAGTGACCCAGGCTCACAGAAGCCAACACAACACATCACACGTCCCCTCTTCCATGGCGAGAGAGGCAGACGGAGGAGCAGGGACTGGAGTTCCTCACCTGCCTGAAACAAACAAACAAAGAAATAAAACAGAAAAGACATCTGAAATAATGGTTTCCATATATTGGCCCCAAGAAGCATGTGACAGTGATCTGGGAGGGAGTGGAAACAGACAAGATGAAACCAGTGATTGCCCCGGCTTGCGCTGGAGAGAGTTTCCAGACCACAGCAGGGAGGGGAAGCCAGATGGAGCCCAGGGGTCAGCTGGACTTGAGGAGCTGGGAGTGGAGAAGCCAGCACAGCTTGAGTTTGCTGGTGGGGATGGCAGTGCCAGGCGGGAGGGGGCTGCACGGAGAGCACCCCAGAGATCTCAGAGGGTCCCCCTCAATTTTTCAGCAGAGTCAGGTGTGATCAGCGCGTGCATGTGGGCAGGGAAGGAACCAACCTGGAGCAGCAGAGGGAAGCAACTCGAACCCCACGTGGGCCTGAGAGTAGCTCACTCTCCCATAGTCCAGAATGGGGAAAGCTTGCATGACACAGGGTGCCTGGGAGAGACTTGAGCCAAATTCATTCTAGAGAAAAGGCCACGCTGGTCCCACCCAGCAAAGCATGCAGCCAAGCCCCAGAGACCACAGTCTGTCTCCAAGGAACTTAGCTATGTCCTGGGACAAAACTCATTTTTACATAAAATTCTGAATCATGTTGTTCCTTATTACACATTCTTGATTGTGCAATAAAGATTGATTCTTGACTGATACCCACCAATAAAACTAGAATGAATGTTTTTCTTTTCTTTTTTTTTTTTTTTTTTTGGGGGGATGGAGTTTCTCTCTTGTTACCCAGGCTGGAGTGCAATGGCGCGATCTCGGCTCACCGCAACCTCCGCCTCCTGGGTTCAGGCAATTCTCCTGCCTCAGCCTCCTGAGTAGCTGGGATTACAGGCACACGCCACCATGCCCAGCTAATTTTTTTGTATTTTTAGTAGAGACGGGGTTTCACCGTGTTGACCAGGATGGTCTCGATCTGTTGACCTCGTGATCCACCCACCTCGGCCTCCCAAAGTGCTGGGATTACAGGCTTGAACCACTGCGCCCAGCCCTAGGATGAATGTTTTTCTAAGAAAAGGACCCTATAATCCAAAACCACTGCGTTTACGCACCCTTCTCACTTTTTCTCAATGTGATAATACAATACTGTATTGGCTATCGCTGTTACATAACAAGTTATCCCAAAAAGCAACAAATATGTTTATCTCACCCAGTTTCTGTGGTTCAGGAACTTGGGAGTGACTTAGTCTGGCTCAGGGTCTCTCATGAGGTTGCAGGAGCTGTTGCTGTCATGTCCTGTAAAGCCTGACTTGGGCTGAGGGATCCCCATCCGGAATGACTGGCTCCCATGGCTGTTGGCTGGAGGCCTCAGTCCCTCACCATGTGTGCCCTTCCCTAGGGCCACTTGAGTGTCCTCACAACATGGCAGTTGGCCTTCCCCAGACTGAGTGATCCAAGAGCGAGCAAAGGTGAAGCCACAACATCTATGATGACTCAGCCTGGGAAGTCACATTCCCCGCTTCCGCAGTGCCATATGAGTACACACGTCAGCCCTATTTGGGTGGGAGGGGGCTACACAAGGCCAGGAATACTAACAGGCAGGGATCACGGGGGCCATTTTGCAAGCTGGCTACCACATATAGTCATGGGTGGCAGGTAATAAACACTATGTGCTAGCCACTCTACTATGTGCTTTATATATATCATCTTTTTTAAGCCTTACGACAACTTTGCAGATACAATGAGAGGTTAAATAGGCCACTAAGCTAAGCTGAGCATCGTGGCTCATGTCTGTGATCCCAGCACTTTGGGAGGCTGAGGCTGGCAGATTGCTTGAGCCCAGGAGTTTGAGATCAGCTTGGGCAACATGGGCGAAACTCCGTGTCTACAAGAAATACAAAAATTAACCAGGCATGGTGGCACATAACTGTAGTCCCAGCTACTCGGAAGGCGGAGGCAGGAGGATCACCTGAGTCCAGGAGGTCGAGGCTACAGTGAACCATGATTGTGCCATTGCACTCCAGCCTGGGTGACAGAGTGAGACCCTATCTCAAGAAAAAAGACGACTGAGCTAGTAAGTGGTAGAGACGGTTTCCAAACTCAGATGAGTGTGAATCAGCACATCCCTCCTGCCAGAAGCCCATCTCGTGGCCCCTCCCGGTCCCTCTCTCTGCTAAGCCTTTGTTCCCAGGGAGGGCCAAGGCCCACAGGTACCACGACAGATGTCTCATGTCTCCAGCAACATGCCCTGACGTCTCCTCACTGAGACCTTGAACGAGTGATGTGCAGCGGGTATTGTCTCCACCCCATTCAAGCTCCTGGGATCCTTGGAGACACCGCCCTTCTCGGTGCCAGGCTCATCACAGATTGGCTGACAGTGGTGGCGATGACAGTAATTCTCACTGCCTCTTTGACCTCTGTGAGTCTTCTTTTTTACAGGGATGGTGTCATCTTTGCAGAAAGACATGTTAGCAAAGGATGAGCAAGTTCAACAACTAAAGGAAGAGGTCAGTCAACTAAAAAGTCAGAACAAGGACAAGGATCACCAGCTGGAAGCCCTTGGCTCTAGAGTGAGTAAGGATGGCTGCGTCACCTTCTTGTAGCTGTCAGGTGAAAAGTAACCAAAGTGAAGTCGCACGATGTCTTTGTTTCATTCACCCTGGGCCCTTATTTTAAATGTATTCCTACCTCTCACACCGTGGTGCTGGGGGAAGGGGGATGGGGGCAAACGTGAAATGCTCACCTAGAAAGACTAAAACAACTGGCCAAGTTCTTTGCAGCTTTTCAAAGAACGGCATGCCTGGGGCCCAGAATAAGCAAGATGTAGCCTCAACTCCAGCAAACGTTTTCTAATGCCCGTTATAAATGAGTTTGGTCAATTCCAGCCGCAAATGCGCCCTCAGCATGAATACTTCCCTGGCAAGGCTTCAGATTAAAGCAGAATAGAATCACTGCATGCAAAAGAGGACACGGTGGGCCTCACCTCATCCAGTCACCACTGATCTGCACAGTCACCTTCGAAGCAAGATGTTTGCAGGTCCAAGTGCAGTTAGACAGGCTTTCACTTCTTCCCTTAGACCTCAGAGCGCGTGAGAACATTCTGTGTGGCGTGAACCTGCTAGGCAAATCAAGGGCTGTTTAAAAGTAATTTTGACGCGAGGCACAGTGGCTCATGCCTGTAATCCCAGCACTTTGGGAGGCTGTGGTGGGTGGATCACATGAGGTCAGGAGTTTGAGACCAGCCTGGCCAACATGGTGAAACCCCGTCTCTACTAAAAATAACAAAAATTAGCGGGGCGCCTGTAATTCCAGCTGCTCAGGAGGCTGAGGCAAGAGAATCGCTTAATCCCGGGAGGCAGAGGTTGCAGTGAGCCAAGATCATGCCACTGCACTCCAACCTGGATAACAAGAGTGAAACACTGTCTTAAAATAATGATGATAATAATAATTTGGACTATTTGCAACGTGGACCTCAATGCTCTGACTTTAGAATCCTGAATCTATAGGATTTATCAATATTTGAGGTTTATTTATTTGAAAAATAAAGACAGGCATTTCAGATGTTCACATGAGTTTGGAATTAACCAAATTCATTTTTAACGGGCGTGTGGTCAGCCCGCCTCACCAAGCCCTCTGCATCCATCTCCTGAGCAGGGTCACTGCCTGGATTAAATGTGTTGTGGCTCTTTCAGGTGTGGGGTGTGCGGGTTTGTGGATGTGGGTGTGAGGATGTATGTGGGTGTGTGGGAAGGTGTGTGGAAGTGTGTGTAGGTGGGTGGGAGGGTGAGGTGTGTAAGGGAGTGTGGGTGTGTGTGGGTATGTGGGGGTGTGGGGGTGTGAGGGGTTGTGTGGGGTGTGTGTGGGTGTATGTGAGGAGGAGTGTGTAGATGTGTGGTATGTGTGGCTGGGTGTGTGGGGTGTGTATGGGTGTGTGAGCATGGGGGGAGTGTGGGTGTGTGGGGTATGTGGACATGTGAGTGAGGGTGTGTGGGGGGTGTGGATGTGTGTGGGTGTGAGTGTGTGAGGGGTGTAAATGTGTGTAAGTGTGTATGGGTGACTGTGTGGGTGTCAGTGTGGGTGTGTGAGAGATGTAAGTGTGTATAGGTATATGGGGGTGAGTGTGTGTATATATGGGTGTGTGAGGGGTATAAATGTGTGTAAGTGTGTGGGTGAGTGTATAGGTGTGTGGGTGTGTGAGGGGTGTAGATGTGTGTGGATGAATATGGGTATGTGTGTGAATGTGTGTAAGTGAGTGTGTGGGTGAGGGTGCGTGTGGGGTGTGTGTAGGTGTGTGTGGAGTGTGTGCGGTGTGCGGGTGTGTGTAGGTATGTGTGTGGGGTGTGTGGGTGTGTTTAGGTGTGTGGGGGTGTGCAGGTGTGTGTAGGTGTGTGAGGGTGTGCGGGTGTGTGTAGGTGTGTGGGGGTGTGCAGGTGTGTGTAGGTGTGTGTGGGGTGTGCAGGTGTGTGTCAGGGCCGTAGAGCTGACATCAGACGCAGAACTATGGAGAAACAGTACCTCTGGCTCTTCTACCCAGCAAAGGCATTTGGGTTACTTTTGTCCCATGTCCCCTTCCCCGTTGACCTTGGGCTGCCGTCTTCTCCGGGCTGCACCTGGCATTCATCAGCATGTGGGCTCCTGGTGAGCAAGGATATGGCTCATGTGAACATCCGAAATGACTGTCTTTGTTTTTCAAATTACATATGCTGTGTTAATTTTAGAATAAAAAGTAGAGAAAACTGGAAAGCAAAATTAAAGAGAGAAGAGCATGCTACCCCAAGAAATCTAGGACAGCACTTGAGTGCATATGCCTTCTGTTTTCTTTCTATAACTACCTAGAAAAAAAGATGTATGTAATAGATATATAACAACAAACTTACACTATACCCATTTTTTAAACTTTAAACAATCACTGTGTTCCCACATTGACAAGAGCTGTTCTCACGGGTCTTTCAAGCTCCCTTATACTCTCTTGTCTGTGCACAATGGAATCAAACAGCCCCAGGTTACTGAGCACGGGCGTTTCCTTTCTGCTCACTATGGCTAATAGTTCTCTCAAAAACATCCCTAAACTCACAGATGTGCCGACCGGTCCGGCCATTGTCCCTATACATTCCTCAAGCAGAATTTCTGGGTCAAAAAGGAGGCACATTATTTATGTTCTTAATGCCCCTTGCCAGATTGCCCTCCGGAGTGGCTGTTCCATTTCCACCGCCACTCCCAGGCCAGTGACGTCTCGGGGCAGTAAATTGCATGAAGCGCTAAGAGCCGTCCAGGCGCACTTGGGACCGTCCAAGGACATCAGCGCATATTCCTCAACACAGACTCTCTGAAGCTGGGTTTCCTTGTGGTTTACATTGCTGGCTTTTGAAGATGAGAGCATTTGCTGTATGCCTCTGATTTCATGAGTGGAGAACCAGGAATGGCTGCAGGATCCTGTGTGCCCGTCAGACACAAGGGGACGCCTTTAGGGATTTCTGCGGGTGACTGGATGGAAACAGCCAGAAACCCTCTCAGGGGCTCACATGCGGCCTCGGAGCCCCTCCTTCCCCGAACAGCCCTACTTGGCCAACATCAGCCTCTTTCTCTGTCACCCTGTCCTCCACAGTGCTTGGTGCTAAAGGAAGAGTTAAAGCAGGAAGGTGCTCACAGGGAGCTCAGGGAAGCCCAGGAGAAAGAGTTAAAACTCTGCAGAACCGTGAGTTGAGCTTCCTCTTTCCACCAGAAAAACCAGAGTTTGACCTTCGGGTGCTTGGTGGGATCCTGGGCATCACTCAGCACCAAGCCCTGGAGCTCTATGTGTGCTTGCTTGTTTGTTAACATGGTCTCATCACTCTTTGATCTGCTGCTTCTGTACAGGTGAAGGGACCCCAGGATTCCCTGGGCAGTTGGCTCTGGCTCCCTCAAGGAGCCAGGCTGGGGTTGAGACTGGGGACAGGGACAGGAGGCTGGCTAGCTGACCACCACATGGTCCCCTGCCCTACCCCCGACCTGTGACTCTCAAACGTGTGTTCCACTGTTCCAAGTTTAATCCTAAACACAAGCACTTCCTGAAGTATTTTTATTTAAACACAACCATTTATTTATTTACTTACTTATTTATTCATTTTTGAGATGGAGTCTTGCTCTGTCACCCAGGCGGGAGTGCGTTGGCGTGATCTCGGCACACTGCAACCCCGGCCTCCCGTGTTCAAGGGATTCTCCTGCCTCAGCCTCCCAAGTAGCTGGGACTACAGGCGCCCGCCACTACGTCCCGCTAATTTTTGAATTTTTAGTAGAGACGAGGTTTCACCATGTTGGCCAGGATGGTCTCGATCTCTTGACCTCATGATCTGCCCCCCTCAGCCTCCCAGATTAGACATGAGCCACTGCACCCAGCCTACACACAACCATTTAATATCCACTTATAAAAACAAAATAAAAAGTTATTTACTTTATATAGAAGGTAACCATAAAAATAAATGCAATGATAACAGGACCATTAGAGTAAAGGGAGGTGTATTCCCATGCCCTCTGAATCTACCGCGCACCTCACCAGGTGTGCATTTTCCCTTCATTGGGAAGCTCAGCTTCTCCGGCATGCTCTTCCCACGCTAGCGCTGTTCCTCCAGGCCAGGAGCATTTTACTCCCTGCCTCAAACAAAAAAAGAAAAACATTTCGTTGTTCTGTTCTTCCAGACCTTGCCTGTTGTGTCTTCCAAACGATTGCCCCTTTAGATTCGTCTCAAAAATATACCCCAAGAGCAGGGTGTTTCTAATGAACTGATGGATCCTGTAGCGCCTAGTTCAGGACTGTCCTGACTTCCAAAAGAAACTAATTTCCTTTATCCAGAACTTTTAATATATCAGTTGAAAAACAGTCTATTTTGCCCACTATTGTAAAACCTTCCCCTGGGAGAAAGAATTAGACAAGCCGATACCACACAAGGTCCCACCTTAATGAATGGGATGCAAGGGGTTTTGAGGGCTCAGACCAGGAAGGCAGCTCCTGCAGCCCAGCAGGGAGGTTCACTCTGTTGTTGAATCTTTCTCAGCAAATCCAAGACATGGAGAAAGAAATGAAGAAGCTTAGGGCGGAGCTGAGGAAGAGTTGTACTGAACAGAGCGTGATCTCTAGGACCCTGAGAGAAAAGAACAAGGTACGGAGCAGACGCCGGACCCAGAGAGTGCTGTGGCCAGGAGCGCCCCACTCACCACCCCTGTTAGTCCTCGAAGTGGCCTATGTTGCTATTAACCCTTCTTACAGCTGAGAAAACTGAGGCTCACACAGGGAAAGGGACCGTTCACTCCACAGATAAAGTAATTGTGGCAGGATTTGAACCCAGGTTTGTCTGACTCCAAAGCCCCTGTGAGTAACCCCACTATGCCGCACTGCCTTCTAAAACTGTTTCTTGATTTTTTGGTAAATGAGACCCTCCCGCCTGCCAGTTCCAGTGAGTTTAGTGTTGCTTAATTATTTTAATGTTCCTTCCCATCATTGGAAAAAAAAAATTGCATACTCCAGACCTGTGCTATCCATTACAGTAGCCACTAACCATGCATGGCTATTTAAATTTAAATTAAGTCATGGTAGCTCACTCCTGTAATCTCAGCACTTTGGGAGGTGGAGGCACGTGGATCCATCACCTGAGGTCAGGAGTTCGAGACCAGCCTGGCCAGCATGGCGAAATACCGTCTTTACTAAAAATACAAAAATTAGCCAGGTGTGGTGGGGCTGGCCTCACAGGTATGAGGCCTGTAATTCCAACTACTAAGGAGACTGAGGCAGGAGAATCACTTGAACCCAGCAGGCGGAGGTTGCAGCAAGCCAAGGTGACTGCACTCCAGCCTGGGCGACACAGCAAGACTACATCTCAAAAAAAAAAAAATAAATTAAAATCAATTTAAAATAAACAAAACAAAATGTCGCTCCTCAGTTGCACCAGCCACGTTCCAAGTGCACAGTAGCCACATGTGGCTGGCGGCTGCAGCACTGGACCACACAGATACGGAAATTTTCATCAGCACAGCAAATCCTGTTGTTTTAAACTAATGGTGACCTCTTTAAGCAACGGTGACCAATTGAAGAGTTGTATAAAAGATGCTTGTGGATCACACATATTTTAATTTTTTTTAACTGAAATTTTCTTTTAAGAGCCCTGAGCGGTAAGGACAGAGTCTATTTCTTTCCATTTGAATCGTCTACTTTATTTGATTAGAAGATGGTTGTCAGTGAGAAAACTAATAATTTTTTTTAAATAAGTAAAGACAGAGATTCACTATATTGCTCAGGCTGGTCTTGAACTCCTGGCCTCCGGTAATCCTCCTGACCCAGCCTCCCAAAGTGCTGGGATTACAGGTGTGAGACACCATGCCCAACCACAACTGAGAACATTTTAAGAACAAATCTGAAAGGCAGAGGAATTCTATGTGAAGGGAAGTTCTCAGGAATGATCTGAGAAATAAAAGCAAATCTAGTTTTTTTCTCCAATTTTATTTAATATGAATGTGAATACAGTCACCGGAGATCAAATCATTAAAACCTCACAAGCGGAAATGTGTACTACACCAGGATCACATCGTATGGATAGTATTGAAGCCTGCAAAAGTTGGCCAGACATAAGTAGACTTGGCAGAAATAACACAAAATTCAAATCAACAATTAAAACTACACAGTGTAAACTTTATTATCGATTAAAACTTAAGAGAAAAATCAAATATTCTTATCCAGGCGTGGTAGCTCACACCTGTAAACCCAGCACTTTGGAGGCCGAGGCAGGAGGATTGCTTCAGGCCAGGAGTTCAAGACCAGCCTGGCCAACATAGTGAGACCCTGTCTCCACAAAAAATTAAAATAATCACTTAAAAAAATCAAATATTCTTGAAAAATTTTAGATTTGTAAAATATAATCTGGGGAAAATGGACATGGCAGAAATGAGAACTACAAAATAAGACACAGTGACAGACCTGCGGTTGGTAAATATTTGATAGGATCCAGAAAAACTTACAGATGAATCAAATATAATTACATAATTTACCTACAAAAGAACTAATCCAGATAAAAATAATTTCAGGAGACTAATGTGTAAATGAAAACATTTGGAAAGCTGTTAAACAATTGGCTTAATGAACTTCACTCTGGAAAATGCCCTCCCAATGAAAATGAATTGACTATGGTATATTTTTCTTTTAAGTTGTTGTAGTAATGAACATGGAGTCAAAATGCTCTCAGGGCTGTCAGATTTTCTCTAAGCAAGGCTTTGGCTGCATTCCACAAGTCTTAGTACATAGTATTTTCATTATTACCCAGATCAAAATATTTTCCAAATCCCATTGTGTTATTTCTTCTTTCACCCATGGGTTACTCTGAAGTTTATTTCCTAATTTCTAAAAATATGAGGGTTTTCTGTTTACTTTTTTTGTTACTGATTTTTAGCTTAATTACACTGTGGTCAGAGAACATCTTCTGGGTAACTTCAATCTTTTAATATTAATTGAGACTTGCTTTATGACCTGCATGTGGTCGACTGCGGGTCCACACGTACACTTGAAAAGAATATGCATTCTGCCATCATTGGGTATAGTATTCTATACACGTAATGCTCAAAACTTAAACGCTCTTGTTGATTTTTTGTCTGTGTGTTTTGTCAGCCACCGAGAGGCATGTTGTTTAAAGATCCTATCATGATCGTGGACTTGTCTGTTTCTTTTTTTAATATTGTCCATCTTTGCTTTATATATTTTGAGCCCGTGTTAGTAGATGCATATAAATTTACCATTTCATTACTTCCTATCGAATCAAATCTTTGACCATTACGAGATGCCCCTCTTCATTGCTAGGGATGTTTCACCCTTAGAGTCTTTGTCATTAAGGTAGCATCATCGGCTACACTAGCTTTCTTTTGATTTGAGTTTTCATAGACAATCTTTTTCATACTTTTTATGTCAGTCTTTATTTTATAATGTGTATCTCATATGAACAGCATGTAGGTTTTATGCAGTTTGACCATTTTTGTCTTATAGTCCAAGTATATTTAACGTAATTGCCGGTATACTGGGATTTAAATTTATCTTCTTGCTCAGGGCCAGTTGTACTTCCTGTTATGTTCCTTTTTCTCTCCATTCTCGGCTTCTTTTGAGTTGATAGCTTTTTATCATTCCCTTTTTCCCTGTATTAGCTTGGAAACTTTCTCTGTTTTACTCTTCATTTAGTAATCATAAGACAAGAGCACGCATTCGTGACTTACCAAAATCTGTATTTAGTGAGTTTTTAACTCTTTTACTGTTTTAGTGATTATTCTAAATTTTACAATATGCATTTTCAAGTCACCAAAATTCAATATTCATTAATAATATGTCCTTCTTGTTAACACAATGACTTAGGCATTGACACTTTAACTTCACTTTCCCCATCCAGACTCATATGCCACTGTTGTCATTTTCTAAACTTCTCTCTGTATTTCAAACTCTAAGACATTATTAGTATTTTTCTATAGTCAATATCCATATCTATATATGACTATTTTATCTTCTCCACATATTTGATCATCCATCTAGATTTTTCTTCAGCCTGAAGAACATCCATTAGTATTTTCCTTCAGCATGGCTCTGCTGGTGTCATATTCTCTCAGGAGTGTGTATGTGCATGTGTGTGCATGCATGCATGTGTGTATGTGTGTGTGCATGTGTGTATGTGTGTGCACGTGTGTGTGCCTGTGTGTACGCGTGCATGCATGTGCATGTGTGCGTGCATGTATGTGTGCATGTGCGTGCATGTGTGTGTGCATGTGTGCGTGCATGTGTGCATGCATGTGTGTGTGTGCATGTGTGTATGTGTGTGCGTGCATGTGTGTGTGTCAGCATGCATGTGTGTGCATGTGCGTGTGTGTGTGTGCATGTGCATGTGTCTGAAAACGTTTATGTTTATCCTTCATTCATGAAACATCTTTTGACTGGGTTTTGAATTCTGCACTGCCAGTTGTTTTCCTTCAGCACGTGATAGATGTGAAGTCTATCATTCTACTGTCTTTTGGCGCCAATCATTTATATTTAGAAGTAAGCTATAACCTAACTATTGTACGATTGTGTCGTCTTTTAATATTCTACTTTTTTTAATGTTTATTTTCCTTTGATTTACAGCAGTTTTATTGGATGTATCTGGGTGTAAATTTGTTTTTATCTATCTTGTTGAGGTTCGTATGGGCCTCTTGAATCTTGGGCTTGGTGTTTTCCATTAGTTTTGGAGCTTGGGCTGCAAGCTACCTAGGCAGTGGGGAGCTACTGAGGCTTTTGAACAGGGAACTAATGTGATTAAATTTGGGATTAATGGTAATGGTGAAAATGATCGCCACAGTTTTTCATGGACTCAGCTTTGTGCCAAATATTTCATCTCTTTTCATCCTCACAACACCTCTGACCTAGAAATTATTATGCCCATTTAACTTTTTTAATATATTGGAGCCTTTCAAGATGCCTGTTTCACAGATGTGGAAGTCAAGGCCCAGAGTCAAGTCTCTGCCCAAAGGCACACAGTCAGTAGGTGGCAAAGCCAAGATCGGGGGAAGCCAGACCTGTCTGACTGGTTACTGTGGCACAGCCATTAGCCACGTGTGGCTATTTAGGTGAAATTAAATATGATGTAAAATTCAGTTCCTCAGTCACGTGAGCCACACTTCAAATGCTCAACAGCCAGATGTGGCCAGTGGCCACCGTATGGAATAGCACAGCATCAGGGCATTTCATCATTGCAGAGAGTTCTACCAAACGGTGCTGCCCCACCACTTGGCAACCCGCTCACAGGACCAGGAAGGGTGTTCTGGAAGGAAATAAATTAGAGGCAAGGAGGCCAGGTATCACAGCCAAAGGTGCTCAGGGCCTAGCCTGAGACCGTGCATATTAGTCTGTTTTCATGCTGCTGATAAAGGCACACCCGAAACTGGGAAGAGAAAGAGGTTTAATTGGACTTGCAGTTCCACATGGCTGGGGAGGCCTCAGAATCATGGCGGGCGGCGAAAGGCACTTCTTACACGACGGTGGCAAGGGAAAAATGAAGAAGAAACCAAAGGAGAAACCCTTGATAAACTCATCAATCTTGTAAGACTTACTGTCACAAGAATAGCATGGAAAAGACTGGTCCCCATGATTCAATTACCTCCCTCTGGGTCCCTCCCACAACTCTGGGAAATACAATTGAAGTCGAGATTTGGGTGGGGCACAGCCAAACCATCTCACCATGCACAGGGGAGGAGCTCAATAAATCTTTGAGAGTTGGTGCCAAGGGCCTGCTATGTGGCAGGGATATGAGGAACAGGATTGCCAGAGCTGGGGCTGGGGGCAGAGAGAGCATTTACTGAGAGGAGGAGCCCAGAGCTGAGCCCAGGACAGCCTTCTGCAGCATTTGAAAAATGTCCACCTCGACTGGGCACAGTGGCTTATGTTTGTAATCCCAGCACTTTGGGAGGCCAAGGTGGGCAGATCACAAGGTCAGGAGTTCGAGACCAGCCTGGCCAACATAGTGAAATCCCGTCTACTAAAAACAAAAAAATTAGCTGGCTGTGGTGGTGGGCACCTGTAATCCCAGCTACTTGGGAGGCTGAGGCAGAAGAATCACTTGAACCCAGGAGGCAGAGGTTGCAGTGAGCCGAGATCGTGCCACTGCACTCCAGCCTGGGCAACAGAGCTAGACTCCATCTCGGGACAAAAAGAAAGAAAAACGTCCACCAAAACAGAAGCTGGGGCATTTTTGCACCTGAGAGGATGCAAGTGGGGAAACTGAGGACCACCGAGCTTAGCTGGCCTTCCCAGAAACACAGCTCGCTGGAGACTGGCTGCACCCTGCCATTCAGAAGAAATCTCTGCAGGTTACTCTGGATGTTTTACATGAAATCTGTGTGACCCCTCTCTGGCCCCCTAATAAACCTTGTGAGGTTGTTTCAGAACAAGATCCTCTCACCTGGGAGAGTTTGTCTCATTGCCTGGGAGTGCCTGAGCCCTGGTTCTGCAGACGCTCAAAATAATCTTCATGGTTCAGACGTGAACCGAGCAGCTGCAGGGTCCTATCATGGCCAGCAGAGGGCAGCACCGAACATGCCCAAGCTCGCCTGGAGTTGCCCATTATCCAAGGAAGCAGGATACATAGGCAAGTTTCCCCGCTTTAAACGCTGCCTTTTGCAGGCTGCAGTTCTTTACTGGCCATTGCTTAGCGAGTCTCCCAGAGCTGTTTCCCTTGGTAAGTGTGCTGGAAGTGGTAACAACAAGCAGTTATGATAATAAACGCAGCAGTAACATTTACCGAGTGCCCACGATGGGCGGCGGTTCCTTACGGTGTCAGGATGACACTGCATGGTGGCTACTCCCATCCACCTGTCCTAGGTCACAACACCTAACACACTTATAGAGCCCTTATGAAGTGCTGTCACTGTTCCAGGCTTTTTTAAATTCCCACAGTAACTCTGGGAAGAGGGAACTGGTATCATCACCCCATTTGACAGACAAGGACACTGAGTCATGGAGCCATGAATGACTTTGCTGAGGTCATACAGCTTGTTAGGGACAGAGCTGGGATTGGGGCTCAAGATGCAAGACCCAGCCCTTTCCCCCAGCGAGCAGTGCCCCCTAAGCCTGCCTCCACCCCGTGCACGCCTGTGACCCCTGCCACATGGGCTGCAGCTGTGCCTACCCCTCTGGGACCCCCCCACGGCCATTAGACGTCCTAGAGGAATTTCCCGAGAGCGCATTATGACCACATGAGCAGCAAGCACACACTTTCGTCATCATTTCAGGTTGAAGAGAAGCTTCAGGAGGATTCCAGAAGGAAACTGCTTCAGCTGCAAGAAATGGGCAACAGAGAGAGCCTCATTAAAATCAATTTGGAGAGGGCAGTAGGTCAGGTAGGCATGGTCCGGAGCCCCCTTCATTGGCCCGCACTCCCCAATGATTGCACCCAAGCAGCCGGCAGGGGTGAGAGAGGAGGATGCCCAACGTAGGAAGACAGACGTGCATTCCTTCTCCCGTCTCTCTCACGGGCAGAGGCTGTCTGCAGCTCCCCGTCCCCGTGGTCATCGCTAAAGAGGCTTCCGCTACTGGGAGGCCTCCCACTCAAATAGTTTGCGATGACCTGAGCCCCAGACCAGGTAGCCCATCCCGGCTCCCTGCCTGTCCCCAGTTAACTGAGCCCCTTACCCTCAGTGGTGTTTCTAGCATCTTCTCCCTAACGATCTTAGTCCTGACATTTACCACAGATTTCCTTCCCCTCGGGCCCCAGCAGACACTGCACTCCGTGTCTATAGGGATATGCCACTTTCTTAATAAACTAAAACCCCAGAGTGTCCACAGTGGGTACTGGATGGAGAAGCTCCCAGCTGCGTGTGAGCTATGACCCGGTCTTTAGGTGCCATTTCTCTGATGCTGTGGCCTGAGGTCACTGGTGGCCCTTCCTGGCATATGTGGCACCATCGTGAGGGCCAGAATGTGCAGGCGAGACTTTACCAAAGGCTAAGGGAGAGCAAACAGGGAACCAAGACAGGAGGGCAAGACCTTCAGGCATGTGGCCCCCGGGGCAGCCACCCTAGAGTCCTCCACGAGGGTCCCTCTCCTGGAAACCACGGCTCTGGGGGATCCACAGAATGGTTTGGGCAAATGCGTGTGTGTGTGTGTGTGTGTGTGTGTGTGCATGCATGCGCGCGCGCATGTGTGCACTTTTTTATTACTGGGAGGGAGGGCTGTGTGTGTGTATGTGCATGAGCATGTGTGTGCTTTTTTATCACTGGAAGGGAGGGCCGAGTGTGTGTGTGTGTGTGTGTGTGTGTGTGTGTGTGCGCGCGCGTGTGTACACCTTTTTATTACTGGGAGAGAGGGCCATGTGTGTGTGCGTGTGTGTGTGCGTGCGCTTTATTACTGGGAGGGAGGACTGTGTGTGTGTGTGCTTTTTTATTATTGTGAGGGAGGGCCTTGTGTGTGTGTGTGCGTGTGTGCGCGCGTGTGTGTGCTTTTTTATCACTGGGAGGGAAGGCCTCCCACTGGATTCTCAGGCAGGTCTGTGAACTACCAAAAAAGGTTAAATGCCAGGATCCCTCCACAGCATCCAGCTCAGCTCCCAGAGCAGTTCCATTTTCTACCATCCAAGCTTTACCAGGTGGTGTGACCAGGTCTTTGTCCCTGCACACTAAAATTCAGATATTCACCGCTGTCACCCCCAGCACCATTTCTCCTGCGGTTGCCAGCCCCTTATCAAGGGCGGAGAGCCTGCCTGTCTGGGCCTCTTCCTGTGCACCTTGGCCACTCCCGCCCTCCCCGCAACACATACCTGATTTCAGGGCCTGACCTGTGCTCTTTGCCCAAGGGCCAAGGTTCGTGTTCCAGCTCTGGGCAAAGGTCATCTGGGAGGAGCCTTGGAGGTACTGAGACTGCTCCAGGTCTACACCCAAGAGAGAAAGGACCAGCCCCGTCTCTGCCTCCCAGGCCCTTCCACTCCTGCATCTCCAAGGCCCTGCTCCCTAACAGACTGCCCTTCACGAGGCAAGTGACGCCAGGCCCAAGGCCACGTCTAAGATGATCTCTCCCTCCTAATGGCTCTGGGCAGCCATTCCTATGGTGAGCCCCTGGTGGCAATGGGGAGCCAGCATTCACAGGACCTCCTCTACACAACCAAGTCTTTGGGTGAGCTGGGACCCTCCCCTTGGCCATGAAGCCAGAAGATGGCTTTGAGAACCTCATGTCACCTGGTCTTCTCCTGGCAGGGTCACTGCAGAGATGTCCCTAAGACATTCGCCATTAGGACTCCCCCGTGCGGTAAATACCTGTGTCTTGGGCCCCGTTGACTTTTAGGTTGACGCAGTAGCCCTTTCGGTCCCTTCAAGGCTCTGCTTTGGAGCCTTTGATAACCACATTTTGCCAGTGAACCAGAGACTCACACCAGGGGCTGCCGTGTTGATAAACTCCCAGAGAAAGTCGGGCTCCTTTTTACCTTTTAACTTCTGACGAAATCAGGACACCCTGGACTTGGGATTCTATAAGCCCAGACTTAATGTCACTTCTATTTCATCAGCCTTAACCTGAAAACACTAGCACCCAGGAGGGGCCAGTGAAAGCCGCCTGAAGTCGAGGCCCTTGGCTTTAGCCGATGTTTCTGTGTCCAGGCATTTAATGAAGGCTTGTTGGGTGTTTGGGTGTCTCCTCTACATCAGGCACTGTCGTGGGCTCTGGGGAGACCAAGGTGAACATGATGGGCATAGTCTTCAGGACGATATGGGCTCAGGCGTGAAATGGAGAAAGAGAGAACTTTCTCCCCTCCCTGGGCTTCCTTGCTGACTACACAATTTACTTGGGCTGACAGCCTCCATATTTATTTCACAGTCTGGTGCCAACTGAGCAATTACCAAAGAGCGCTCCCGGCCCCAGACTTCCCATTGGATAATTGGCAGCAAGAGGCTCTTCTGAAGGTTTGAGACATGTGTGTGCCCTGACCACAGGCATCGGTCGGGTTAGGCAGGCGTGCCTGAAGAGTAATTAAAGCCTGCTGTTCTCTTTTCTTCTGTGGGTACCGCGACTCCCGGAGAGCAGCGAAGATTCTGATGACGCAGAACGATCATTCAGGCGTGCAAACCCTTCCAAGCGGTGTTTCCGCACGCTGCCGTGGAAACGCTGCCCCCACCGGCCGGCCTCCGCCGGCCCCCTGACCCTTTGCCCCTCTTTCTGCTGCAGCTAGAGCACTTCAGAAGTCAAGTCATCAAGGCCACCTACGGACGGGCAAAGCCATTCCCAGACAAGCCTGTCACCGACCAACAGGTTAGTCCGCCGCCCTTGCCGCGTGACGCCTTCATGTTCGTCGTCTTCGGGGATCTGGATTCCAGACCCTGGGAGCATATGTTTCTGTTTTTTGTTGGTGGCATATTTTTCACACTGTTGCTACACCATAAAGATTTGTTTTGATTTTATGGGATTTCCTGGCTTTAAAAGTAAAAGCCAGTTAAAACTCCCTTGAAATGTGTCTGTGAAAATCAAATTAAACCATGCGGGCTTACTTCTGCTCTCCAGACACACATGTACAGACTTCATTAGCACTGGGAGAAAAGGAGCCGCCTCCCCGCAGCCAGCGTGTTCTGGCGCATTCCTTCAGAGTAGAAAGGCTGACTGTCAGTGAGGGTGGATGTCTGGCTGTAATGATTGCCTGGCTGTTCTTCCATCACTCCTTCTAGCCCCCTGTGTCACAGCACAGGTGGGAAAGCGTGCGTGGACTGCTCTCAGCGGGCGTGGGAGAATCTGACCTTCTGCTTACAAGCCTAGAATATCAGGCTCAGTGTTCTGAATCCCTATGCAACACAGAAGAGTCTGGAGCAAACTCAGGGCCACAGTACGGGCCTTTGGATCTTAAAAAGAATCTCTGGGCCGGGCGCAGTGGCTCACGCCTATAATCTCAACACTTTGGGAATCCGAGGCAGCCGGATCACGAGGTCAGGAGATCGAGACCATCCTGGCCAACATGGTGAAACCCCATCTCTACTAAAAATACAAAAATTAGCTGGGCGTGGTGGTGTTTGCCTGTAATCCCAGCTACTAGGGAGGCTGAGTCAGGAGGATCACTTGAACCAGGAATTCGGAAGTTGCAGTGAGCCGAGAATGCGCCACTGCACTCCAGCCGGGATGACAGAGCGAGGCTCCATCTCAAAAAACAAAAAAGAATCTCTGATCCTGGGACTCATGCCCTGGTGACAGGACCAGCGTCCCCCTCCAGAGCCAGAGCCATCACTAAAACGTATCAGGAGCTCCGTCCTCCCCTACTGAGACAGGGACTTAGATTGAATCTCTCCCATTCCCTTTCCCCCAGGGCCCCCCGCCCCTGTATATTACATCTTTTTTTTTTCTTTTTCTCATCAGCTAATAGAGAAAATCACCCAGATCACTGAGGACAACATCAATTTTCAGCAGAAAAAGTGGACCGTGCAGAAGGAGACCCAGCTCAGCAACTCCAAGCGGGAGGAGACCACCGAGAACATTGAGACGTTGAGGACGTCGCTGGACAGCTGCCAGGTGGCCCCTCCTCACGCTTCCCACAAATGGTCCCTTTGTCTAAATTTTGTGCTGCTTATTTGGGAAATTGCCCAGCTTTTTTGGAGCAAGTTAGGCAGAAATGCTTGGCTTTTCTATCCACTTTTTCCTCTTGTTGGTGAAACTTACTGGAGAAGAAAAAACAAAGGGCCTCAAAAATGCCTCCCAGGCGAGCGTGGTGTGTCCAAAAAGAGATGGAGTTTTGCTCTTGTTGCCCAGGCTGGAGTACAATGGCATGATCTCGGCTCATGCCTCGGCCTTCTGGGTTCAAGCCATTCTCCTGCCTCAGCCCCCTGAGTAGCTGGGATTGCAGGCGTACACCACCACGCCCAGCTAATTTTGTATGTTTTAGTAGAGACAGGGTTTCTCCATTTTGGTCAAGCTGGTCTTGAACTCCTAACCTCAGGTGATCTGCCCACCTCGGCCTCCCAAAGTGCTGGGATGACAGGCGTGAGCCACCGCACCTGGCCCATTCCTGCTTTTTATTTGCATTTTCTTTTTTGGCCCAGCCACAAAGGGTGTTTTGCACACCCTTGCCTTTGACTCTGGAGGAGCAGGGGTCGGAGGACCTGGCCACAGCCCCGCGGTCCCCACGCTGGGACATGGTTTATCCGAGCAGGCAGTGGCTTCTGCTCTCTCTAGAAATCAGCAGCTCCCGTCTAGGGAGTTTGTGCAAATGCTGGCTTGTCAGCACTCTTTCAAATCAGGAAACCACGCTTTCCGACCAGCCTGTGTGTTGATCTTGGCAGGAATTCTGATGAAGGGAAAAAAGAAGTAGCCACATTTGCCTCCCATTGCAGCCAAACTGTCAATGGCACTTCGGCTTTGGGGTTTCATATACCTAAAAGGGGGCTCACGTTGACCATCAAAAGTCTAAATTAGAGTAAAAAAAAAAAAAAAAAAGAGCTGTCAAAACATAATTTTTTTTTTTTTGAGAGGGAGTCTTGCTCTGTCTCCCAGGCTAGAGTGCAGTGGCGCAATCTCAGCTCACTGCAACCTTGGCCTCCCACGTTTAAACAATTCTCTGCCTCAGCCTCCCGAGTAGCTGGGATTACAGGCACCCGCCACCAGGTCTGGCTACGTTTTGTATTTTTAGTACAGACATTGTATTTTTAGTACAGACAGGGTTTCACCATCTTGGTCAGGCTAGTCTTGAACTCCCGACCTCTTGATCCACCCGCCTCAGCCTCCCAAAGCGCTGGGATTACAGACCAGGGCCACCGAGCCTGGCCAAAAATTTTTAAAAAGAAAAAACTGAGCCCTCCGAGGGTGGCCAGCATGTGGCGCTGCCTGCTTCGAGTCAAGAACGCTGTTTCTCAAAGGTGGCGTCGGGCTATTTCTGGCCACAGGGCTTGGGCTCCTCATGATCTTATCTCTCTGCAGGCTTGCATGACGTCCTGCTGTGGCAGTGACCTGAAGAAGGAGGTCGACCTTCTTCAGCACCTCCAGGTGAGCCCACCTGTCTCGGGGCTCCAGAAGGCGGTTCTCGACATCCTGAGGCACGCGCTGTCCTGGCTGGAGAAGACGGAGCAGCTCCTCCGGGACCTGCGGATCCCGCCCTCCAGCACCGACAAAGGTTACTGGGACTTTTTTCTCACATAGTTGCATGACTCTAAAATGTCGCATTGAAGCTCAGCATGATGGGACATCTGTTGAGGAAGTCTTCATGGGTGTCTGGCCAAGTCCGTTCCCTTCTCCAGACTCCCCTGCTTCTCTGCTTGAGACGTAATAATCCATTTAAAAAAAAAAAATACGCAAGTGAGACACGATAACTGAAGGAAAGTGAAACAGAACAGAGGCAAAGGGAAAATGAAAGCAAAACTATGCAAAGCCTAATTACGCTGTTTAACTTTCAAGGCATTTTCTTGTGGAAATAGCCACGTGATTCTAGGCAAGTCACTTACCCTGTCTATGCCTCAGTTTCTGAATCTGTAAAATGGGGCTAATAGGGAGTACCCACCTTTAGGGCTGTTGTGATTTTTTTTTTGTTTTTGAGACGGAGTCCCACTCTGTCACCCAGGCTGGAGTACAATGGCGTGATCTCGGCTCACTGCAACCTCCGCCTCCCGGGTTCAAGTGATTCTCCTGCCTCAGCCTCCTGAGTAGCTGGGATTACAGGCGTGTAGCACCACACCTGGCTAATTTTTGTGTTTTTAGTAGAGACAGGGTTTCACCATGTTGGTCAGGCCGGTCTCAAACTCCTGACCTTAAGTGATCCACCCACCTCAGCCTCCCAAAGTGCGGGGATTACAGGAGTGAGCCACCGCACCAGCCTAGGGCTGTTGTGATTGTTAAGATGCTTGATGTATGAAAAGTACTTGGACTAGTACCTGGCACACAATAGGCATTACTAAATGTTTGTTGACTTTCAATTTTACAAAAAATAGTGTCACACTACCTCCAATTTCCTTTGGTCTGTTCCTAATGGTACATCATCAGGAAGCCCCTCCATGTCAGCACACACAGACCTACATCATCACGGTTGCTGATTCCATTGTGTGGGATGCGCCATTATTTATTTAGACAATCACCTATCATGGGCACTTAGGTGATTTCCAGTTTTTCACACTCATAAATCATGCTGAGATGAACATTGTTGCACATATACCTGCTCATCTTATTTTCCTAGAGGTGGAGGGGCATGAACCACTTTCTTTCAACAAAGATTTATTGCATGCTTGCTTCCAAGACACCAGGTGCTATGCAGAGCAGAGACATAATAGGATCAGGAACAGGTAGAATCAGGTTGTGTGTGTGTGGTTCACTGCAAAATTCTTCCACTATGATCGTACATTTGAAATTTTTATAATAAAATACTGGGGTCGTGGGAAACAGGCACTGCCCCTGTCCTCAAAGAACTGATGGTCTCAGGGGGAGGGATGCAGTGGGCATTAATGGGAAATCACTCAAACAAACATGAAAGCTCAGTGGTGACAATTGCTGTGAAGTACAGGGTTCGATCTGGTCAGGGAGGGCAGGGCAGTTGCAGGATGCATAGGAGTTGTTTGCCAAAGAAGGGAGAGAGAGAATTCTGAGCAGCAGGAGCAGCATGGTGGCAGGGGGTGCATGGAGAGCACGCAGGGCCAACAGAAATGGGGCAGGGCGGGGCAGGCTGGCAAGGGGGCTTCCCAGGGCCGTCATGGGGGGTTTCGCAGGGCCCTAGTAAGAAGCTTTTTATTCTAAGGGCAGAGAGAAGCCCATGAAAGCCTTAAGTGAGGAGCTAGACAAGCCTGCATTCTGAGACAATCACCCTGGTGGCACGTGGACGTCCTGGAGGGTGGTCAGCGTGGTGCCTCAGGAGCCACTTGGGAGGCTGCTGTAAGAGCTGACAAGGCCACCCGAGGGCAGGGTGGGGATGGGGAAAGAGCGAAGATTCAGGGGCAGGTAAGAGGTAAATCGGCAGGCCTCAGTGGTAGGACTGGAGACAGTTGGAAGCAAAGACGGAGAATAGTCAGCAGGACCTCTAGGTTTTCAGTGTGTGTAAAAGATGGATGTGATTTCTTCACTAAAATTCAGAGCAAGGAATGCAGGATGAGGCCCAGGTTTGAGAGGGAAGACGAGTGTGAAGTACCTGTGAGATGTCTGAGTTGAGATGCCCAAGAGACCGCTGTTTCCCCAGATGTCTTGTTTGGGGATAGATCATAATGATGTATCCCCAGCACCCGGAGAGCATGTGCCACACAGCAGGGGCCTAATAAGTATCTGTAGGATGGAGGGATGGAGGAATGGATGGAAGGAAGTATAGATGGATGGACAGGCTGACAGACGGATGGATGGAAGGGTTAGGTGAGTGGATGGATGGATGGATGGGTGGATGGATGGATGGACGGGAGGAAGGGTGGGTATGGATAGAAGGGTGGTTGGGTCCGTGGGTGGATGAATAGATGGATAGAATGCAGAAAGGAAGGAAGGAGGGAAGATAGGAAGAAAGATTAAAGCCATACCGTGTAAGGTATCACTTAGGAAGATTATTTGTTCTTCAGTCTTGAAGAATAGCTAGAACTCTGCTCCACGTTTTGCCTGATTTCATGTAAGCTCATGACCTACATGAAATTAACGAGGGAGAAGGGAAAGAGCACAGGGCCGCACCTTAAAGCACTCCAGCATTCGGAAGCTTGCTGCTACTCCTTGCCAAATCACCCTCCAGAGAGCCTGCATCAATGTTATATTCTTGCAGCAATGGATAAGAATAGAGGAGTGATTTTCAACTCTGGTGCTTCACCATCCCCAGCAGGATGCTTCCAAAGTATCCAGAAGGTGGGGTAACATTCTTAAAAAGCAAAGGCAAAGCCAACATTAATTTTTATGCAGATGCCTTCCCCTCATCATATAGCAGAGGGCGTTACTGTTCTTGCAATCATGGCAGAGTCGTGAGCTTACTTGAAATGAGGTAAAACGTGGAGCAGATTCTGGTTGTTCTTCAAGACTGGAACTAAAACAAAGACCCGCATCTCCATCCTGGTAATAACAGAGCCAAGCTACGTGTGCACTGTCCCCTTCCCACTCCCAGGGCCATTTTAGTCATCTAGACTAAGTCTATAAAGCTAGCCATATATTACTGTTAAGAAATGTGGGTTGTTGCCAGGTGTAGTGGCTCATGCCTGTGATCCCAGCAACTCGGGAGGCTGAGGCAGGAGGATTGTTTAAGGCTAGAAGTTCAAGACCAACCTGGGCAACAAAGTGAAACCCCTCATCTCCAAAAAATAAAAAAATAATAATAAATTAGCCAGGCATGGTGGCAGAGGCCTGTAGTCCCAGCTACTCATGAGGCTGAGCTGGGAGGATTCCTTGAGGCTAAGATTTCGAGGCTTCAGTGAGCTGTGATTGTGCCACTGCACTGCAGCCTGTGTGACAGAGTGAGACCACGTCTAAAAATAAATAAGTAAATGCGGATTGTAAAGTTAAGCTTTCAGGCCCAGTAATTCCGGAAAGGCTAAGAAAGACTAATTTTAGGCAGCATTCCTCAGACCACCATTTTCTTCTCCTGACTTCATGGAGTCGTAAGATTTGAGCAACATTAAGCAGGTCTCTGCAGAATCCCCCCCTTGTTAACACGCATGCTGGGTCCACAAGAGGGGGATGAAGAAAGCAGTATTTCCAAACTACTGGACTCCTTCTTGATGGCCTTACTGCCAACTAACCTCTTGGAATAATGTTCTGGAACCCTCGCTGGGGAAATGGTGGTCTGCTGACTACATATTCTGTGATTACAACTAGCTGGTTCTGAGAAGTCAAGAAAAAAAGAACGGAGAATTACAGAAAGGTTCGTAAGTAGGACCCATCTTTCGTCCACTTAGCAGAAGAGGAAACTGATGGGAAAAGACATTTTCTCTTCCAATATAAGCAATATTACAGCGAGCGCCCAAAAGACTGGGGAAAAAAAGAGTGATCCAGAGTATGCCCTATAGTCTCTACCCTTGTACCTAATTTCTAACCCAGAGCTAGTCCAGGAGGAGGAGGGGAAGAGGAGGAAGAGGAAGGATGGGGAGGAGGAGGGAAGAGGAGGAGGAAGGAGGGTGATGATGGTGGTGGTGATGGTGATCATGGGGGCGATGACAGTCGTTCACTACTGAGCACTTGTATTCTAGAGACTGTTCTCAGCATATTATATGCATGATCTCATTTCATCCTCACAACTCTGTGAGTTAATAATTTGCCCATTATCCTCATTTTAGAAATGAGGAAACTAGCTTAAAGCTGGTTTTGTGATTGCTCCACTAGGATAAGGTGATTGGAGGCGCTTCACATTACAGAGGCCGACAGGGAGTCCCCAGTCTATTCACCGCCATCCCACACACTCCCAGGAGCCGCCTGCATTCGCAGCTCCTAAGAGAAGGGGAGAAAGCATGGGTTGTTCAGCTCCTCCTGGGACTTAGCCCTGAGTTAGGTGTTTCCCATGCACTGTGTGCCTTTATCCGCCCACTGACCTTACAATGAGGCAGGTAAGATTGTCTTTATTTTATTTATCTTTTTTTTTTTTTTAAGATGGTGTCTCGCTCTGTCACCCAGGCTGGAGTGCAGTGGCACAATCTCGGCTCACTGCAACCTCCACCTCCCGGGTTCAAGCACTTCTGCCTCAGCCTCCCAAGTAGCTGGGATTACAGGCACACACCACCACCCCTCGGGCGTTTTTTTTTTTTTTTTTTTTTTTTTTTTTTTGGTATTTTTAGTAGAGACAGGGTTTTGTCACATTGGCCAGGCTGGTCTCGAATTCTTGACCTTGTGATCCACCTGCCTCGGCCTCCCAAAGTGATAGAATTACAGGTGTGAGCCACTGCACCCGACCCGATATTTCTTTTTAAGTAAAAGTCTTGCTCTGTTGTCCAGGCTGGAGTGCAGTGGTGTGATTTCAGCTCATTGACACTTCCACCTTCCGGGCTCAAGTGATCCTCTCACCTCAGCCTCCCAAGTAGCTGGGACTAACAGGCATGTGCCACCACACGACCTAACTTTTGTATTTTCTATAGACATGGGGTTTCGCCATGTTGCCCAGGCTCAAATTCCTGGGCTCAAGCAACCCACTCAACTCCCAAAGTGCTGGGATTACAGGTGTGAGCCACTGCGCCCAGCCTTCATTTTAAAAGTAAAGAAACGGAGACACAGTAACGTTAAAAAGCTGTCCAGGGTCACACAGCTGGTGCATTAGGGCTAGGACTCAAACTGAGATATTTGTGATCCTAACACCTGTGTTTTCCCCATGACCCTAACCTTTCACCACCCCGCCTCACCACCCCCCCACACACACACACTTCCTTCGAAGATGCAGCAGGGTACCAGGCACATGCCCAATCCCTAGAGGATGGGTGCTGTCCCTGGCTCGGGCAGAGACAGAGCTAAGAGTTCTCTTTCCCTAAGGTAAGAGATCTGCATCTGATTCCTGCCTTGAGCCATAACCACGGAAAGGCCCATCTGTATCACAGTAATGTTGGTCCCAAGCTGAGACTCTGGGGACCCACTGCCAAGGCTTGAATTTCAGTTGTGCACCTACTAGCTGTGTGGGCAGTTACGTGACGTGGCTGTCTCCATTTACTTGCTCGTGAAATGGCCATCCAGTCTCCTAGGGTCATGTGAGGACTAATAACAGGATACATGCATGGCAGTGCCGGTCACACGCAGCTCGTAATTGCTGGTGGCTGCTGTCATTGTCAGCCTCAAATACTTGTTGACTTAATCTGACCTAAACATGGGTAGCCACCAGCCAGGTTGCACGTGGGCAGCACAGCCTGGTTTATTTGCACCCAGGTGACATCCTCTGGAGCCCCTCCTCTGTCTCTATTTAGCAGCAAATGGGGTTTCCTTAGCCCTGAGCCCTCCACTGGGTTAAAGCCAAGAGCCGTTTCTAGCGGCCTCCTCCTTAGAGTCGTTGACAGTGAGGCTCACGTCCCGGCTGCCAAGTGCCCAAGTGGCAACTCAGTCCACGTCCCTCCAACCTCAAACCCCCTGCTCTTGACAACCGGGCTACCTGCCCCTTAGAACATCCTCCTAAGAGATAAAACATGCGGAACATGCCGGGTGTGGTGGCTCGCACCTGTAATCCCAGCACTTTGGGAGGCCAAGGCGGGCAGATCACCTGAGGTAGGGAGTTCGAGACCAGCCTGACCAACATGGAGAAACCCCGTCTCTACCAAAAATACAAAATTAGCCAGGTGTGGTGGCAGGCGCCTGTAATCCCATCTACTTGGGAGGATGAGGCAGGAGAATCGCTTGAACCTGGGAGGGAGAGATTGCAGTGAACCAAGATTGTGCCATTGCACTCCAGCCTGGGCAGCAAGAGTAAAACTCTGTCCCCACACCCCACCCCACCCCCTGAAAAAACCACACATAACAAGCTAGGACGTAAGTCCTGAAACGAATCCCCCCAGGGGAATCCAGGTGGGGTAAGCATCAGGGAAATGACTAGCGCTGTTGTTTGGTGATGTCATGTGCAGCCCACAAGTTGAGCCTCGGGTCCAGTGTGTGGGATGGGTGGAGGATTTGCTGTGTGGTTCAGCTGGGAGTATAAAAATGTTTAAGCGGCACCCTGAAAGTCAGCTGAATCCTCCTCCTGCCTGGTTTCCCAGGGTTCGTTGGATCATGGAAAGAAAGGACTTTTTACATTTTTCTCTGCAAGCTCAGTTATTTGTGTCTATTTCTGCAAGGCTTTGTTACAAATAAGAGACTTCCCCCCCCCATGCCTGACAAATCACTCAAATATCCAACATACACTGTGTCTTTCAATGAAAAGAAAGCAAGTTGCAATGCAATATGCTCCATGCCCTTTTATTTTTTAAAATGTCAGCATCTGACCGAAAGAACAACCTGGAGGAAAAGGTTTCAAACTGTTAAGGGTATTATCCCAGGCCGGGCGCGGTGGCTCACGCCTGTAATCCCAGCACTTCGGGAGGCCAAGGCAGGTGGATCACGAAGTCAAGAGATCAAGACCATCCTGGCCAACATGGTGAAACCCCGTCTCTACTAAAAATGCAAAATTAGCTGGGCGTGACAGCACATGCCCGTAGTCCCAACTATTCAGGAGGCTGAGGCAGGAGAATCAATTGAACCCAGGAGGTGAGGCTGCAGTGAGCTGTGATCACGCCACTGCACTCCAGCCTGGTGACAGGGTGAGATTCCATCTCAGAAAAAAAAGAGTATTATCCCAGCGGGGTGGGACTGCACTGGACCTTGTCGTTCATTCCGTTGTTCCACAGGTGTTCGTTCACTGAGGGCTACTGTGTGCCAGCCACCCTGCAGAACACGAGGACGTAGCAGCAAACACTTCCCACATTGGGAAGTTTTGTAGCATTTGGGTTTTTGTGACCAACATATGTAACTTTTGTGTCTCTGAGCTGCCCAACACTTCATTCTCTTTTTTGAAACCCTCTGCCCCTCAGCTCTCCAGGCCCTGGGCACCCTGCATCTCTCCTGATCTTTCCCATTCATTCTCAGCAGGTCCCTTCACCGACTCCTGTCTGTAACGAGGGTGTTTTCTTCTCTGCAGTCAGCCCTTGGTCCACCCCATCTCCTTTCTCACGAAGAAACTCTCCACTCCCATGCCTCCCCAGCCACTCCTGTGTGTCATCCACACAGACGCCTCTGCAGACGGGGCTGCCAGGAATGTGGTGCAGGGGGTTCAGCCAAGGCAGCGGGGGGTCCCTGGCCAGAAGCCATGGCCCCAGGAGGAAAGGGGACTCTTTCTCAGTTCACACAAGGACCCTGAATGGGCTGGGCTGGGCCAGCCTTGCCAATCAGGGTGTCCATCTCTCTGCTGACCATCTCTCCCTGGAGTCCTGCCAGTGCCTCCAATTCACCATGTCTGAAACAGCCAGGGGGCTCCTTCTCTCTCCCTGCCACACCCCACCCTCACCCCAACCTGTCTGTCTCTAATCTGATGGCGAGACCACCATTCTACCCCTTAAAAAGGGTTTCTTTCCCTTTCTTCCCTCTCATTCCTGCTTCTCCCATCCTCAGTTAGGGTATTAGCACTGAATACCCTGACGTCCCCCAGGCTCTTAGCAGAGCTCCCTGTCTCTCACTCAGAGGAGGGGAGCTTGTCACAGGGAACATCCAGGATGGTCTGGTGACATTTTTGGTTGTCAGAACCGGGGTGGGGTGATGGGGGGTGCCCCTGGCATCCAGCAGGTAGAGACCAGGGATGCTACTAACCATCCCCCAATGCCTAAGACAGTATCAGCAGCGCAATACCAGCAATGCGGCCCGACATAGCAGCAGTGCTGCAGCGAACAAACCCTGCCAGCTCCAGCCTCCCCAATGCAGCCCAGCTATTTTTCTGAAAAAAAAAAAAAAAAAAAAACTCTTCATCAGGCCCCTTCACTGTTCTGTCAGCTGCTGGAATAGGAGTGACTCAGACCCTGAGTCACACGGATTAGAGCCAAGTCCTGGCTCAGCCACTGGCCTGCTGTGTGGCATTGAGTTGGACCGCATCTCAGAACGCCACTGCCTCATCGATAAAATGGGGACCCACTGGGCACATTTCAATCATGTTTAAATCAAGTTTCCACCCTCAAGGTGCTGGTTTCAGGCCTGTCATAGCTGGACCTCGCCCTTCCACGCCTCCTCTACCCTCTGCTCCTCCCTCTCCATCATCTACTCCAGCCCAAGTAAGCTCAGCACTTACCCGGAAGAGCACTGCCTTTTCCCAGTCCCGCCCCATCCACCCCGCATCCCCGCATGAAGCTGTGGCTTCCTGTGACTGTTGTAACAAATGACCACAAGAGAGTGGCTTCAGGATTAATTTGGTTTCACTGAGTCAGCAGGGCCGGTTTCTTCCTGAGACTCTAGGGCAGCATGCATTTCCTGGCCTTCCTCAGCCTCTAAAGTTTCATTCCTTGCATTCCTTGGCTCGTGGCCCCTTCCTCCATCTTCAAAGCCAGTGATGTGGCATCTTCCAGTCTCTCTCTGCTTCCATCATGTCACCTGCCCCTCTGGCTGTGGTCAAGCCTCCCTCTGTCTCCTTCTTATAAAAAGCCATGTGATTACATTGGGCCACCCAGATCATCCAGGATAATACCCATCTCGAAATCCTGAACTTTATCATATTTGCCAAGTTCTTTTGCCCTGTACGGTCACACCCACAGGTTCCAGGGATTCTGACCTGGAATTGTAGGGGGTCATCATTCAGCCCCACACACCCCTATTCTGAAGCACCCTCCTCTGGCTCACTGAATTCTGCCCACCCCTCAACACCCACACCTAGTGGTTCTTCAACCAAGTGGCCTTACTTGCTCATTGCAGATGAATGATCCCTCCCTCCTCTGAGACCCTCACCCTCCCCCCTCCTTCATCAGTCACTCACATGCCACCTAGGGTCACCGCATGCTTCCAGCAAGCATTTACATCTGTCTGTCTGACTAAACTGGCAGCCCCTGGATGTCTTGGCTTTAGACGATTCCCCTCACTCAGCACCATGGTTCGCACACAGTAGACAGTAAATAGGTGTTCTGTTGATGGGTTTTTATTTTCCACCTCCAAAAAGAAAGTTGGATGTGAGCTCAAACAAGGCTTATTAGCTATTTTTTTTTTTTTTTGAGACTGTCTCACTCTGTCACCCACGCTGGAGTACAGTGGCACAATCTGGGCTCACTGCAACCTCTGCCTCCCGGGTGCAAGCAATTATCGTGTGTTAGCCTCCCAAGTAGCTTGGATTACAAGCATGCACCACCACATCCGGCTAATTTTTCTATTTTTAGTGGAGACAGGGTTTTATCATGTTGGCCTGGCTGGTCTTGAGCTCCTAACTTCAGGTGATCTGCCCATCTCAGCCTCCCAAAATTCCAGGGTTACAGGCGTGAGCCACCATGTCCTGCCTAAGTCACCGTGCTCAGCTGCTTACCCACTACCTTAAAATCACAGGTTGGATAGTAGTTCATGTTGCTTTGATGGGATGGCAGTGTTGCCTTCATCCACCTGTCTGCAAGCTTTGGAGTTGAATTGAATTGATACTTACATTCTTCCTGCTTCTCTTTTTTTCAAGGGTTCTCTTTGTACCTGATACATCTTCTGGAACATTATAAAAAACTTACAAGCCAGACCCAGGAACTTCAGGTAATTCTTTTAATTTCTTTTTTTCCAAAGTTTATTTCGGCCCCTGCTTGGCATTTAGCACTGCGCATTTGAAACCTGTTTTTTCTTTATCCGCTAGTCACTCCACACCCTCCAGTAGGTGGAAATGATTTCTCCATTTGCACACAAAGAGGCACAGAAAAGGTTGGCTAAGATCTCCCAGGAGGGTAAGGACTATGGCAGGGTCTGCCCTCGGTCTGGCCTCCTGGGCTAACCACACTCTGTGTTTTCCTCTGTCAAAGGTTTAGAAGACGTATTGCCATCAGATCTTTTATTCTGAGTCTCGTTCTGTCGCCCAGGCTGGAGTGCAGTGGCATGATCTCGGCTCACTGCAACCTCTGCCTCCCGGGTTCAAGTGATTCTCCTGCCTCAGCCTCTCAAGTAGCTGAGCTTACAGGCACCTGCCACCACGCCTGGCTAATTTTTGCATTTTTAGTAGAGACAGGGTTTCACCTTGGTGATCAGGCTGGTCTCAAACTCCTGACCTCAAGTGATCCACCCACCTCGGCCTCCCAGAGTGCTGGGATTACAGGCATGAGCCACTGCACCCGGCCTTAATGCTATCAGATTTTGAAAACTGTGTTTGTTAAATGCAGTGGACAAAGCACAGCTATCCATAGTACAAGCAGCAGAATTACCAAAAGAAAAGAAATATTCTAGAGGCAAATGAGCTTTAGGGGTTATGTCATTCTGACAGCTATTGCCATAACAGTGTTATGTAATAAACACCCTCAAAACTTCAGTGGCATTCAGCAATTGCTATTTACTGCTCACGTGTCTGGGGTCAGCAGCCAGGTGGCTCTGCTGACCTTGTCTGGGTGTTGGCTGGCCTTTGGTTGATCTAGGCTGGCCTCAGCTGGAGTGACTAAGCTCCATGCAACTCTCATGCCCCAGCAGGCAGGCCTGGGCTGTTCTCAGGAAACTGCAGAGCTACAAGAGAAAGTGGCCCAATCACATAGTGTTTTTCAATCTTCTGGTTGCGTTATGTCTGCTGACATCCCATTGGCCAGAGCAAGTCACATGGCTGAGTTCAGTGTCTGGAGGCAAAATATGGGCAGGCACTGCAAGTTACATAGCCATAGACACGGATAGAGTGGGGTGAAGAAGGGACCACCATGCCAGTCAGCCACAGAGGCCTGAGTCCAGGGATTGGCAATTTTTTCTATAAAGGGCCAGCTAGTAAATAGTTTAGACTTTGCAGACCATATTCATCCCTCTTCCATTCTGCTATGGTAAAATGAAAGCAGCCATAGACAATATGTAAGTGCTGGGCACGATAAGCATGGCACTATTCCAATAAAACTTTATTTACGGCCGGGCACGGTGGCTCATGCCTGTAATCCCAGCACTTTGGGAGGCCAAGGCGGGTGGATCACCTGAGGTCAGGAGTTTGAGACCAGCCTAGCCAACATGGTCTCTACTAAAAATACAAAACATAAATACAAAATTAGCTGGGCATGGTGGTGGGCACCTGTAATCCCAGCTACTCGGGAGACTGAGCCAAGAGAATCACTTGAATCTATGAGGCGGAGGTTTCAGGGAGCTGCGATTGAGCCCCTGCACTCCAGCCTGGGCGACAGAGCAAAAAAACAAACAGCAACAACAAAAAACCTTATTTACAAAAGTAGGCAGTGGGCCCAATTTGACCTGTGGGCTATAGTTTGTCAACCCCTGACCTAATCCCTTCTCATTTTTCAGATAAGGACAATTTCAGTGTCACACAGCTAATAGGTGAAGAATCAAGACAAATGTTCAAGCCTCCCGGCTCCTACATGACTGCTTTTTTTTCTCACACCCACCTACCACTTACTGAATACCTACTATGTGCTCAGCACTGTGCCAAAAGCTTTCCATCATTATCTCACTTAATCCTCACAACTCTAAAATGTTGATAGTTATTTACTTCATTGTCTAAATAAGGAAGCGTCTAGAAACACCTAGAGCTGGGATTCTTTCTAGATTAGAGCTGGGCTTCTTTTTAGATCCAGAGTCTAAATTCTTAACCACTGCATGCTGCATTGTTCTGTGATTTTAAGAAACTTTTGGGGAACCTATTGTCCCCAAAAAGGTAAACAATTGGTAAACAGATGTGGAAAGATTCTTTAGTTAGGCCTGTCCCCCGTCAGCTGTTTGCTTTTCTCTCATTTTAGAGCAAGTTCAGTTCTCAGGAAACTCAGCAGTCTTTACTGCAAGAAAAGCTGCAGGAGCATCTGGCAGAGAAGGAGAAGCTGAACAAGGAGATGCTAGAGCAAGAGGAGAAGCTGAATGCCAAAATCAGGCAACTGATGGAAGAGAAGGCGGTAAGGCGGTCCCTGCCGTTTGCTTTACTACTGGAAACTGATAAAATGGTCTTTTCTGTGGGAAGTTGGGGGTGCGTGCTTAGACAGAGAAATCTCAGCTATTCTGTTTGGTGCTGCGGAACTAAATTAATTAAACAGAGTGAATAATTGGGAAGGATTTAACCTGAAGTTTGAATTCTAAAACGCACAGCAAAAGCAACTTGAAAAGGCAGCATGATTGAAATTTCAGGAAACCGTGCCTTGTTTGTGTATGTATTGCAGCCGGCTTTATAAAACTGAGTCATCGCTGCGGGTCCTGGTTTGTAGCTGACAGACTGTTTCTAAATGTGCACAAGATCAACTTCAGATGACAAATTTCAGTCATTTGCTTTCTCTTTATGCATGTCAGGGGAAACAAATGGCCAAAATTGCTACTGACTTTTCTAGAAACCAGGCCAGTTTGAAGACAGCAGCGACTCTCAAACCCGAGGTGCCCAGGAATTGTCTGGGATCTGGTTAAGGTGCAGATTCGGTCTCAGCAGGCCTGGGTCGCAGCCGGAGACACTACATTTCCAACAAGCTCCCAGATGATGCTGATGCTACCAGTCTGCAGATCCACATTTTCTTAGGGCGAAGTCTTAGAGGAAGGTTTTCTTAAAGTTTCCTGATAAGAACCACCCGGACGCTTTGCTAAAAATAACAAATCTTGTTCCCCACCCCCAGACCCATTAAATCAGAACATCTGGAGAGGGCCAGGAACTGCATTTAATGAGCTGATTCTCGTCACTGTCCTAGAGTTACCCCCTTTTTTTTTCTTAAGCTGGGGTCTTGCTCTGTTGCCCAGGCTGGAGTACATTGGTGTGATCACAGTTCACTGCAACCTCAAACTCCCAGGCTGCAGTGGTCCTCCCACTTCAGCCTCCCAAGTAGCCGAGACCACAGGCATATGGCACTACACCCAACTAATTATTATTATTGTTTTTTTGGTAGAAGTGGGATCTTGCTACATTGCCCAGGCTGGTCTTGAACTTCTGGGCTCAAGCGATCCTCCCACTTCAGCCTCTCAAGTAGCTGGAACCATAGACACATACCAACCACCATGCCCAGCTAATATTTTTATTTTTTGTAGAAATGGGGTCTCTCTCTCTCTGTGTTGCCCAGGCTGGTCTCAAACTCCTGGCATCAAGTGATCCTCCCACCCCAGCCTCCAAAAGTTCTGGGATTACAGGCATGAGCCACCGTACCCGAGGGCCGGCCTTTTTTGTTTGCTTGCTTGCCTGCTTGTTTGTTATTTGAGCCAGACTCTCACCCTGTCATCCAGGCTGGAGTGCAGTGGCATGATCTCAGCTCACTGCAACCTCCACCTCCTGGGTTCAAGTGATTCTCCTGCCTCAGGCCTCCCAAGTAGCTGGGCCTACAGGGGTGCGCCACCACGCCCAGCTAATTTTTGTATTTTTTATTAGAGACAGGGTTTCACCATGTTGGCCAGAATAGTCTCTATCTCTTGACCTTGTGATCCGCCAGCCTCAGCCTCCCAAATGCTGGGATTACAGGCGTGAGACACTGTGCCCAGCCGGGTTGGCCCTTTTTGATATTCAGGGACCCCTCCCATGAATTTTACTGTCTTTATGACTTTTGTCATTTAGGAGATTAAAAAATACTAATTTAAAAAAATACTAATGCTTTGCACTTCCCCCCTCACTCTCCAGGTTCTGATCTAAGTGGGGTGGGGGTGTGGTCCCGCTCGGGACTCCTGGGTGATCTCAAAGTGCAGCCAGTGTTGCGAGCCACTGTTGTGGGTGGGCATGAAGCAGCGTGTGCGTGGTGTCCCCCCCCGCCACCCGCAGCTCCCTCAAGACAGCGGCCCCAGATCCACCGGACCCTGACTCTTCCAAGACATCTCCTTCCTTCCCCAGAGAAGGACTGGACCTGCCACCTTCCCCATCCTTCCCTAGCTCCTTCTCTATCACACACGCCTGCCCTCCAGACCTCTTCTGCTTTCATCTCCATCCTCAATGTGTGTCCAGTTACCCCAAGACATCGATCTCCTCCTCCTCCCTCCTCTCTTTGCCTCTCTCTGTGCTTTTCTGCATTCATGAAATAAGAGATTAGAAAGGAAGAGCCATCCGACCAAATCATGTACACTCTGCATAAAGGTAATATTAATGATAGCTATAAATCAAGGCCAGCACATTTTGAAGACCATTTAGACATGGAAAAAGCCAGCACCGTTCATTCCATAGAGAAGAAAATAAAACCAGAAAGTACCTAGAAATCTTCAAAATCTTCACAAAACTCTCCACCGACTTCCTCCCTCCTCTCTGATTACTTTCTCCTTTCGACACCGGCATTCCAAAGGGCTTATTTCTTATTTCTCTTTTTAATTTTGGATTGACTTTTTCCATTGTCAGGGTCTGGTATTTCAGCACCCCCATGTTAAACACTGCGTTGGATGCCTGCTTGGGCTTCCTAGACACCCACAGCGACACGGCCGTGGCAGTGTTTTAAGAGCTGGCATCAGCCCCTCTTTCAAACCTGCAAACCTCGGTGCACCCCACCCTCCTTGCAGAGGGAGGAAGCGACATCAGGCACCTGCCAGACAGACGGTGACACTCGAAGGTCACCCTTCCTCCGACACTCAGATTGATGGACTTGACCCTGGGGACTCCTAAGAAAGTTACCTCTTAGACTTCAGTGCCAAGTGTCCTGACTTTGATTGAACCTTCCTCAGACCTTCTGACTCCCATCACCCACCCTTTCTGAAAATACATGTGTCCAGGCTCGTTAAGCAGGCTCCCTCTCATGATTCTTGTTTTGGCTGAGGACTTTGTTTCAATGGAAAAGACAAAACAAAACAAAAAATTTCTAGATTCCTTTATCAATCTGGCATTCCTATTACCAATTGTTGACAGCAGTCAGTTGATTTGTGCACACACCAACGCTTTAGATCAGGGATTGGAAAAATGGTCCCATGAGGAGCCCGATAGTAAATATTTTCAGTTTTGCAGGTCAGGTGCTCGCTGCTCTTCTACGAAAGCAGCCATAGACAGTACACAGCCAGCACAGTGTTCCAATAAAACTTTATTTGCAAAAACAGGCTAGATTTGGTCTGTAAGCCATAGTTTGCTAACCTCTGGTTTAGAACCCAGGCTTCAAAATCAAATGGGTCAGAGTGAGAATCTCTTGCTCATGTGATTTACTAGTAAACTGGGTGGATTCCTTAATTTAAGCCTGTTTCCCCCCTCTGCAGGGTGGAAACCATGGCTGTCACTGCGCCAAGCATTTCATGTTCATCAAACCATCCACCCCCTCATATCAACCCAGCACAGGAAAACGATTACTGTCTCCATTGTCCAAGCAGAGAAACTAAGGCTCTGATAGCTTCACTTACCCAGTGCCTTACATCTAGAAAGGATCAACCTGGGGCTCTACCCTGGGTCTCCCAATTCCGGAGCCCATGCTCTGAGCTCCTAGACTGCCCACAGCCTCCCCAGGGGAGTGCCGTGAGGCGTGGAGAGGTAGGCCACGCAGTGCCTGGCAGCGTCCAAATTCCTGCCATGGTAACCTTGTCTATTCAACAACGGTCATTGGTTTCCAGGCTTTGGAGGAAGGCATTACTCAGGAGAGAAACAGAGTGAAAGAGACTTTAGAGAAAGAACTGAAGAGAAGGCAAGAGCAGGAGGACCTCCTGGCCCAGCAGAAGAAGGTACACGTCTCAGGGAAACAGTCAGCTCCAGCCCAAATCAAGGCTCTGCAGCTAGGAAGGGTGGATCTAGGGCTCTGGTCTGGGCCCAGCGGCCCCTGCTCTGAGCTCCCGGGCGGTGCGGCCCACAGTCCTCCCAGGGAGGTGCAGTCAGGAGGGAAGAGGTTACCTATTCGGTGCCTGGCAGAGCCCAGATTCCTGCCATGGTAACCATGTCTGTTAAACAATGATCAGGCTTTGGCGGAAAGCATTACCCAGGAGAAGAAGAGAGTGAAGGAAGCATTAGAGGAAGAACAGACAAGAGTCCAAGAGCTGGAGAACTGCTTGGCCCGCCAGAGGGAGGTATGCTCGGGGAGATAGAGTCGACTCGAGCCCCAGTTGGCTTGAGAGCCATATGGAAGTAAGTTGAGAGCCGCCGACGAGGGGGGTGAGAGCATGGTGGAGGCTTCCTGTGTAATTTGCGTTTGGGTGGGCTCAGCTACTTTGGGAAGCGTGGGAGACTCAAGGAGAGAACCCTGGAGTTGTAGCCTTGACAACCGATTGGGAAAAAATTGTAAACAGTGTGAAACACCATCAGGGAGAGAGTGAGCTTGGGAGACGAGTTGGGAATGGTGACATGGGCATCTTCTGTGTTCCAAAGCACAGAAACGGGAGAATGACAGAGTCATGGGACCTCAGGGCTGCACAGACCCTCCACCAGCATAAAGCCTCCGGCCTTCAGCACCACCCCTGAGGAATGCTCTCCAGCCCAGGGCAGTCTGTCCCAGCATGGATGCCTCAGGCTGGCAGAAAGTTTTCCCTTTAGGTTGAGCTGTGTCAAACCTTTACGCCTCCCCTGTGCTCCCCGAAGACACGCCCACTTCCTCTTCCACACGATGACTCAGATGTGTGAAAACAGAGGCGCTGGCACCCTGGCACCCTGCGTCCGCTCCTCCCCAGGCCTAAGCCCCCTGGTCCCTCAGTCCCCTCACAGGACTGCAGCCTGGCGCTGGCCCCCTCTTATGGCCTGTGCTGCTCTCCAGAAGTCACAGACTGGTAGCTTGTGACTAAAAAGGGCCTGTGGGTGGTATGTTTGGCCCTGGAATGTTTTATTTTGAACTCATAAAATCTATTTAAAAATTCATATTTCATCTGGGCACAGTGGCTCACTCTCTGTAATCCCAGCACTTTGGGAGGCCAAGGCGGGCAGATCACCTGAGGTCAGGAGTTCAAGACCAGCCTGACCAACATGGCAAAACCCTGCCTCTAAAAATACAAAGATTAGACAGGCGTGGGAGTGTACACCTGTAATCCCAGCTACTCGAGAGGCTGAGGCAGGAGAATCGCTTGAACCTGGGAGGTGGAGGTTGCAGTGAGCCGAGATCACGCCACTGCACTCCAGCCTAGGAGACAGAGTGAGACCCCATCTGAAAAAAAAAAAAAAGTTCAGATTGCCATCCTCTTCTGAAAAGTCAGAAAATCTAGCCCTTTTTTCTACCTAGCAAAAATGGACACGAAACCTTACCAGGTAGCAGCAGTTTGCCACAGTCCTCACCACTCCCTATTGCATTAAACACAGCCCACGTCACTGTTGCTATCTGTATGGGCTTCATAGGCATTTGAGTTTGCCACCCATCACCCACTTTCTTCCTAAAGGGAGGCAGCCAGAACCACCATTCTCCAGCCATGGTAGCCTAGGGTAGAACTCTTCCCCTCCCTCACTGAAGATGTTCTACTTCTGTTAATACATCTAAACTGACTTTTGGGAAAGCTCTGATACATTTGTAGATTCATGTTTAGCTTGTGGTCACCCTCAGATCCCTGATCCTTTTTCACGTGTGCTTTCATGAATTCCTCAATCCTGACACAGCGCAGAGGAATGCGGGCTTTGCAGCCAGATGAGACATGAGTTCGAATCCACGCCGGTCTAAACTTCCTGATTGCGGCTGATCTGCCGCTACCTCCCTTCTCGAAGGGCTGGCTATGGCCTCAGATTTGGCCTCCAGAATTATTGCTGAGTAAATGGCAGCTGCTGCTACTGTCTCTCCTGCCACCTGTGCCCCTTCTTCTGTTTGGGCATTTGTTTTCCAGCAGCCCTCACTCCTCAAGTATATTCCTTGCCCACCCACCACTGCAGGAGAAACAAAAAGACCTCTGGGCAAAGCCTGTGCCATCTGACCCGACCCACAACAGGAAAAGGTTCTCCCTTGGAGTCTGACACAGCTGTGCCCTGCAGCCCTCTTGCAGAGCATCACTGAGGTTTGCTCCCAAGTTATTTCTCCAGGGATGGGGATGAGGAGGAGGGTCTCCAAGGAGTCACTTGAGTCAAATGCCTCAAGGGGCCAACAGCAAAGGCCTGGGGAAGATCCTTGAATTTAGAGACTTTGAGGTCATGGGGCTCAGGAGACAAATGTAAGCGTCCTTGCAGAGGGCATCTGTGGTTGGGTCACCCCTGAACTGTTAAAATGTCAGCCTACTTCTGGCAGAACCTCTCTGTGGCTTCCTATTGGGGGAACTTGAGAGAACAGCCCCAGCTACAGGCTCCATTCAACTGCCATTGGCGATTTGATTTTCTTTTTTTCTGTCACCCAGGCTGGAGTACAGTGGCACGACCTCAGCTCACTGCAACCTCTGCCTCCCAGGTTCAAGTGATTCTCGTGCCTCAGCCTCCCGAGTAGCTGGGACTACAGGCACACATCACCGTGCCTGGCTAATTTTTTGTATTTCTAGTAGAGACAGGGTTTCACCATGTTGGACAGGCTGGTCTTGAACTCCTGACCTCAAGTGATCTGCCTGCCTCGGCCTCCCAAAGTGCTGGGATTACAGGCGTGAGCCACCGCACCCGGCCTGATTTTTGTTTTCATTGCATCTTCCACCACATTATCAGGGTTTTTAAGGACGACAGAATCACTAGGTCATAATCTGGGTCTTGAGGTCGTGTTCAAAGTTAATTCTCATTACCTGTTGTGAACTTGGGAGCACAGCAACTGAGCAGGTAGGGCCTGAGTGAGCCAGGCAAGGCCTCTCTTCCAGGTAGCACCTGTCCCGTCTGCAGAGAAAGGGCTGGCGAGTATAGACGCAGAGTCAGACACAGCAGAGCCAACTCTAATTCCCTAGGAAGTGCCTCAAAGTCTCTTTCACAATTCACAGGAAAATGTCCTACCCTGAAACCCACTTTAAAGGATCCAAATAAACGTGAAATTCTTCGGATGCCACTTTTCTTCTGCTTTGTTTAAGGCTAGTGTTGGGACAGCAGAGTGCTAGCGTTTTGTCAACTATTTTTCACTGCAAAGTGTGTAATATCTCAGCCATACCCTGGATTAAAGACTGCTTGCAGGCTCTTCTGGGGCCCTAACCCCTGGTTATCATGGAAATCACGTTCCGAGCTCTAAGCGCCTGACAGTCAGCCTGGAGTTTGAAAGACAAACCATTGGAAAATCGAGGTGGCCTTTCTTGTGACCGGAAGCAGGCTGGCAATGTATTTCCTTTGGCGATTCGCATTAAGCTGTTTAGTTGAATAGCTTAGCAGCAAGTAACTTCCTGGACAAACTTCTTGATTAGGGCCACCAAATACTGGCCACACTTTCTTCCCCACACCCTTCCAGAACGTCGCTTATCCCTTCTAGAAACTGGCATATTGTGGCTCATTAATTGGGCATACTGCCCTTCTCTTGAAACTGAATTCTGTTGAAGAAATTCATTTCTGGTTCAAGCGATTCTCCTGCCTCAGCCTCCCGAGTAGCTGGGACTACAGGTGTGCACCACCACACCCAGCTAATTTTTGTATTTCTTGTAGAGACGGGCTTTCACCATGTTGGCCAGGCTGGTCTCAATCTCTTGATCTCATGATCCGCCCACCTCAGCCTCCGAAAGTGCTGGGATTACAGGCATGAGCCACCACGCATAGCCAAAAATTCCATTATTAACGAGACTCTTCCTTTGATCAGAAAGGCTATTTGGCCCCGTGATAGGAAGCCGCCCCACTGCTCCCCTGTTCCCTGTCGAGAGCTCCGTATTCCGGCTCCGTGCTTTCCTCTGTGCAGGCTTCAGATCTGGCCTCACCGCTGACAAATGGTGTGGCTTTGAGCCCTCTCTGCCTTCCTGTTCCTCAGTTTCCTCATGTGGAAAATGGGCCACTCTCAGCACTTCTCCGACAGAGCTGCTGTGACACTGAAGGGCTGGCCGGGGGCCTGGGCGTATCTGATAGCCGCCCCGACACTCTGGCTGTTATTGTTAATCTTATTAGTAGCAATTTCCCCCCTGCAATGTGCAGGCCACCAAGAGGACTTGTCCTTGACTTCCAGGTTTTGGAGAGCAGCATGGCCCATGAAAAAAGGAGAGCAAAGGAAGCCTTGGAATCGGAAAAGAGAAAAGTTCAGGATCTGGAGAACCACTTAACCCAACAGAAGGAGGTATGATCAGCAGCAGGAAAGAACCTTCTGGAAGCAGCAGCAAAGCCAGATGCCCTGGGGGAGTACGGTGGGAAATGGGGCAGACGCCAGAGCCATACCTCCCTTTGAAGTGGCCAAGATCTGCCAGTGACTGGCCGTGTGACCTCGGGCAGATCGCAATATTCCCACCCCTGTTTCCTCATCTGTAAAATGGGAATGCTAACAGTCCCTGGCTTAGCAGGTTAAATGCTATCAGGTATAAAGTACATAGGACCACACCCTGCAGACTAGAGGGCTCTTTTCTGCTCTTTGGCTCAGCCACCTAGGAAAGAGGGATCCTCCCCAGGAGAGAACCCTGGGTTTCAGCTGGGGTCAGCGACTTAGCCAACGTCGTCCTCACAGTAGAAAGGCTTGTGTGCCACACCCGGCACGACCACAGGAGAAAGCACTGCTCCTGGCCCGGCCTCCTGGTGTCCTGGACTCTGAGGCAGGCCCTCCCAGGACTGGCTGAGGAGTAAAACACACAAAGAACACAAAAAGAGACGGTGCAGGTAGGTGCATGGTAAACGCACATGGTTGTCACATCAAATGAGCCCCAGGGATCAGTGCCTTCTGGAGTGGACAAGAAGATGGGCACCCCAGGACAGAAAGATGCTGGGGAGGCCAGGAGGGGTCAGAGCTGGAGACATCCACATCCACCCAACCCAACGTCACCAGCCTGAGGACCTGGCCCACCCAGACACACCTGCCCAGAGCAGCATGAAAAGCAGGCCCTCAGGTCAGCCTGGGTGCCTGGGTCACAGCCTGGAAGTAAGAGCCGGGGATGGGAGGGGTGGTCAGGAGGAGATCACTCAGGGACCTACAATGGCATCTCCATGAGCTGGGCTTCGGGAACAGAGGTGGCACAGACACACACATGCCGGCCCCCACAGAACTTCTAGAAACAGAACTGATGGCTCTGATGGTTCAATTCGGTTTCATTCATCTGCCCATAAATATTCATTTATCCACCCACCAATTTCAGTTTCATTCATCCACCATGTGCCAGGCTCGGTTCTGGGTGCCGTGGACACCATAGTGAGCAAGACAGACCAGAGCCAGGCTGCTCAGATCCTCCAGCCTAGCGCTGGGGAGACAGACATCCCGTAGAAGCAGGGGCCGCACCAGGGCCACAAAACCAAAGCTGAGGAGCAGGCTGGAGAGTGCCCGAGGGCAGGACCACTCAGGAAGTGACATTCCAGTGAGAACTGGAAGGAAAAAGGAGCCTGGGTGCAGAGAGGACCACTGATTAAAGTGACACAGGTGTGAAGGTCAGGACTGAGCTTGCCAGGAGGTAGACGGGGGATACTGGGTGAGGAATGAAACCAAAGCTGGCCCAAGATGGGAGGCACCAGGACACAGGGGAGGGAAACAGGTGGGAGAGGCAGGGAAGGAGCCGCAAACTGTGGGGAGCTAAAGGGTCCATTCTGGACTCAATTCTCAGCTCTGCCCTAACAGACTGTGTGACCCTGGGCAAGCCCCTTGCCCTCTCTGTGCCCTCATGTGTCATGTGGGTCTGGTGGCAGAACTGCCCTAAAGGTGTAATATGAGGAGTCAGTGCATCTGTGGCTTGGGATGCATCCTCGCTGGTGAGGTCAGAGTCCAGGTGGGATGGGCGGCTGAGTGGGTACAGCAGGGTGGGGGCTGCCCAGCCTTAAGCAAAGCCCTTGGCAGTGGGACGATGCCAAGCCCATGAAGGAAGTAAGGTCAGAGTCCAGGTAGGCAGAGGGAGCACAGACACGGGAACAGCCTCACTAAGGGGTGGGACCCAAACTGTGGTCACCGCTGCCCCCAGAGCCTCCCTTATACATATGGGCCAGGGATGGGGTCCTGAAGCTCAGGCTACAGCCAGGCAGTGGCTCACACCTGAAATCCCAGCACTTTGGGAGGCCGAGGCAGGTGGGTCACCTGAAGTCAGCAGTTCAAGGCCAGCCTGGCCAACAGGATGAAACCCTGTCTCTACTAAAAATACAAACATTAGCCAGATGTGGTGGTGCAACTGTAGTTCCAGCTACGGGTGGCTGAGGTGGGAGAATTGCTTGAACCTGGGAGGCAGAGGCTGCAGTGAGCCAAGATCTCACCACTGCACTCCAGCCTGGGGAAAAAAACGAAATCCCATCTCAAAAAAAAAAAAAAAGAAAAAAAAGGTTGCCATAATCCCATTTCCCCCCAAATAAACATCATTTACATTTCAGTACATACCCCTCTGGTCTTCTGTTGTACATATCTACATATATTTAAAATGCTTTTCTTGTGAACTTTATGTTGGTAGGGAGGGAGTATAATTGCAAGAGTTTCAACAGCTAGCTGCAGATAGCGTTTTTCGAGCCCACCCTAACTATTTACCTCCCAGGGCTTGTACAGGAGAGTCTGGCTTCCAACGCTCTCCCGATCACCAAGTCTGTGGGATTTGTGTTCTCAACTCTAACTGACCTAGACAGGAATTTTGGAAACCCACGCCTTTGTAGACTGGAAGTGGCTGCCTGGGTCCTCCTTTGGCATGGGTCTGCAGGGACAGAAGTCACGTCCCAGCATTATCTCTCCTGCCCCACCTCCCAAAGAGCCCGGCACTTCCAACAAAGGCCAGCATTGGTGCCAGCACATCCCGGTTTATTCAGTGACTCAACGCCAAACAGCAGGACCCAACCTCTCACCAGCATGTCACTTCCTGAACACCAGCCCTGAGATCTTGAAAGATGACTCACTCCTTTACCCACATGACTAAGATATGGCTCCGAGGTTCTCACCACGGCAGATGTGCCACAGTTTTCACCTCTGTCCCCAGTGGGCGCTTGAGATCTTTCTCCCAAACCCTGACTTGGTGGCTTCAATGGTGACTCAACCTGGTTTCCCTTTGCGGTGTCATCTCCCTTTGAGGGCACAGGCCCTCAAACGACTTCCTTTGACTTCCAGATCTCAGAGAGCAGCCTTGCCTACGAGAAACACAAAGCAAAGGAGGCCATAGAGAAGGAAAAGAAAAAGGTGCAAGACCTGGAGAATCGCTTAACCAAGCAGAAAGAGGTATGAGTCGCAGGGAGGGAGCGATGAGAGGGCCTAGCATGGTGCAAGGCAGTGCTCTGGAGCCAGGCTCTGGGTTCAAATCCTACCTCTCCCCATCCCTGGCTGTGGCACTTTAGGCAAGTACTCTACCATCTCTCTGCCTTAGTTTTCCCACTTATGAAATGCAGATGATACCCACAGATCAATCTCCTTGAGTTGTTGTGAGACATGACTGCAGTTATACACGCAGAACACATGGAGAGGCACCCAGCACCCAGCGCTCCACGGGGACGTGTCAGCCGCCCATGTTAGCATAACGAGCTCATGGCTGTGGAGGGGCAGGATCCGAAACCAGGACTGTCTGACTCCCGAACCCTAAATCATCACCTCTCCCTCTCTACTGCACTTCAGCTTTGTGTGGGCTCAGCTGCCTGGCATAAGAAGGGAGATGTTGGCCGGGCACCCAGCACTTTGGGAAACCAAGGCAGGTGGATCACCTGAGGTCAAGAGTTCAAGACCAGCCTGGCCAACATGGTGAAACCCCGTCTCTACTAAAATTACAAAAATTAACTGGGCTTGGTGGCAGGTGCCTGTAATCTCAGCTACTTGGGAGGCTGAGACAGGAGAATCGCTTGAACCTGAGAGGTGGAGATTGCAGTGAGCCAAAACTGTGCCATTACACTCCAGCCTGGACAACAGAGCAAGACTCCATCTCAAAAAAAAAAGAGAGAGAGAGAGAGGAGATGCTAGGGTACAGACACCTGGGTTTCTGATCACTTTGATATCAGTTTTCCCAGCAGAACTTGTCATCATAATTACCATCACCTTCCTAATCCAAATGCATTTACTGTTTTTGTTTTTGTTTTTGTTTTTGTTTTGAGACAGAATCTCACTCTGTCTCCAGGCCTGGAGTGCAGTGGCGTGATCTCAGCTCACTCCTACCTCCACTTCCCAGGTTCAAGCAATTCTCCTGCCTCAGCCTCCCTAGTAGCTGGGATTACAGGTGCCTGCCACTACGCCCAGCTAATTTTTTTTTTTTTTTGTATTTTTAGTAGAGACGAGGTTTTACCATATTGGCCAAGCTGGTCTCAAATTCCTGACCTCGTGATTCACCCACCCCAGCCTCTCAAAGTGCTGGGATTACAGGCATGAGCCACCACGTCTGACCACCTTTACTGTTATCACTGAGAATTGTAAACGCAGTAGGAATAGAAGTGGATTGTGCACGTGACCCTGTCTTACCCTGCAGGTACCTCATAAGCAATAGGGCATAACTGGCTTCTGCTGGGTCCCAACAGTACAAGGCGCGCACGCGCACACACACACACACACACACACACAATGACCAATATGTCAAAGTCAAAGCAGGTGACAAACATGCATCCTGGCAATAATGGGTTAAATTTAAATATAGGTGACTATGACTTCAAAGGATTTTCGGGACCAGCTAGGACTAAAAAGGTCTCTATTCACATCAAACTGGGATCATTTTCTTCAAAGAAAGGTTTGCAAACATTAGCATGCATTCGAATCTTGGGGGAATTTATTTTAAATGCCTGTTTCTTGGACCCCACCCCAAGAAATTCTGATCCCCTGTGGAGGACAGACTCAGGAATCTGCATGTTTCATAAGCAGTCCATGGTGCTGATGCACTTTAAACAACGCTGCTCTAGGGAGGATAGTCAGGAGGGCCCGTCAGCCCTGGACACCACTCTTTAAGAGGGTCGTTCAGTAACTGGCCATGTGTCCAGAGAAGGTAGATGAGAGTTGGGTGAAGTGATGCGGGACTTCTCAGCCCAGGGCCATCAGGGTCACAGAGGACCCCTGCGGGGAGGCACGTGCTGCAGGCTGTGGGAGAGCCTGAGAGAGGCAGTCGCTTCCCAAGCAGCCATGTCCTCCACATGATGGACCATGGATCGCCCATGAAACACACTACGGGTAGGCGAAAAGGAGAGGTTAAAGCATTAAAGGTAGGTAAGCTGGGACATAAAATGGATCGGGAATGAGACTAATGCAAAAAAAAAAAAGTGTGTCATGGAATCAATGAATGAGTCACAGTTTTTACTCTAGCAGTTACAGTGCAAGGGAAAACCCAGCTGGTTGCACAGTTTACCAGACAAAAATGGACCAAGCACTCACGGAAATACGACCATTCTTGGAACCAGACCAGCAAGAATCTCTCCTAAAGGGTCATTATGTAGAGGATTCTGCCACAAGCAGCCTTCTCAGCAATATCCTTAGAACAGTGACACCAGAAGGTGGGGTCTCGGCTGGGCACAGTGGCTCATGCCTGTAATCCCTGCATTTTGGGAGGCCGAGGCCGGTGGATCACCTGAGGTCAGGAGTTCAAGCCCAGCCTGACCAACATGGTGAAACCTCGTCTCTACTGAAAATACAAAAATTAGCCAGTCGTGGTGGTGCATGCCTGTAATCCCAGCTACTTGGGAGGCTGAGGCAGGAAAATCGCTTGAACCAGGGAGGCGAAGGTTGCAGTGAGCCAAGATCATGCCATTGCACTCCAGCCTGGGCAATAGAGTGAGACTCCTTCTCAAAAAAAAAAAAAAAGAGGCCGGGCGCGGTGGCTCAAGCCTGTAATCCCAGCACTTTGGGAGGCCGAGGCGGGTGGATCACAAGGTCAAGAGATCGAGACCATCCTGGTCAAAATGGTGAAACCCCGTCTCTACTAAAAATACAAAAATTAGCTGGGCGTGGTGGCACGTGCCTGTAATCCCAGCAACTCAGGAGGCTGGGGCAGGAGAATTGCCTGAACCCGGGAGGCGGAGTTTGCGGTGAGCCAAGATCGCGTCATTGCACTCCAGCCTGGGTAACAAGAGTGAAACTCCATCTCAAAAAAAAAAAAAAAAAAAAAATTTGAATGATTGAATTTTGCATAGAACATCTCAGTGGCATGGAACCATGTTCCGTGGCCTGGGTTTGCAGTGTGCTGGATGGAACCTGATTTCTCTCCTCCTTCCCTGTGGCCCGGGGTACAGGGTGGTTTCTTGGTCTTCACTAGTGCCGAAGACGCTCGCTCAACCACCCTGCGCATCAGTTTCTATGTCCTTAGGAAAAATTCCCTAAAGTGGAGTTGCTGAGTCACAGGACATGCATGATTTTCAGGCTCACAGTACACGTTCCTGAATGACTGTGTAAAAGGTCACAGCAGCTTGCCCCTCCACCAACAGTTGAAAAATGCCCAGGACTGCAAATACATTTGAAATTGGATTAGACAATATTCATAAGATGGCCAGCACAGTGCCAGTCAAGAAGCCCACACTCCACATTATTGCAGGAAGGACTCAAGGAGAAGAACAGAATGTTGACCGTGAAAGAGCAAAAGAACGGGTTCCAGGAGGAGGGACAAGAGGTGCCCAGGACGGGGCCGCCGAAGCCCTGGAGGAAACGGGGTATCCTGGAGGCAGGTGTGCATCGAAGGAGAGAAGGGACGCGGCACATTCATCCTGGAGAACAGATTTAGAGACAGACATGACAGCCCTCCTCAAATATTTAAAGGGCTGTCTCATAAAAGAGAAATAAAACGTACTCAATGAGCTCCAGGTGACAGAGCTGAGCTGAGAGACCAGAAATCACAAGGAGACAGATCTCCGCTGAATATAAAGACAAGTTCTATCATAATTGGAACCTTCCAGAGAAGGCATGGACTTTGTACTTTCAAAGGATCGACAGAATAATTAGACAGTAGACTTTGCCTCCTCACTGAAGGTGGGGGAGGAGGGGGCTGGGTAAGTATGTATTCCTGAATCTCTGTTATTTTGCTACTTGTTTTTTGTGTAGGAAATGGAATTCAAAGAGCAAAAACAGGACGTTTTAAATAATAAATTAAGTGATGCACTGGCCATGGTCGAAGAGGCTCAGAAAACAAAGACAACTGAAAGTCTAAAAGCAGAGAGCCTCGCCTTGCAATTAAATGAAACATTAGCTGAACTGGAAACTGCCAAGACAAAAATGGTAGGTCGCTGCCTTCCGGGAACGGGAGACTTTTTCTCTCCATGGAAGATTACAGTGCTGTGAGAACCTGTGGTTTGGGTGGGGGCTTCTCAGCCTCAGCACGGCAGATGCTCTGGGCCAAGTAGCTCTTTCCTGTAGGGGCTGTCCTGAGCATCTTAGGTTATTTAGCACCAACCCTGTCCCCTGCCCACCAGATGCCAGAAGCCCTCTCCCCGCAGTCGTGGTCACCAAAAATGCAGACACTGCCAAGTGTCCCTTAATCGCCCCCTAATGAGAAGTGTTGGTTTAGAGTGAAAGGTACACAGGATGCCCTCTCTGCAGGGTGTTCTGAGACGTATTTCAGGGTCCTCGCAGGATCAGTGAGAACACTCAGGATTTCGTGATCAGTGACTATTCCACCGGCTTTCAGACAGTGTGTTAAAGCATAGACTCGGCATTCGAGGCCCTCCACAACCAGGGCTGGATGTTGCATTCATTCTGTCATCCATATGTTCAACCAACAGGTTTCTGGGCAAGAAAGGAATGCAGGTTAATCTGTCAGACGAGCACAGAGTAAATTTCACGAGGGTGTGGCATTGGAGAAGACAGCTCTGGGTGTGGCACGTGGTATAGACCAGAATCATTAGGACCTGACCTTGGCTGGGGCAGGGGGAGGCATGGGAGGGAGGGAGTTGCTGGAGAGTGTTACAATGGCAGGACTTGATAACGGCTGGCGGGACGTGAGCGCCAAGGAGAAGACAGTGCCAGAGGAGACCGCACGCTTCAGGCCAGGGCGCCTGGGGACATGATGGGTTAGGGACAGCATAGGAATGGCAGTCTGCAGGTCTGGGATCATTGTGGGGGGGTTCTCTTGGAGCAATCCTTTTTTGGAGAAGAGGAGACAAGAGAAGGAAGGCAAGGATAGGGCATCAAAGTTCAAAAGCCCCCCAGCTTTGGGTACGCAGTAGTTTTGGGAAAGACAGCAAGACGAGAGCCTAACCTGGAAGGCCGCCTCCTAGGCAGGGTCCTTGGAAGAGTGAGCGTGTGTGTCTCGGGCAAAGAGTGTACCTGTCATGGGGAGATCAGAGGCCACGGCCCAACATGTCACCTGGGAATAGGGAGCAGGACAGGGTGAGGTCGGAGGAGCAGGCGGGCAGCGAGGAGGAGGTGCTGACATGGAAACACCAAGGGGAGCCTCAGGAGGGGGTGGGCGTGGGAAAGCAACTGATTTGCCATTCAGGGATCATCAGTAATTTTTTGTTTTTAAGAAATGCAAGTTGGTTTTGTTTTTAAGAAATGTAAGTTCTGATCAGGCACAGTGGCTCACACCTGTAATCCTAGCATTTTGGGGTGCCAAGGTGGGTGCATCGTCTGAGGTCAGGAGTTTGAGACCAGCCTGGTCAAATGGCAAAACCCCATCTCCACTAAAAAAAAATTACAAAATTCAGCTGAATGTGGCGATGCATGCCTGTAGTCCTACGTACTCAGGAGGCTGAGGCAGGAGTATCGCTTGAACCAGGAGGCGGAGGTTGCAGTGAGCCAAGATCATGCTCTGCACTCTAACCTGGGTGACAGAACAAGACTCTGTCTCCAAAAAAAAAAAAAAGAAAAAAGAAAGAAAGAAATGCAAATTCATTCACTTTTTCTTATGAAATTGTTCACTCATTAATTCCACAAATATTTATCAAACATCAAATGCTGTGGGCATAGCAGTAAGTAGAAAAAGACACATTTCTGCTGTTACGAAGTTTACATTCTAGTGGGCATGAGAAACAAAGAAACAAGATTAAAGGCTTCGGGGACAATGAAACAGACACTGGAACAGAAAGTGTCTGGGGCTGCTCCTGGTAGGTGGTCAGGGAGGGCCTCTCAGAGGAGGTGACGCTGGAGCTGAGCCCTGAAAGTCAAGAAGCAGTCAACCATGCAAGGAGCTGGGGAAGAAGTTTACAAGGCAAAGGGAACAGCACGTGCTAAGGCCTTGGGGTGGGGCCCAGGTTAGCACCTGTGTGTATGCAGAGGGGCCATATCCTTGTTGTCGTCATATCCAGCTCCCAAGATCACACTGAGTGATACTGTTTCCCAGATCATGATGGAAAACCAGCTAATCCTGCAGCAGCAGAGGGTAAAGGCGCTCCAGGATGAGCAGGAATCGCAGAGACACGGGTTTGAAGAAGAGATCCTGGAATATAAGGAGCAAATCAAACAGCACTCCCAGACAATTGTGAGTCTTGAGGAGAGACTCCAGAAAGTCACTCAGCACCATAAAAAAATAGAAGGCGAGATTGCAACGTTGAAGGACAACGATCCAGGTGAGTCTGAAGGGAGGCCAAGGAAATCTTCGTGTTGGGGGCAGGTTCTGATTGTCCCCTGGGTCCTAATGGGCTGATGGTTAAGAAAAGCGCCTCATTCAAAAGCTCATTCATTCTGTGAGGCCTCCTTTTGTTCTTGTCACACAACGATGTCAGAAGCCCTCCGAGGCCCAGGTTCAGCAGAAGTCATGGCAATGAGTTGGGACATCCTTTGTGCCGACCCAGTGAGCCGGCGAGACACGCAGGCTACCAGGGCTGTCAGGGCCATTGAGAGCAGCGCGAAGTGGAATCATCGTTTCCACATGAAAACAGCTCGCACGGGGGCCTTTCAGAGGCTTCTCTCTGCCATCGACCTTTTACATCTTGACCAATGCACTTTCATTAGCAGCCAGGATTTCTCCCTTAAAAAATAAGCCCGAAAGAGGCTGAAAAAAGAACTCAGACTTGTGAGCACTGGTTGGCCCCAAATGGCCAAGGTAAGTTGTACTATTGTAAAGATATTAAGCTCTTGGAGAAAGTTCTGGAAGTAGAGGACTGGGGCCAGGGTATCCCAGCCTCAGCCCTGTTGACATTTGGGGCAGGATCATTTTTTCATGGATGGGACTACCCTGGGCACTGTCGGGTGTTAGCAGACTCCCTGGCCTCCACCCACCAGATGCCAGCAGCACCCCTACCCCAGTTGTGACAACCAAAAATGTCTCCAGACATTGCCCAATGTCCCCTAGAGGCAAACTCACTGCTGGTTAAGAAACACGGCTCTAGTCCCCAGCAAGTTGGCAGGCCATCAAGACTTACTACATTCATTCATTCATTCATTCATTCATTCATCTCTCTCGGTGAAGCTTCTGTGATGTTCCAGTCTCATGTGGGCACTCAGGATCCAGTGATGGACAAGCCAGTTTTTGTCCTCCTCGTAACAAAATTATTGCCCTGACAGGTGATCCCAGACGAATAGGGCGCCGTGATGAGGACGAAAAGCGGGGTTCAGTTTCCGAACCCAGAGTCCAGGTCAGAGGAAGGGTGTTTGAGATTGAGCTGGGACCTGAAGGGCGACTGCATCTTTGTCACTCCCACACTTAGGCCAACGTGCACTCCACAAATGTTTGTTGAAGGAGTAAACACGTGAGTGAACACGTGACTGAGCAGTGAGCCAGGACACCAGAGGCGGTGCACTGAGGTGTAAGTGGGAGGAAAGCAGTGGAAGGCCCTAAACACAGATTCTTCTTTTGAGAGAGGCGGGCAGGTGGTGGGACCAGGGGCTGAGGCCGCACTGCTCACCAGCTTCGCCGAGTGGTCGCCAGCAGCCTCCATCACTCTGGTGCCCCTTTCATTGTCTGTGAGTGGACTTGAGGGTCCCTGCCTTCTAGAGTAGCTGGGAAGGTCACATAGCCACACACTTGGGGAGAGCCCTCAGCCCGTAACATGGAACACGTGCGGGTCTCACAAGGCGGAGAGCGCCACAGGTGGAGGCAGGATTTGCAAATTGTGAAAGACACAGGTGCGTTTGTAAGCAAAGGGGAAGGATGGCCTCTTCTCACAACATTCACGTGTCCCTCTAATACAGCCCACAAGGAAGAAAGGCCACAAGACCCTCCGGTGGCTCCCACGACGGACAGCAGTGCCAAAGACATGGCGTGCGAACACCTGATGTGAGTACCTGCGGGTGTGTGAGCGCCAGGCATTCTCACGGGTGCCACCTGGGTGGGGGCAAACAGGAAACCAGCCCCTACCGGGGCCATATTGTCAGAAGCCAAACAGGGAGCCCAGCCTGCTGCCTTCCCAGTGCTGCTTACATTTCCCCATTCCTTCAGCAAGGCAGGTGGTGTCGTGGAAAGAGTTAAGTGGAGCTACGTTCAGACCCTGCGCCTGTTTTCTGCTGTTTATAACAGAATACCCAAAACTGGGTAATTTATAATGAAAATGAGTTCATTTCTGGCCAGGCATGGTGGCTCATGCCTGTAATCCAAGCACTTTGGGAGACTGAAGTGGGCAGATTGTGCAACCTCTGGTTGTCGAGATCAGCCTGACCAACATGGTAAAACCTCGTCTCTACTAAAAATAAAAACTGGCCGGGCGCGGTGACTCAGCCTGTAATCCCAGCACTTTGGGAGGCCGAGGCAGGTGGATCACGAGGTCAAGAGACCGAGACCATCCTGGTCAAAATGGTGAAACCCCGTCTCTACTAAAAAACAAAAAAATTAGCCGGGCATGGTGGCAGGCACCTGTAATCCCAGCTGCTCAGGAGGCTGAGGCAGGAGAATCGCTTAAACCCGGGAGGCAGAGGTTGCAGTGAGCTGAGATCGCGCCACTGCACTCCAGCCTGGGTGACAGAGTGAGACTGCATCTCAAAAAAAAAAAAAGAAAAGAAAAGAAAAGGAGCTCGTTTCTTACAGTTATGGGGACTGAGAAGTCCCAGGCTGAGGGGCTGCAGCTGGTGAGGGCCTTCTTGCTGCTGGGGACTCTCTGCAGAGTCTGGGAGTGGTGCAGGGCAACACGTGGCCAGGGGCTGAGTGTGCCAGCTCAGGTCTCCCCTCCTCTTTTTGTAAATCCACAGTCCCACTGCCACGATAACCCATTAATCCACTGACCCAGTAGTCCACAAATCCATTAATCCATAATTGTGCCTTCATGACCCAATTGCTTTATAAAGGCCCCGCCTCTCAATACTGCCACATTGGGGGGTAAGTTTCAACTTGAGATTTGGAGGGGACAGACATTCAAAACATAGCAGATTCCAACTGGACACTTTCTAGCCTTGTGACCCCGGGCAAGTCACACCGCCTCACTGACCCTTAGCTTCCATGTTTGTGAAGTAAGGCTGTACATGCCTAGTGCTTGGGAAAGTTAGCTAATACTTTTATTGGCTATTTTTCCCAAGTAGGTGTTATAAGCAGAGATTTCAAACAGGAGACCACTTGGTGGGGTGGGGTCCTGTAGGGTGAGAAGTTGAGGAATCGGCTAAATGACCTTAAATAAATGACCTCAACTCTCCTGACCCTGAGAGCCAGTGTAATAAAGAAGTCTGTCCTCAAAGAACTGACAGTTTTCAGAGAAACAAACATATGAATGGGAAAGATCCAGAAAGCATCTCGTAAAGAAGGAGGCGCCGATGGGACGCAGAGGAGGGATTCAGAAGTCCCCCAACAGGAGAACCACCTGCCTCACCCTTGCACCAAATTCTAGTGACCGAAGTCTGACGTCACAGGGTTTTTACAGAAAGACAGGGATATGCGGCCTCCCCATTGTGAAAATCTCCCGACTCCTCCTCCTGTTTAAACTCTAGAAACAGTGGTCCCATGACTTGGAGAAGCATCAGCATGGCCTGGCTCTGCTGTGGTCCACTTCCTTAGAGTGTGAGCAGGCTTGAGTTCTAAGGTTCTGTCCTCAAGTTGAAAGATTTGTGGTTGCAGCCAAGGACGCACTCGTGCGCGCACACGCATGCACGCACACGGAGAATACATTATATATATGCAGTTATTTTCATTCTGATGATCGCCAGTCTTTTTTTGTTGTGTGGCATGCACCTGCCAGTGTTTTACTTTAATTCATAATAAACACAGTACCTTCTAAAGTCTGTATAAGGCCAGGCACGGTGGCTCACACCTGTAATCCCAGCACTTTGGGAGGCCGAGGTGGGTGGATCACCTGAGGTCGGGAGTTTGAGACCAGCCTAACCAACATGGTGAAAGCCTATCTATCTCTACTAAAAATACAAAAATTAGGCAAGTGGTGGACGCCTGTAGTCCCAGCTACTCAGGAGGCTGAGGCTGGAGAATCACTTGAACCCAGGAGGTGGAGGTTGCAGTGAGCCGAGATTGCACCACTGAACTCCAGCCTGGGCAACAGAGCAAGACTCCATCTCAAAAAAATAAAAATATATTTAAAAATGAAGTCTATATAAGAGGAGACTGGATTTCAAAAGCCTGTGAACTCAAATGAAGTGGCAGTAATACCTGCCCCAAGACTAAGGCTCCTAAACCCCTTCCAGAAGGGCAGGACCTCCTCCCCGCAGCATTAACATGACCTGTCTCCCCAAGGCTGCAGTTTCCCAACTTGCTGAGATGCACACCCTGTGTTCTTCCAATCAAATCCCCCAGCAGGGCGCCTCCCCTGCTGTTCTGCTGGGCACCCTTCACCCCTCCACTGGGCACAGCCCCCCTCCCATCAACCACTCTGAGTCTCAGGGTGCCAAAGGTGTGCTGCCCTCGGCAGGTGGTGGGGAGTTGTCCCCGCTGCTTGCCTGGTTCCCAAGGCCACTCTTCTGCCAGCTCCCCCAAGGACACCATTCATTCACATCCAGCCCCGCCTCTCTCCACCAGGAAGTCAAAGAGGCTGATGAGAGAAGAAAGCCACACTGTCTTCCTCTCCTTCTTCCCTGTCCCTGAACCTCCTCAAAATCACCTTCCCCTCTCCCTCCACTGTCAGAAGCCCACAGGCACGTCAATTCATGATGGTGGGTGGTGGGTGTCACTCTCATGCAAGGCATATTTGAGCCTCAGACTCAACTCAGCCAGATCCATTGTTCTATCTCAATGGATTTTCCTTTTTCTTTCTTTCTTTTTCTTAGAGACAGGGTCTTGCTCTGTCACCCAGGCTGGAGTGCAGCCTTCAACTCCTATGCTCAAGCAGTCTTCCCACCTTAGCCTCCCAAGTAGCTGGTACAACAGCCACACATCACTATGCCTGGCTAATTTTTTTGTTTTTTAAGACGGAATCTCGCTGTGTTGCCAGGCTGGTGTGCAGTGGCACAATCTTGGCTCACTGCAACCTCCGCCTCCTGGGTTCAAGCAATTCTGCCTCAGCTTCCTGAGTAGCTGGGACTACAGATGCGTGCCACCACACCCAGCTATTTTTGTATTTTTAGTAGAAATGGGGTTTCACCATGTTGATCAGGCTGGTCTCGAACTCCTGACCTCATGATCCACCATGACGGCCTCCCCAAGTGCTGGGATTACCGGCATGAGCCACCGTGCCTGGCCTATTTTTTTTTTTTTTTTTTTTTAGAGAGGGGGTTCCGATTTATGTTGCCCAGGCTGGTCTCAAACTCCTGGGCTCAAGTGATCCTCCAGTCTTGGCCTCCCAAAGTGCTGGGATTACAGGTGTGTGCCCAGTGCTCGGACTCAATGTATTTTCTTAAATGAAGGTGCAACAAAAAAGTCATTTTTGTTTCAGAGTTTTTAAAGACTGTCCTCATCCCTGGCTGGGACTGGCATCGCATGGACCACTGAGAATCTCTTTGCATTTGTACTCGGTGCCTCCCTGACACTCAGGAAATAACGTGGAATTTGAGTGGAACTGACTTCTCCTGTTTTTGTGAATTTCAGAGACGACTTACTGGCTGCTCAGAAGGAAATCCTGTCCCAGCAGGAGGTCATCATGAAGTTAAGGAAAGACCTCACCGAAGCCCACAGCAGAATGTCAGATTTGAGAGGTTTGAACGATCTCCTGTGTCTCTTGACCTCCGACCCACTAGAGAAAGGAAAGAGATGAGGCTTAAGAGTCGAAATCTTTGGCATAAGAAATCCTGCTTCCCTGTGCTGTCCCGGCACCCCAGGCAAGGCTTGATCCTTGCCCAGAGAGAGGGCTCAGTACACGCTGCTTGAGGAGTTGAGTGAATGAATGAATGATATGTGTTCGTGCTTCTCAAACTTCTTTGTCCAATCTTCCAGATGACAGGTCTCTGCTTAAATGCCACTTCCTCCAGGAAGCCCTCCCTCACTCACCCTCACCAAACATAGCCAAGAGATCCTGCTATGCTTGGGCTCCCTTGGCCCCTGTACTCTGTCTAACCTACCACTTAGCACACAGCAAAGCTACCTTTGACTTTTTTTGTTGTTGTTGTCATTGTTTGTTTGTTTATAACTCAGGGTCAGCAAAAGCTGTATCCTGGATATATCCCTGATTCCCATCCTCCACTGAGTCCCTGACTCAATGCCAAAAGGCACAGGGCACATTCTCCAGAGGACTTTGGACCTCTGCACTGAAATGCAACTTTCTTCTTCAGGGAGAAGTTTCCTTTGGCACAGATTTGCTCCTGGAAGCAGAGGCTTGGAGGGCAATCCTGGGCTGTCCCTGCGGCAGGCCATTTTGCACAAGCCCCAGCACTCACTAGCTTTGGGACTGAGGGCAAGGGGGTCTCTCCAGGCCTCCTCTTCCTCAGATGCCAAGTAGAGACAACGTGACTTCTTCCTAGGATTGACGTGGCCGTCAGTGGCTACCTAGAGTTGGGGCAAAACAACTGAGTTCTGCGCTGTTCTGGACAGACCCAAACAACGCTGCCTCCAGACTCCCGCTTCGCTCCGCCTCATCTCCGCCCTTTCACTTCTGCCCCCTTTCTTGCACCTGGTAGCAGCCTCTCTTTCCCATCCCTACTCTCCCTCCAGCAAGGACGCAGACAGGCAGGAGCTGGAAGATAGAACTAAGCCTGGGGAAGTGGAGGAAGGGAAAGGAATGCTCTTATCTTGCGTCCGTCCCAAGCCCGTCAGTGGTATTTGCTCCCTGTAGCTGTTGCTGTTGCATTTAGGGCTGAATTTTTCCATAATAGGGTATGAGAAAGTGTGGGGTAGAGGCTACGGTGTCCGGTTCTCAAGGAGAGGGATGCTGAGCCCGATTCCATGTCTGCGCACTCTTAGTTGCATGACCTCAGGCAAATCCCTTACCTCTCTGAGCCTTAGTTTCTGCATCTGTGAAGTGGGGATGTTCATAGTAGCTACCTTATGCCTATAGTCCCAGCACCTTGGGAGACCAAGGAGGGCAGGTCACCTGAGTGATCACCTGAGTGATCCACCTGCCTCGGTCTCCCAAGGTGCTGGGACTACAGGCGTAAAGAGTTCAAGACCAGCCTGGCCAACATGGTGAAATGCTTTCTCTACTGAAAATACAAAAATTAGTCAGGCATGGTAGTGCACGCCTGTAATCCCAACTACTCAGGAGGCTGAGTCAGGAGAATCACTTGAACCCGTGAGGCAGAGGTTGCCATGAGCCAAGATCGCAGCTTGGGTGACAGAACAAGACTCTGTCTCAAAAAAAAAAAAAAAAAAAAGTGTCTACCTTGAAGGTTGCTACACAGATTTGAGGTCATGCTACGCAGAGACAACTGAGTCTGAGCTTCCCCAGAAGCAAACACAGAGAGCAGAATTCCACTGCAGGCAGTTTATTTTCGAGGTAATCCCAGCAGGAAACAACAATCCCAGCAGAGGGGGAAGGGTGGAGACTGGACGGTCAGTCACGTGGGCACGGGGGCAACTGGAGCTTAATTTGGCTGGGAATGCTGGGGCGTGAGGGAGAACACATGCGCCGGGCTGCCCCACCTAAGGGGTGCAGACTCCAGCCCGCACCAGCCACTGGCAAGAGGTCACCACACCTCTGCTCTTACCTTGCCCCGGTCCCAAGCCCTTCAGTGGTATTTGCTCCCTGTATGGTGGCCATATAGCAGAGGAGGCTTCAGAGGCCTTAGCAGAGATGCAGAAACAGGCAGCTGAATGCCAGCTGGAGTGCCCTGAAATGCCAAAGAGACGCCGGTGCAGCCCTGCCAGCATCCACTGGTGCAAGGCGAGGGTGGGGCAGGAGCCCACACACCTCATGGAGGTGCCACCGCCAGCAGGTGACAGTTGCGTGATCTTGCTGTTACTTGCTGAGGTGCAAGCAGACCTCCTGGCTGTTCCTAAAGCCCCTGAGAATTCCCAGGGGGCAGACCTGCCTGGTGGTTCTTGTAGGCCCGGCAGATCTGCCGTGGCCCTTAGCGGAGCCCCTCTCACCGGCCCTCCTGTCACTCCCAGGGGAGCTGAATGAGAAGCAGAAGACGGAACTGGAGCGGAACGTGGCACTGGTCCAGCAGCAGAGCAAGGAGCTGAGTGTGCTCAGGGAGAAGATGGTCCAGATGAGCAGCCTGGTGGAAAAGAAAGACCGGGAGCTGAAGGCCCTCAAGGAGGCACTCAGGTTGGGGGGTGGTTGCGGGCGGTCTCCTGGTGTGGGGAGCCACTGAGCCTTGCACACAGAGAGGGCTCAGTACATGCTGCTTGAAGAGTTGAATGAATGAATGAATGATATGTGTTTCGTGACTTTGCTTAGTTCTGTGCTTCTCAGACTTCCTTGTCCAATCTTCTAGATGACAGGTCTCTGCTTAAAAGCCACTTCCTCCAGGAAGCCCTCCCTCACTCACCCTCACCAAACATAGCCAAGGGATCCTGCCATGCTTGGGCTCCCTTGGCCCCTGTACTCTGTCTAACCTACCACTGAGCACACAGCAAAGCTACCTTTGCCTGTTTTTGTTGTTGTTTTGTTGTTGTTGTTGTTGTTGTTTTTGAGATGGAGTCTCACTTGCTCTGCCACCCAGGCTGGAGTGCTGTGGAGCAGTCTCAGCTCACTGCAACCTCTGCTTCCCGGGTACAAGCCATTCTCGTGCCTCAGCCTCTGGAACAGCTGGGACTATAGGCATGAGCCATCACGCCTAGCTAATTTTTTTGTGTTTTTAGTAGAGACTAGGTTTCACCATGTTGGTCAGGCTGGTCTCGAACTCCTGACCTCAAGTAATCAGCCCACCTCAGCCTTCCAAAGTGCTGGGATTACAGGTGTGAGCTACCACACCCGGCCCATTGCCTGTTGATCGCCTGCCCTCCCCACAAGGACAGGGTCTTTGTAGACCTTGCCCACTGTTGATTCCCAGTTCATAAAGGAAATTAATATTTATTTAACAAATGAATAAACTGGAGGTGTCAGCTTAAAGTATGTAATACTGTCATTGTCCCATGGGTTTCTCTTTAAAAATACCCATGAGCTTGCATTTTTACCTGTAATCTTACCCACATTTTAAAATGAGTCATGTTTTCACAAAAAAGTTTGAGTGAAATTGATGTTTTGTGGATATTTGGTAGCTTCCTGTGGCCGAAGCGGATTCATAGTTGCTGAAGGAGCAGACTCCAGACCCAGCTGCCTGGTTTCAAAGCCAGACCCTAGGCCAGGTGCGGTGGCTCACACTTGTAATCCCAGCACTTTGGGGGACTGAGGTGGGCTGATCACCGAAGGTCAGGGGTTTGACACTAGCCTGGCCAACATATAGTGAAACCCCGTCTCTACTAAAAATACAAAATTAGCCGGGCGTGGTGGTGCACGCCTGTCCCAGCTACTCGGGAGGCTGAGGCAGGAGAGTCGCTTGAACCTAGGAGGCGGAGGTTGCAGTGAGCTGAGATCACACCATTGCACTCCAGCCTGGGCAACAAGAACAAGACTTCGTCTAAAAAAAACAGAGGCCAGACCCTCCACAAGCAAGGTGACTGCAGGCAGATTGCTGTGTGTCTCTCTACTTGTCCGTAAAATGGGACAAGCAGAGTTCCTAACTTGTGGGATTGTTATGAGAAATAGAAGGGCTAGCCACACTTAAAGTGATAGAAACAGCGGGCATGCAGTGAATGTCCCCGTAAAGCCACAGCAGGTGTCCACAGCCCCGGTGTAGGAACCAAGGGCAGGTGCTCCCTGTCCTGGCCACTCTCCCATGAGTTCCCTGAAACCGAATTCTCTAGAAATCTGGGAGCTGGAAACTGAAGTCTCAAAAGAATTCTGTTTCCTATAAAAATAGAGCTCCGTGGCTGGACCCCCTGGCTCACGCCTGTAATCCCAGCACTTTGGGAGACCGAGGCAGATAGATCACAAGGTCAGATGATCAAGACCATCCTGGCCAACATGGTGAAACCCCATTTCTAGTAAAAACACAAAAATTAGCTGGGTGTGGTGGCACACACCTGTAATCCCAGCTACTCAGGAGGGTGAGGCAGGAGAAATGCTTTAACCCGGGAGGCGGAGATTACAGCGAGCCAAGATCGCACCGCTCTACTCCAGCCTGGCAACAGAGTGAGACTCCATTTCAAAAAAAAAAAAAAATAGAGCTTCATTTCCTGGTCTTCCAATGAGTACAAAAGTAATTTGTGGTTCCCAGAACCTCATGCCATCTGCCTCTTCTCCGCCCTAGGGCTTCCCAAGAGAAACACAGTCTCCAGCTGAACACAGAGAAGGAACAAAAGCCCAGGAAGAAGACCCAGACGCGTGACACCTCTGTGCAGATAGAGCCAGTCCACACCAAGGTCTTCTCCAGCAGCCAAGAGGTGAGTGCCACCCACCCGAGCACCTGGAAGGACGTGTTAAGACGGGGCCCAGTGGTGGCTTTCTTTCCTTTTGAAGACATTTTCATCCTAAGTTCCAAAAGTATGACTTGCCCGTGTGAAATGTATAACGTAAATCGCAGAATCCTGCCTGTTCGGTCGCAGTCACCAGAGGTCACAGCTGTCCACAGTGTGATGTGTGTGCCGTGAGAGCTTTCCCTCACAGAGGCCTCCACGTTCTCACACGGTCAAGAAGGTGCAGTGGCTGAAGATCAGGTGTGGATTCACTCCACCTGCGTTTGAATCTCAACTCCTCTGCTTAGAAACTCTGTGAACTTGGGGAGGTTACTGTGCCCCAGTTCCCTTTTCTGAGAGTAATGACCATCCCCACCTTATGGGTTGGTTGAGAAATAGATTTTATGTATATACACACCTGAATACACAAACACATACAACCCATACATATAGATATTTACTTATTCATTCATTTACATTTATTTCAAGGTGAGGTCCCACTCTGTCACCCAGGCTGGAGTGCAGTGGTACAATCAAAACTTCACTGCAGCCTCAACTTCCCAAGTTTCAAATGATCCTCCTGCCTCAGCCTCCCTAGTAGCTGGGACTATAGGTGCATGCCACCACACCTGGCTAATTTTTGTATTTTCAGTAGAGATGAGGTTTCGCCATGTTATCCAGGCTGGTCTTGAACTCCTGGACTCAAGAGATCCACCTACCTCGGCCTCTCAAAGTGCTGGGATTACAGGTGTGAGCCACCATGCCTGGCCCATAGAGATATTTGTTTAGTACATAATTTTTTTGCTAATGGTATCAAACCATGTACATTCTGCAACATGGGTTTATTTTTACAGACACTAATGGGCATCTTTGCAAGAATATGAAGATCTGCCTCACCCTGTTACATGGCTGTGTGGAATTCCACTGTGTTTCTTTTTTCCAACCAGTCCCCTTTGGATGGACACCTAGGCTGTGTGTCCTCTTGTGCAACGCTGCATTTAATGTACTTGTTCTTCCTGAATTGTGCTTGATGGGGCCAAACTGCCTTCCCAAAGAGCCATGCAGTGAGTGCTCCGTGGCTGTGTCTTGGTAGCTGTTCTGTGCACCTGCCCAGAAGCATCGGATGGGAGCGTGTCTTTGAGTGAAAACAGCCTTTACTGGGCCATCCTGGAAGCTGGTACTCACACTCTGTCCCTATGGCTGGGGCTGCGCTACTCCCCGTGATCCACAGCATGCGATTGTGAGGTGCAGTGAGTCCTCAAGGCCCTGGGTTTCCCGGGGCCTGGGGCTGTTCTTTCCCTGAGGCTTTTGGAGCCTAGAGAGCATGGCGTTCCAGTAATGGGCATTGGATTTTTGCTGGGAAGCCAGGCCAAATGTGTCAGCTTGCTTTCTGGCGCACTCAAAGATGCCCTTCCCCTGCCAGACAGCCTTGAGCCAGGGCTGCAAACAGCTTGAATGAAACGGCTCGAGGTCCAGCCAGCTGTCCTTGGCAGCGATCACTGTCCAGAGCACCTTCACACAAGTGTCTCCTGGTTGCTCAGGGCGACCGGGAAGAGGGGTGGCTACAGCAGGCCCACGTGGCCATAAGCTCCATGGGGCGGGGAGTGTGCGGCACTCCTGTCGGAATCCCAGGCTTTTAGAGCAGAACCTGACCCATATTCATTCACTCATTCAGTGACTATTGAGCATCTGCTGTGTGCCAGGTCCTATGCCAGGGATAGGAGAAGACACACAGGGCCCACCCACACCAAACGCCCCTGGACTCTGTGCACATCTGTTGGACTGGATTGTTGAACTGGGATGCCCTTGATGTTTAGTTTATATTATGTGGTGGAATTCGTGGAGGAGGATTGGGGAGGGAGACTGCAAGATAAAAGGGAAAATATGTTTGTTCCTTCTTGGAATGGTTTTCCTCCCTCGGGCTCCTTTCTGCTTTCTAAGCCAGAGTGGGTCAGAGGGCTTAAGAGTTGTATGAGAAAGAATCTCCATCGTCTCCAAATAAACCAATTCCCCGAAGAGCCGTGAGGAGGGGTCATGTGGTGCTCCCGGTACCCCTCAGGCCAAGCACAGGCTGTGATGCAGCCTCAATGCCGTGGCTACCCCTACACCCCCAAAACTCAGTATCCCCTACCCCCTGCTAAACATAGAGGACAGAGAGAGAGGGAGAATATTCCAGGTTGTTTACTCCTAGGGCAAACACGTATCCTCAAGAGGTGACCAAGGCCAGCGTAGAGCCAACCCCGGAAGGGAAGCAGCCTTGCAGCTGTGAGCAGGCTGGAGCCAGGGTCCGAGGACAAGCGAGGCCCTGCTAAGCGCAGCAAGGGTGGGGTGCCTTTCCCTCGAAGCTGCGGAGCCCTGCTCCCAGGCGGAAAGCCGGGGCAAGCTCTTTACAGCTCCTGTTTCTGACCTCTGTTCATGCAGGCTCCATATTTATTGAGCACCTACTATGCTCAGATACAGCCCTGGGCCCTGGGAGTAGCACAGTCCTCAGAGGAGATAAAGACTGCTCTCACGGAGCCCATCACGGAGGGGAGACACGGAAATACACAAGCCAAGATCAGGCGAAATGTCCAGTGGGAGTAAGTGCTCTGAGGAACGGCACAGAGTGACCTGGGGGCAGGAGGGTTCTTTGGGGTCGGGTGGCGAGGGAGGCCTGTGCTGGAGGAGACGTGGAGCAGAGCCGGAAGGAAGGGAGGGAACAAGTGATGGGGACATGGGGGTGGGAGTAGAGACCGTCCCAGGGGGACCTCGGACAGCACTGTGGAGTCCCTTGAAGGAGGCCACAGGCCCTGTTCCCCGGTGGCAGTGTGGCTAGCACAGGGCCAGGGATGTGTCATACAGGCTTTGGCAAGCACTTGAACCATCAAAGGAAGAAGAACAAACAGATGTCCCCTTTGCGCTTCTCTGCTTTCTTTTCCTGAGAGCACTTATCACTCTCTGGAATTAGAGTATCTGTGCGTCTGTCTGTCTGTTATCTGTCTGCCCCATAGAACTTTGCCCACTGCAGCAAGGGCTCGTCTGCTCACCCCCTGATCTCACCCCTGCCTAGAGCAGTGTCTGGCATGCAGTCACTGCCATCGGCCAGTAGATAGATGGATTGGCAGCTTTTTAACAATGTTGGTTCACTTCATACTACATAGATATTATCTTCTGTACCTGTATCTAGCTATATATGTATATGCGTGAAGTGAACCAAAACTGTTATTTTAAAAATTATTTAAAAAGAGCCAGATTGTCAATTTCTTCTCCTTCTTGCCGGTTTGACTGAAATCTTCCCTGGCAGCTCTATCTACAACTGAAAACTGTTCCCAACACCCCACCCCACCTCCCCGCTTAATTTTCTCTGTACTGCTTATCACTTCTACCAGATATTTTCACCTTGTTGTCTGTCTGCCCACATGAGGATGCAAAATCTATGACAACAGGGCCGTTGCGGGTTTAGCCACTGCGGAATCCCTAGAGCCCAGAACCAGGCTTGGCACACAGAGGTGCTCAATAAATCGATGTGTGATGAATGAATTAATGAATGAATTGCTTACCTGAGAGAAGCGTTGTTTAACTCAGAGTTTATGAATGGACTTCAGGAGGTTTTGACCCTCTGGAAGTTGTATGCTAATATTTGTGTCGATGTGAATTTTTCTGGAGGAAAAAAAAAAAAGCCCTGCATGCTTCCAAATCTTAAAAGGGTACATGACCCTTAAAAGATGAAAAAGACCTTTCCTTGTCTGTGCTCTTAGTAAACCCAACTTCTTGTCTGTGCTCTTAGTAAACCCAACTCTGGGTACAGTGGCTCACGCCAGTAATCCCAGTACCTTGGAAGGCTGAGGCAGGAGGATTGCTTGAGCTCAGGAGTTTGAGACCAGCGTGGGCTACAAAGTGACACCTGTCGCTACAAAAAAATAGAAAAAATGAGCCAGGTGTGGTGGCACGCACCTGTAGTCCCAGCTACAGAGCTGGAAGGATGACTTGAGCCCAGAGGTAGAGGCTACAGTGAGCTGCGATCATGCCATTGCATTCCAGGCTGGGCAACAGAGAAAGATCCTATCTCCACAAACCAAAATAAACAACACACGCGCGCGCACGCGCACACACACACACACACACACACACACACACACACACAACTCTAGTCTGAGCTATTTAGGATGGTCCATCTGGGTCTAGTGACTACCATATGGGACGGTGCAGGTTTAAAACATTCCCTTCACCACAGGAAGTTCTGTGGGACAGTGCCGCTCTGGAGGCTCCAAAGTCTCAGAGAAAGGTTTTCCTTTCTCCAGCCCAAATAAGAGCCAATCTATCAAATCCCCCTAGCAAATATTAAACAACCATCCTTATCACCAGTTAAAAGAAAGCATCATGCGTTCTCATCTGAAAATGCCCTTCCAGGAGTAGAATTTGCTGTGGCTGTTCAGAAACAAGACCGGAATGGCAGCAAATGGAAACCCAGGCATGGAATAGTATTAGGAGAAAAAGAAAACATGGAGAGGGAACCTGGAGGGGCCCTTTTATTTACAGTAATGCTAAATGGGAAAGCTGGAAGTCTTCCTACATGTGACCTGATAGTTGAGATGAAAAATGTAAATTCTGTCTCTGCTGATGCCCTAATGATGTTTTCCCGAAGGTGCTAAGTGACAGCGTTCCACTACCCGTCAGTCGTTCATGTTTCTGTGAATGTAAGAGAAATCTTCCAATCCCTGATCAACTGCTGCCCGCCCCATTCTACCCACAGGAGCCATCCTTCAGCGACCTAGGGGTCAAGTGCAAAGGGTCCCGGCATGAGGAGGTCATCCAGCGTCAGAAAAAGGCCTTATCTGAACTTCGAGCACGAATTAAAGAACTTGAGAAGGCCCGCTCGCCAGGTAAGTCTCCTTCCGAGTCAGCGCAGGGGACCCCAGACTCGGGCTCACATTTGGGACTGACCAGTTTGCCAGGAGTACCATATTTTATCCGCATCGTCTCGAACTCAAAGGACATTGTAACACACAAAACAATGGGCAGACAGTGATCTCAGAGTCAAGTGCAGGCCTTGTTCCAGAGGCTCCAAAGGAACCCAGAAAATACTGAAGGAGATTTTATCCTATTAAATAAATAGGATTTGATGCACAACTCACTATTGTACTTTTTCTTACTTCACGGTAGCTGGGTGAAAACTTTGTCATGGCTGAACACTGTCTAAGGATCAATGTCTGGGAACCACTTAGAGTACCTGTTTAGAGGGGCTCGTGCTCTCCTAAGACTTAGGGTCTACTGCAGGTTTGGGCACTGTCTAGGACCTGGAAGCCTGGGTTCAAGTTCCACCCTGGTTCCGTGGCTGGAGGACCTTAGCAAAGTCCTCCCTCAGTGCCTTGGCACTGACGCCTGTGTGGCTGCACCCTCATATAAGCCGGGTGACCTTGGCCGAGTCAGTTAATCCCTCTAGGCCTGTGTCCTCATCTCCAAGGGAGGCGGCCGTGAGGATGAAAACGAGCCTGTGGTAAGCGTCCCAGAAGTAGTAGCTGTGGTCATGACATGAAATCACTTCTTCCTGAGCCCTTCTTTTGAGTCTGCTTTATTCTTTTATAGGTCATAAACACCACCTGAATGAATCAGTTCTAGATTTAAAAAACCTCAGAATGGAAAACAATGTCCAGAAAATACTGTTGGATGCAAAACCGGATTTGCCAACTCTCTCAAGAATAGAGATCCTAGCGGTAACCAAAGAAAATTCTCTCTGCTGTGACTGGCATGGAAAGGAGGGGCCTGAGGGCAGACATGAGCTGGGTTCCCTGGCACAACCATACATGTCAGTGGTTTGGGGCCAGGTCCTCCCTGATGGGCCGTTGTCTATACTCACTAGTTAGTACCCCGACCCTACCAGTTGTCCAGTGTTTGCACAGAAAGGTGTCCTTCCGTTTCTGCACAGCATGGTTTAGCGTGGCAGTGACGTTGGGCCAGATTAATCACTGAAGCGTGACAGGACCCTTTTCACATCGTGTGTTATATTCTGCAGAACGTGTTCAGCAGGCTAATTTATCATGTTCCACCATGAGTTTGTCTGAAGTTTGCTTTTCACTGTCACCTGAAAAACACAGACATATAAAAGGCAGGAGAAGGGGGCCGTGATTCAGAGCACACAGCTCTAGAGTCAGAGGGACTCATGTCCAGATCCAAGCTCTGCAAGCTGTGTGACCTTGGGCAAGGCTCTTAACCTTTCTGGGACTCCCTTTCCCAGCTGTAAAATGATGATGAAAATACTGAGGGAGATAATTCTCCAAAGTGCTTAACCCAGTGCCTGGCTCAGAGGAAAAACTTGATAAATGATATGTTATTATTATTAAATACTGTTTAAATAGACCAGGTGTGGTGGCTCACGCCTGTAATCCTACCACTTTGCAAAGCCAAGAGAAGAAGATCTCTTGAGGTCAGGATTTTGAGACTAGCCTGAGAAACATAGCGAGACCCCAGCTCTACCAAAAAAAAATTAAGCCGGGCGCGGTGGCTCACGCTTGTAATCCCAGCACTTTGGGAGGCCGAGGTGGGTGGATCACGAGGTCAAGAGATCGAGACCATCCTGGTCAACATGGTGAAACCCCGTCTCTACTAAAAATACAAAAAAGTTAGCTGGGCATGGTGGCGCGTGCCTGTAATCCCAGCTACTCAGGAGGCTGGGGCAGGAGAATTGCCTGAACCCGGGAGGCGGAGGTTGCAGTGAGCCGAGATCGCGCCATTGCACTCCAGCCTGGGTAACAAGAGCGAAACTCCATCTCCAAAAAAAAAAAAAAAAAATTAAAAATACATTAGTCAGGCATGGTGCCAGGTGCCTGCAGTCCTGGCTACTCAGGAGGCTGAGATGGGAAGATCACTTGAGCCCAGGTGTTCAAGGCAACAGTGAGCTCTGATCGTCCCACTGCTCTCCAGCCGGGACAATAGGATTTCCAGAAGTGATCTCATCCTTGCAATCGAAGGTGCCTTTTTACCCTAAATGGATGTTTGGGCATTTGATGGACACGTGACGGGTCAGCATCTGTCACAGGACCTGCCAAGGGTATGTTTGCTGCTGCAGCTGGATCCGCACCAGCCAGGTTTCTAGAAGAAATAATGAGGCCATCCTACGTTCTCTTGGCAGGTTTTTCTGGACATTCGCGAGAGTCCAGGAAGAAGGTCCTTGGAAATGAGCTGGTTTTCTTGAGAAAATCAAACCCTCCTTCAGCGAAGGTGGGCGTGGAGGGGCAGCCTGCAGGTTGGGCCCATTCCCAGCCTGACCCACTCTGAAAACAGGCCTTCTCCTCGGCAGGGCCCCAGTCCTGCCATGGACACCACACAGCAGGAAAACTCTCCACTCTCGAAAGACCTCAATCTTCCAACGCTGGCAGCAATTCAGATTAAAAGAAAGAAAGGAACCAAGCGCAGTGGCTCATGCCAATAATCCCAGCACTTTGGGAGGCCAAGGCAGGTGGATCACTTTGAGCTCAGGAGTTCAAGACCAGCCTGGGCAACATGGCGAGGCCCCGTCTCTACAAAAAAAAAAATACCAAAAAATGAACCAGGCATTGGTTCCCACACCTGTATTCCCGGAAGCTGCTCGGGAGGCTGAGGCTAGAGAATCACTTGAGCCCAGGAAGTGGAGGCTGCAGTGAGCCGAGATTGCACCACTGCACTCAGGCCTGGGCGACAGAGACCCTGTCTCAAAAAAAGAAGGAAGAGAAGGGCAGGAGGAAGAACAGCTGGCATTTACTGAGTGCTTTCTCTACCAGGCATTGAGCAAAGCCCTTCACATGCGTTATCTCATTTAGTCCACACAGCCTGGGTCAGTTACCATTCTTATCCCCATTTTACAGATAAGAAAAATTAAGACTTCAGGCCAGACATGGTGGCTCATGCCTGTAATCCCAACTCTTTGGGAGGCTGAAGCAGGCAGATCACTTGAGGCCAGAAGTTAGAGACTAGCCTGGCCAACATGGCAAAACCCCGTCTCTACTAAAAATACAAAAGTTAGCCAGGCATGGTGGTGCACATCTATGCTGAGGCACAAGAATCACTTGAACCCAGGAGGTGGAGGTTGCAGTGAACCAGAATGCACCACAGCACTCCAGCCTGGGCAACAACGTGAAACTCCATCTCAAAAAAAAAAAAAATAAACATAAAAATAAAGAGAAGGAAAAACTAAGGTTCATAAGGTTTCAGAAGGTCAAGCACCTCACCCAAGGTCACAGAGATAATGAATGACAGAGCCAGGACTGTGTCCCTGGAGGCCCGCCTCTTGCACCCTGCTGGTCTGATGGTGTGATCGAACCTGCAGCCCAGCCTCTTCCTTAGGTCACCCTCGCTTAGGACTCCAGTCACCTGTAGGGAAAGAGAGGAGGTTCTGAAGGACAGTGCAGAGGACGCAGCTCGGGGAGCTGGAGACACCAAGCTGCATTTTAGGTTCTTTTTGTAGGAAATCTGCCCAATTTATTGTGGTCTTTAAATACCTTCTTTATTCTCATCTCTAGATAGATAAATGTGTCTACTCTTACTATAGACAAATATGGCCAGGTGTGGTGATTCACGCCTATAATCCTAGCACTTTGGGAGGCCGAGGCAGGCAGATTATTAGGTCAGGAGTTTGAGACCAGCCTGACCAACATGGAGAAACCCCATCTCTACTAAAAATACAAAATTAACCAGGCATGGTGGTGGGTGCCTATAATCCCAACTACTCGGGAGGCTGAGGCAGGAGAATCACTTGAACCTGGGAGGCGGAGGTTGCAGTGAGCTGAGATCACGTCATTGCACTCTAGCCTGAGTGACAAGGGCAAAACTCCATCTCAAAAAAAAAAGTCACACTTAACCTATCACAGTCTCCTTTATGCTTTTACGTTTTTGGGACTGCGTGGGTTTTTTTTTTAATCTCCCAAGTTTATAGTGTAGAGCCGGTGCATGCTGTGAACTGACATGCTCTTGGTGTCCATGGCGAGCACTTAAAACCCAGTTTAGTTGGGGGGGATGTATGGGGGATTGTCTGTGACCCCCGGACTCCCCGCTTGGCCTAGTGGCTTTTCTATGCGTTCAGCTGGGGTTTTTAGCAAGCAGCGGGCTGAGCACGGTCTCAGCAAGCACACAGCTGTATCATCTCTGGAAAGGGTCTAAAGTGAGGGTCCAGTTTCTGCTGCATGAACATGAAGTTCCTTTAATAAAAGGAAGGGGGATATTTTTTATTTAACCTGTATTTATTCGTTTGACAGACATGCCCACTCTGTGTGCCATTCTGTGCCAGGCACAATGCTGGGCACATGGAGAGGGAGAATGAGCAAACAGCAACACAGTCCCTGCTCCGATGGCACTCTCGTCTGGACCGGGGTTTCCAGGCCTTAGCACTGTTGATGTTTTAGGACCCCATAATTCTGGCGCAGTTTGTGGAGGGATGTGTGGATATCTTATAGCGTCTTTGCTCTCTAGCCCCCTAGATGCCGGTAGCACTCCCTGCCTGCAGTTGTGACAATGAAAAATGTTTCCAAACACTGCCAAATGGCCCAGGGGAGGGGACAAAGCCACCCCAATTGAGAACCACTGTTCTAGAGGGAAGACAGGCAGTGATCAAAGAACAAGACAAGTGATGTACAATTACAAAGACTTCAAAGACAGTCATTCTCTGAAGGGTAGGAATACAGTTATAAGAAAGCAGTTGACAGAGGAATCAGACTGAATGATCAGGACCTGGACTGAAAATCCACTCTCTTGAGTTAATCTTTGGTAATCATACAGTGCTTTAGCTTCTGGTCATAGAAAGTTGTAATGGAATGTCAAGAGAGGGCTTTTATTTCTGTCTGATTTCAGCCTCAGAATGGCCTTTGCAACACAACATTCAGCTCAGCCATGGAGAAGTCAGGGAAGATGGACATGGCTGAGGCTTTAGAGCTCAGTGAAAAGCTGGTACGTATATCCAGCATCCAACCCACTGCTGTCCGAAGCCTGGGTGCCCTGCAGTCAGTGATAACCACGGGATAGTTTAAATGGAAACCTCACATGCCTAGTTAGTTGTTCTAATAACTCTGCAAGACCTGTCTACTATCCCAGCATGGCTCAGGAGTCACATAGCCACATTCCTTGAAAACACGGGTAGTTAGAATGAAGTGTTTATACCTGTTGTCATTTTTCACTCCCAGCTCTCAAAAAAGGCATAGCGTAAATGGACGTGGGGAAAATGGAAGCCCCAGTGGCGCTCCTTTCAAAGCATTTGTTTGTTCTCTGCAATTGCAGAAGGTGAACGAAACAGACTTAGACGCTGGCCTCCTTAAAGCGGCCACCAGCGGCCCCGGGGAATGCTGCTTATCTGCAAACGCTTTCCTTGTAGTACCTGGAGATGAGCAAAACCCTCGGAAGTCTGATGAACATCAAGGACATGTCTGGCCACGTGTCCATGAAATATCTCTCCCCCAAAGAGAGGGAGAGGGTCAACCAGCTTCGACAGAGGGACCTCGACCTGGTGTTTGAAAAGATCACCCAACTCAAGAACCGGCTAGAGAGGAAAGAGGAGCTGTTGAGAGGATACGAAAAGGATATTGAACAGCTCAGGTACCTCGGC